TGCATGTGTTCACATCGATTTGTGCGTTTCACGTGAATTGAATTTTAAATCAAACAAATTTCGATTATATATGCGATAAGAGATCTGGGGCAAGCAAATCAATACAAAAATGATGGAAAGTGCCAGAAAACAAGACTCAATCATTGTAAAGCTTTGTAAGCTTTACATCAAAATATTTTGTTTTATGGTTAAATATATAATCCACATCGATTATCTTTCATCGATTAACACTCCGCTAATTCCAGGTCAATAACTTCTTCAATTTCAACCAATTTCTACCCAAAAAGCTCTTAAATAATTATACGAAATCCCTTTTTAAATTTGAACTGAAACACCTTTAAAAGGCGGGCTTTTCTTTGACTTTTCTGACCTTTGATTGGGGTTTCACTCTGTTGTTGGTTTGCTCTCGGTTGCTTTGAAGTGTCCAAAGCGGAGGAGAGCCCCAAGGCATTTTGTTGTCCTAATGAACTGTTTTTTGGTGCTGGTCTGAGGCTGGACCGTTTAATGCTGATTTGTGTACCAAAAATGTGCTGCAAAGCTGCTCCACATTCGCCCCATGGCCCTGGCCATGTGCCAGTTTCGGGACTCACACACTGAGAACCCCAACCGATTCGCCGCATAAGCTGTGGAGCACCTTGAGCCTCTTTGCCTCCGGGCTGCAGGACAGTGGCAAGAAACAAAAGAAACATCAACACATCGAAAGGAAGGGAAGCTTGCGAAAGTCGGTCTTTCAGTGTCATTTAGTGAAATTGCCTGTAATGTCTCTGTCTCGATGTCCATGCCTATGCCCGTTCCCCTTCCTCTATCTGTGTCGGTGTCCCTGAATCTCCGTTGGCTGCTGCTGCATTGTCTAACCACAGCAGAGCATTAGCTTTTCTTTCCTTCTTTACGACTTGGTCGTGTGTCAGTTCCAGCTGCGGCTGCTTCTGCTTCTGCATTTTTCATTAGCCTGCGCACTTTTTTCCAGCCACGTTGTTTGGCGCTCGGCCCACCTGTCCAAGCATCCCGGCAGACTAGGATTCCCTCTTTCCTCTCCCCCAACCCTCTGGCGATGATTTTTCAAGTGCATTTTGCACTTGATTCTGCGCAGCTCAGCTCGAATCGTTGCCTCGCCAGCAGCTGCATAATAAAATTGTACACGGGCCAAATTGCCGGGACTGTCGACGCCTGCCTCTCCAGATGCTGTGTATGCTGAGGATGATTGCGACTGCACAAGGAGTTCTACAGATTTGTTTTCAATTTCCCACAGATGGAATGATATGTGGGAAGATGCTAAAATTATATTTAATTGAATCACAAACACAACAAGTGATTTTTGGATTTATTTTCTAGAAATTATAAATGGTCTTAAATTATCCACATTGCTCTAAGTTTCTGAAAGCAACGAAGATAGATGAAGCTACAGTACTTAAATAACCACCCCAACTGCGATGAAATATTTAGCCTACTCAAACATCGATTATAGCACGTTAATTGTTTCCACATATAATGGCACAATTTACCACAAATTAACAGCCTGGCCAGCACTTGGATAAACAACAAACAATCAAAACAAACAAAAAATACAATCAATAAGCCCAAATAAATTGCTGTCATTAATGGCCCGCACTGCCGGGAGTTCTGGGAATTCGACGAGTACATGTTAATTTTCGACGCCGACAGGCAATTGCAGCGAAACAATTTATTATTACACAATGGCAGCAAAAATCAATGGCGGTAATCAGAATAGAAAAAAGAACCCCAACGCTAGACTGAGCTGTGCGCAGAACTCAACAATTATCATTAATTATAAAGACATTATTGCGTCTTCTGCTCACTTAATTATAGATTAATTTGAGAGGAAGACAAATTACGAATAAGTGACTTGAGTACCCGAAGCTTATCAACAAAAAAGAAGAAGAAATTTGCGTCTTACATATTTGTACTCTTTTCGGAGCTGTTCTTGGTTTCTTCGTCGTTCCTGCTGTTCCCCGTTCTGCTTGTCTTTCGCTGTTGTGTTTTCTCGTGTTGTGCCGAGAGGGGTAACGATGTCCGATCACTTATTTAATACGATGCGGAGTCCATGACCGTCTAGTTTCGCATTTTGATATTGAGTTCCTAAGCCGCTCCAGGCCCACTCTCATCATGACAGCATGACATGTCATCTCTCATTCTTTCCGCTGTCATTAATCCGCTCTCTTTGGGCTTTGCTCTCCGTATGTATGACGTCTGTCATTGATCGACTCTCTTCCTCTCTGGGTTCTGCAGATGCCCGCTCTCTCTTCACTCTCTCATTCTTGCCGCTGTCATTAATCCGCTCTCTTTGTATGACGCCTGTCATTGATCGACTCTCTTCATCTCTGGGTTCTGCAGATGCCCGCTCTCTCTTGGTGACGGCTGTCATTGTTCTCGCCAGCAGTGTTGTTTTATCAGAGCTTCAGGTTAAGCTATGCTTCAAGTTACTTTTGTGTTGTTGTTCTTTTTAGCTGACTTTTTAGCGTATTTCGATTTGCCATTAGGCTTCGTACAAAAAAACCATAAAAATGTTTGGGCTTTGTTTCTTGCGGCAGAGAGGAAGAATGGCTGGCCCTCTACTCCACGCGGTGGCTTCCGTGTGCGCGGTTCATTAGCGTTTTGTCGCCTCCATGCCTCCATGCACAGGGCCAGAATGAAAGCATTTTCGACGCTTTTATTTTTGTTGGATTTTATTCGCTCGCATTGCGTGAGCTTCGGGCTTATTAGCAAGAGTATGGGGAGCAAGGGAGCGCTTGCCACACACAGTAAAAATAGCAAACCTACAGTGAATGGACGGCCATAGATATGGGCTCTTCTTCTTCAATGATTGAAAGTTGACTTTGCCAAATATTGAACAATGCCAAAGGTGAAAGTTTAATGAACACATGGCGTGTGCGTGCTGGCTCGGTCGAATTAAATGGCAAATATTTGCTGAAAACTTTCAATGTGCCACGTGCCCCAACAAGCGCTTGTGCAATATGAATAATTTGCAACATTTTTATGGATGAATTATTGTATAATTTTCACTTTGGCTCAGAATGCCTAAAGCACTCCCACACACATACTGCCCCAGTATATCTGACCATCAGGTGGGGGTCGGAACAAAATATTTTGAAAGCCTCCTCTCAGGGGGGCCGCTCCTCTTGCGTACGTGCGTTGGCTTTGACTCTCTGGCCTGTTCGGTGCCCTTCGGTGGAGTCTCCTCGCTGTTCGTCAATCAGCGTCGCAAATTGTTGATTACACCTACATTAAGTCAAGGGCAGGACAACAGTTACAGTAACAGTTATGTGGAGCAGTCGATCGATACTCCCTTTCGCCAGCTCTGTTCCTCCCCCTGCACCATCCTCTCGCTTTGTGTGACTGCGATTTTGCACACGAAAAGCAAACGAAACCAGAAAACGTGGCTTTACATACAAAAGTCCATCATACATACATACATAGTACATACATATATCATGTATACGTATGTACACATGTATATAATCCAACTATATAGTCGTATATATCTGTTGGTTTCCCTCCGCCTCGGTATATAGGACACTCTCTGTGAGTCGTTTTATTTGCCTTATTACTGACACGCAGCATATTTAGTAGCTGGCTTAGTAGCAGTGACTTGTTTATAGTCGCGAGTTGCGACTCCCCCACCCCATGCTCCCCCCAGGCTCGAATCGAACCAAATAGAGTCGAGTCACTCATTAGGATGTCTACATGTTGGCAGCAACTGCACGTGCATGTACATTCTGGTCTGTGTGTGAGTGTACCTGTGTACCTGTATATGTGTTAGCTGAGGCGACATTGACTTTTGTTTGTTTGCCTCGCGGCAAGTTGTGTGACAGAAGTTTACTTTAGAAAGGCAAACAAATGCAAGTGTATTACGTATGCGACGAGATGGCTACATTTGGCACTGTTCATTAAGCAAACAATTAAAAAATTATTAAGCCTTCAAGGGTTCAGATCTCCCAAGCATCCCAAATATACAAATACTCTTTTTACGTGCTCAGATCTATAAAGTAAATATAAATATGAGAAAGGCTACATTTCAGTTCCAACTTAATGTTAATTAATAGTTTTTTCTTGAGCAGTTCTTTGACTCTTTTCCTATTTATCTTTAAATATTATTTTGTGGGCTGCTCGATTCTTTATATATAATTTCAATATACATATCTGCATGGCCGGGCCGACATGAGCTGGAGAACTTGAGTTTTGTTTGCAGTGGAACCCCCAACTTTTGGTGCGCTTTGATGTTTGAATCTTACAGCAGAGGCATGATGATTTAATGCTATAAATACTACCATACCATATACAATATACAATATACGATGACATGTGTCTTGCCGTGTGCCGCCCCCCACAACCGTCTAAGTGTTTATCTTTGTTTATCATTTTTGATGTTCCACTTTTCCAATCTCTTTCTGTCTCCCCCCCTCTTTATGTCTCTATTCTTCCATTAATTGTTGTTTGACTATTTTATGTTTTCAATCCTAACTGTTAATTGTTTACCTCCATGTGTGTTTATGCCTTATAATAACCGAACAGATCTATCAATCAATTGGCTGCCAGTTAAATATCTAAATTTCCTATCGATGTTGTAATTGATGACGATTCCCAGAGAAAACCAAAAAAAAAAAACCAAAAATTAATTTTGATATCGAAATTTGATTGCTTTTGCATTAGACGTTCGTTACTCTTGTGTGATGAGTTGTTATTTGTATGCTTTTGAAAACCAAAAAACCAAAAACCAAATTCTTTATGTATTCCCCATACCCCCCAAAAACCACAAGCGAAAGCCGATCTCACACAGCCCAAACTAATCACTGAAACTGTATATATTTTCTATGCATCCGCCCCCAACACCACACCACCAACCAACCAATCCAAACAAACCGCTACCGCAACCGCAACCGCAACCACTGTGTGTGCTGTCGTCGTCGTTGCCTTGGTGTTTGGTCTCCGTGTGCCACCGTGTGCTATCCGTTGTCTCTCGATCTCCATCACGAACACCAAAGTGCGCCCAGGGACGAGCCGCATGGTTGGAGCGCGGCCGACGCTGCAGTGTCCAGGATCAGCAGCAACAGCAGGCCACCCTATCCCGTCGCTGGGTGAAGCGCAACCGAGTAAGTCCCATCCATCCACCAACCCAACCCAACCCAACGCCTGTGTGTGTGCTGTGTACATGTGCCGAGCGGCGATTCAATGGCTAACTACATACAATATGCGTATATATCTGTCTCACTCTGCTAATTCTTCCTTCCCTGTCACTCACACACACACACACACACACACAACTTTCTCGATGTTCAGCGCATTCTCCGATAGCTGGCGCAGCAAGATAAAACATAGAAGAAAAGCGCGTTCAACATTCTCATTTTAACTGCGATTTTCATGACCCCTGACCCCTGACCCCTGGTCCTGACCAACTCAACTCAAGGGCTATACCAAATATAACATAATAATTCTATACAATCTGATTTACATTTTCCCACACCTGTAAGATAGGTGCCTGCCTATTGCTGAAATAATATTTTCCATTGACAGATTCAGGACGCCTCTTTGGGTGGCTCCTCGGACGATGAAGATTTCCTGGGCGTTCTGCGCGGCCCCAGCACCTTCGCGAATGCCTTCCTCTACGTGGGACTGGGCACAGTGGCGCTGGGATTGGTCATAGCATTCGTTGGAACCGGCGAGAAGGGCTTCAAAACTGTGGAACTAAGACTTATAGGGCCCTCCCTCATAGGCAATATAACAGTTGACTCTCTTCTCCGATTTGTATTCATACTAAAGCACGCTCTTACGTATCCTTGTAGGGATTGGCCTGATCTGTTGCATTTTACGCATCCTCTTCTGCATCTGTCCATCGCACTGCATCTCATCCAGCAAGAAGGCGCGCAAGAAAAACGGCAACAAGATCGATGCGGATCACACAACGTCGCTGCTCAGGAACGAGAGCAAGCGGGTGTCAATTGCCCGTGGAACCAGTGTTCAGGTGGGGGGTTACCTCTGCCAGCCATAATCGAATTAAATCATTAGGGAATATTTCTTGCAGCCCAAATATCCTATAGCCCACAAGCGCAGCCAGAGCAAAATGCTCAATGAGGGAATGGAGGCACTGCGCCAGATAGCCACCACATCGCTGTTCATGCAAAACGATCAAAAGACGGCCATCAATCGCGTGGTGCCCATTATCAACGAGCCGGACAGTGGCGGTAAGTGAATTCATCCGTCAATTTGATCTGATTAAAAGCATTTGTGAATGTTGCTTGCAGATGCCCCACTGGAAATGAAGAAGCTGCAGACGGCGCTCAGTGCCTGCGAGATGAGTGAGGAGGAGCAGGAGGAGAAGGCCAGGCAGCAGCGGCAGATTGCCAAACGTACAACAACAGCCACAACTGCCGTAACGAGTAGTACCACCAAAGACCCAACCACAACAACAATACCGACAAAAGCAGCGAGGGCCACGACTCTGAGCACCGTGGACGAGAGGCCCGACAGCAAGCTGGTGCGGCAGAGAGTGGCCCTGCAGCAGCAGCGACAGCAGCCACAGCAGCAGCAGCAGGTGAAACAAGAGCAACACCCGGCACAGCAAGTCAGCAAGTCGCAATCGCTATCCTCTTCGTCCACGGTCAAGGATTCGCTGGATGGGATGGTCGTTGTAGAGGAAACCTCGCTGATAGACGCCACCAGTGTTGCCACGGGCACAGTTCCAGTTCCAGCTGCAGCTCCTGTTTCAGTTGCTGCATCAGCGCCTGCCCCCTTGCCGAGCAGCTGCAGTACGGGAGCCATACCCAGACTCAAAACCAACAACAGTGTATCATTCACCTCCAGTCAAGCCACGCGGCCGGGCATCTCGACGGGCGCCACGCCCAAGACAACGCCCACCAGCGCCCGGCTGCCCACCTCGCAGTCACATCCAACGAGCTATGATCTACCCCCCGCCCTGCCGCACACCTATTCCGCATCAGCGACTGTCCGCGGACCCCTAGGCATGTCCATGAGCACGTCAACCTACGCAATGCCCACCAGCAAAGTGGGTCCATTAGCCGCAGCCGCAGCCGCATCCGCAACCTCATCCGCATACGCGGCCATGCCGCCCACCACGACAACGATCAGCCTGCTGCCGCTGCCGGCGCCACCGACAATGGCCACGGCGATGCACAGTATCCCAGGCCAGGTGCCGGAGGGAGGCACCAACACCACCACCACCACGCACACCGCGAGTCTGAGTCTGAGCTTAATGCAGCCAACGCCGATGCGGCCGTCATCGGCGTCGAGCATGGCCATGTCCACGTCGTCGTTTAGCACGGAAAACAAATCACACCCGTCATCCGCAAGCACAACAAGGGGGCGTGGCGGCCAGCTCCTTGCGCCGCCAAAAGCGTTGACATCTACATCTACGGCATCGACATCGACATCGAGTAAATGTGAGCCGGAATTGGTGCTCAGTCCGGCGAAGCTGGGCCAGTAGAGTAGAATTGTGAGGCTTAGTAATGATCGATATTAGTTAGCTACCAGGTGTACGAGTGTGTGTGCGTGTGTGTCCGAGTGTATATGCATGTGTATGTGTGTACGTCTAGGTTCTATTCTGTGTGAATGCGTTAGTGTATCTGTGTGCTAGAGCTGTCTGCATGAGTGTGCGAGATTGAGGGAGAAGCAAATGTAATTACTTATGTACTCTAGAACTATCTTTTGAATGTGCCACAAGAAGAACTAAAAACAAAAACCACACACGAATATTCAACTAAAAGTCATGCTTTGAATTCGAAACACTCTGAAATTGGGAATCAAACTCAAGTCAATCGCAAACCTGGTATCCCATCGGGCTTCTGGAATATATGTATGTACAGATGCTCGTAATTCAGAATTCGAATTCAGAACACGGCTTGATATGCAATATGTATCTCCTGTTCAACCAGAAACAGCTTTCGGTGTCTAAATCCTACACATTTCCCCCGAGGCTTTCTTCTTTTATAATTCGCCGTCCCGTTTGTTTTCTGTTTTTCTATGTCAACCCGTTGCATGTATCCCCATGTGTCTGTGGCAACAAGCTTTTCCTTTCCAATGTCCGTCGTGTTCCCCATGCTTGACGTGGCCCAGAACAAAATTTGCCAACCCGCGCTGTCCTAAACTATCCCCAAACTTAGCCAGGGTATTATAAAGTTTGTATACCAAACATATCGTTAACTCAATACGCGAAACATAAATAATACGAAATAAAATACATATATAATTCGAGGAGAAAAGTGAGCGGAGAAAGACGTCGCATCTAAGCAGATAACAAGGAAAGAACACAGAGTATAGAGCTATGAAACTATAAAACTAATTAGATATGTATCCCAAATTGGAATGGCGATGCAAGTACGGTATGTAACGCAGATAAAGGCGGCTATATGTTCCAACAATGCCAGGCATTTGGATATGTGTATTCAATAAAACCCAAACCGAAACCCAGAGAGTTCAAAAAGTATTAAGCAATGCTGTCTGCATAATAAAGCAAAGCAGGAAATAATCAAAACACAGTCGGTGCAACCAATTACAAATTAAAACAAAATTAATTCTGCATTCATTTTTGGTTCCGAAAAATGTTTTCCATTTCAAGCAATTTAAAAAAAACAGTTTTGGTATTCACATTTCGACTTTTTTCGTTTTTTGAGGCTATTGAGAAATTCAGTGTGAAATAATTGCTTGCTCTTTCAGCTGCTAAAGGTACGAAATAAAAAATATAAAATAAGCAGACTACAATAGACACAAATGTGGCCATAAAATATAAAAAAACAAACAAAGAAACAAAACAAAACAAAACGAAAGAATCAATGTTTAACATATTGTGTATGAGGCATGTATTGTACAGCAACCAAAGCAGCAGCAGACTTAGAAAATTATAAACAAAATTTATGAATTAGTGTGTATGTATTCTATATGTGCAGAAATAAAAAGAAATTCAGAAAAAAAAGCAACTTGGATTTAATCTAAAGCTGGGCAAAAATATATACAAAAAAAAATGCCAAGGATAAGGATATAAAGGCATTGTTCGTAAAAGAAATTGAACTTACCTTGTGGTGGTGGACTGCGGTCTGGACAGCCCATTCGGTTAAATTGTTCCCATCGCATTAAGTGTGTGTAACTGTGTGATGATTTCCATGGAATACTGCAATTGCAACTGTAAACAAAAATTTCAAATAACCGTTTTATTTTCTTCCGTTATTTTGTAAATTTCTACATTAATTTTACATGAACTCTACACCACAGAAATGTATATTACATGTAAAATCAAATTGTTTTGAAAAACGCCCATTTATAGAACTAAATTAAACACCACCAACAGCTGGCGCCAGTGTCTCCAACGTTTTTTCGAAAGTTCGCATTTTAAATATATTACGTAAAAAAAACTTGCACTTGCAACTAATATTAAAAATATTAACGGAAATACCCAGAAGATCTCCAGAGAAAAAACATTCCTTAGCTTCAAAATGTATTGTTTTAATTTATTTCGCTTGTATCGGCTTAAATTTGTTTTCCAAAGGGTTTCTTGTGAGTTTATTAATTAATCTTTTTTTGTTGTTATCTAGGTATACATATATATGTAGTAGGTATAACGTGAAATATAAATTTGTATGCTAGAGTTGATTGGGTGGCCTCAGTTAGAGATATTCTGTGGAAATGAGCTGCCTTTGCTGAGGTCGGTTAAGCTGCTGTGAAGCAGACAGAGACTTGTCGTTTTAGTTCTCGTTTATTTTGTAATGGTCAGCGGTTAGAAAAAGATCTACTACAACAATAATATCATATCAGTTTTGTATATATCTATATATATTTTTGCATATGTGTGTATGTGTTTGTAAGTGTTTGTTTGACTGAGATTGTGTAGGCCATTACCAAACATTTCATTAGAATTCAATTCGTATCAATTTAGTTCGCATTTTATCAATTCAGTCATGCCTGAGGGCTCTTCTAAAATATCGATCTGCGATCAGTTCCAAAAAAAATCATCTCTTCTCACAAATACCAAATGTTGGGCTCTTGCCTCTGTCGAAAATCTAAAAGTGCTACAAGGTTATATTCTGAAATTTATGAATATATATTTGATATACATATTTATATACTTGGATTGGTTTTTGTGTGGGCTCTACTAATGCTTGACATTGAAATCTAATTGATTAATTGCTTGTGGAAATTCTAGGGATTAACATAGACACCAAAAACATGATTACTTAGCTGGATTTATTTATTTTTTGGTTTACTTCGTTCCGCTTTAATAAAAAATTTTTCTTTCCATTTTTGTGTGTGTGTCTAGCATATTGAAAATTGTATTGCTCAATGTGCTCAAAAGGCCTACACGGGCGGCATTTTAACGGGACAATTAGAAGATGGAGATATTTCCCCATTTTTCAGTGCTTTCTCTGGCATTTTCTGCCATTTTCTCCATTAAAAAATCCCTGATGCCCACTGTTATCGATACATTCTTATCACACCAATTTATATTCTGGCGGGTAGTTGCTTTAATTAATAGTAATCATAATACAAACTCTCTATCGCCATTGCCCTGAATCACCCATTATCAGTTATCAGTTAGAGGGAAAAAGAGGGGGATTGTCGGCGATCACACGATCCCAACACGATCTCCAATATTGTATCACCCTTGCGCTCCAGCGAAGCCTTTCTTACATGTCTACTAACTATGAAATGCCACTTAGTACTCTGAGTACATTCTACATATTGTACATGCATATATTGTATTTGTAATATTCCTTACGGCTCTCTGTATTCGGCCATATGTACATATTCCTATATACAGAATGCGAATACCGATATAAATGGTACTCTCGTTACTTAGCTACTATCACACACACTGACTGATCCTGTTGCTGTCCCATTTGTGGGCACCGTCGACACTGTCAGAAGGGTTTTACAACTAGTATCATAGCTATTTGGTGAGTATTGCTTCCGTTTTATACAGGGTTCGTTCTCTGGTTACTCTAGAGTCTAGATCTATCGTTAGATTCTTTATTATGTTCTAACTTGATTGTTTGCCATTTTGAAAGGGGAAATAAAAAAGCAAATGTTCTTTCGTTCCAAATCAAAAGTCATTCTTGTATTGAATGTGTGGTAACAAATTAGATAAATTAAAATAAAATAAAATCAGTTTTTTAAAATTCATAATTCTTGCTAGATATTTATTTATGTAGTACCCAATTAAAAAATGTATATGTATATTGAAGAGTCCTTCGGCTAACCGAAGTTATCCATTATCCATTACGAAAACGAAAGCCCGACATGTCCGACAATCGACCAGATTCCAATTTCTGTTTTGTTTTTTTTTTGTTTTTTTTCAGATTAGACTAGAAATACCAAGATCTTATCGTCTAAACTCTACTTTGAGACTGCATTTAAATATGCATTTAAATATGGACTGCCTGAGGGCTGCCGCAACAGTTTCGTCATCAGGTGATCAGCGCAGCGGACCAGCAGACATATGGTACATTACACATTATTACATATAATAAAAAAATATTCACAGTACGATGTGGACATGTCGCACTCCAATGTAACTTCACTTCCAAAAAAGAACGACAAATACGAGAGATCGTGTAAAAGTTTGGCCTGATGCCCTACAAATTTCTTGCTATTTTACAAATATACAATCAATAGATGTATGTATGTATTAATGTTTGTATGTATATACGTATGCGAATGCATATGTACAGATATATGTGTATATCGCTTATGATTTGATTTGACTTGTTGATTGCCTACGAGCTAATAATACCTTAGGTTGCACTAAGATTTCTATATAAGTATATGTATATGTATGTGTGTGTGTTTGTTTGTTTGTTTGTTTTTTTTGTATATATAAAGGTATATCTATATATAAGTAATGTATACAGTTGTATAATATTGCAATTTCCAAATGTTCAGTTTCATTATCTTTTTGCTTTGTTACAGTGTCCAGGGGGTTAGGGTCAGAAGTTCAGGGTCAGGGGCAGGGTCATTTAGTACATACATTTAGTATATACTCGTATGTACAATACAAATTGCTTGTCTTCACTTGATTTTATAATAATATTACAATTTGAGTTGTCATTTCTAGGGGTTTTTCGTCGCCCACAGGGACGTCTCATTTACAAAGTTGTTCCATATGCTAATAACTAACACTAATTGCTACAAATATATATATATATATATTATATATACTTCTTCTTTTTATGACAGAGATTTCCTTTTCGTTACTCATTTTCTTGGATGTTTCTTTTTTGATTTTTGAACCAAGAAGTTTTCCACTTTCTCTGACAAAGATAAACGTGAAATATTCAAAATACCTCAATTTCTCATTTTGTGCTATAGCGCCATCAATTTTCAGATTGTTTGCGTCTCAATCAGAGGGCAAGCAAGGAAAATTAGCGGAAATTCGATGAAAATTATATGTTGTATTCCTTGATAAAACTATGATCAAAAATATATGATGATAATACAGTTTTTGTGTGGTTTTATGGACAAATTGTTTAAGAATAAGAACGTTTCATACAAATTAAAACATAAATTCATTTGCTTTCAGAGATTACAAGACTGCCCTTTGGAGACTGTGTACAAAAAGATTTCAAATTATAATGTATATTCAATTATCAGTTCAGTTCGAGCTGCCCCAAGAAGTCTCTTTGCTCTTTCCGTTGTCCTAACAAAGTCTCAAATACTTGGAAATACATTTCGGGATCCAAGAGATTGATTTTGAATGATATTTTGATTCAGTTCGAGTATGAGACCTTTCCCTTCCACGAGCTATTACTTACTATATTATAATATGAATGAATGATTTCTACTTGCTTGCCCCATTTCTATCTGCATCTCCACGTGCCTTAAAACAGTCCCTTTGCGCCGGCTAATTTACGTCGCCGGAATCACATTAGTCATCATTTGAGCGTATTGTATATGTTGTCCTCACCGGCCAGCTCTACGGTGGTAATATGCGCGGCATGCCTCTCCCCCAGCGGCTCCTCGCCCAAGTACACTGTGTGGTAGCTGATGGCGCTCTTAGATGCCCCACCGTTGATCTCGATGCGACTGACGGACTGAGGTCCACTGGCCGGATACCTGAGGGAGGCGTAGTCCCCATCACCATCACCATCCCCATCGCCATCGCCATCCTCCTGCACATGGGTAAACTGTGTGGCTCCCGAGAACGTGTCTAGGGTGTGCGAGGGACAGATCTCCGCATAAATATTCTCCTTGGTATAGTCCACTGGGGTGCGCGACCTTACAGAAACCTGTGGCTGCAGACTGCCATCGCTGACCATGACCAAGGAGTCGCGGACACTCGAGTAGGGCAGATCGTCTTCCACCAGGGAGAAGGGTGAGATCGGTGCCGGGGACGGTATATTGTTCAATCCGCCTCCCAGCAGGCAGACTCCGCCCGCCGCCCGTCTGCCCGTAACGGGCTGCTTGGTCAGGGACTGCTGGTGCGCCTTCAGTTGCATCAGACTGCGATCCTCCTGCTCCGCCTCCTCGTGGAGTTGCAGCTTCTGGGGCAGCGAGAAGTGACGCATTTGGTGAAGACTCGACGAGGACTTGCTGTACTGCCGCGTCTTCACGTGAAACTCATTATAGAGCTTCTCGGTGATGAACGACTGCGGCGGCGGCGTCTGATTCTCCACATCTTCCGGTTCGGTGCCCGCCTCGCTGATGGCATCTGTGTGACTGTGTGTGACCAGCAGGTCGGGACGAGGCTTGCACTGGCCATTCAGCAGCTCGATGTCCTGCAGCGACATGGACTTTTGCAGCAGCGTGTCCAAGGACTTGGGCTCTATGGTGGTCAGAGTTGTGGTCTCCGTATCGGAGGCTCCGCCGCTATTCAAAGAGATGGCATCCCGCTCTGGCTGCTCGTGATCTGAGCCGAACCGCGCCTGCAGCAGCTTCGACATGTCCGTATAGCGTTCCATGCTCATTCGCTTGGCCTGTACATCCAGCTCCGAATCGGGTTGCTGCTTCTCATGGTGCTGCTGTTGTTGCTTGCCGAACCACTTCTTCTTGGTGGACTGAAACACCTTCATGCGTTCCGAGATGCGATTGGTTCCGGCATCCGCCCCGGAGGCAGCTGCTGCTGCCGCTGCCGCTTCCTTGGCCTCTAGATTTTCCAAATCAGTTTTGCTAAGGAATATAATCGAATCCTCCTTTTCGTGGGCCGCCGCCATGGAGCTCTTCTCCCGTCTCAAAATCCTAGGCAAATGAAGGGGCTTCAGGATCCTGAGGCCCTCCCGGCTCTTGCTGCCAGAGCGCTCCGAACGCTGCACCAGCTCCACCTCCACCAGCCTCAAGAACTGATCGCAGTTAAACTGGCAGAACTTTAGCATGTTCTGCACATTGGTGTTGGCCAGCATTCTCTGCTCGGAGTCGAAGCCCAGGTAACTCTTGATCAGCTGCATGTCTCGACTGGGGTAGAACTTCCTCAGCTGCAGCGGCGTCTGCGTGTCCACGTCCTCGATGGGGCAGCCAACGGCCACATCCTCCTTGGCCACCTGACTGATGCACAGCTGTTCGGGTATCTCCGGTCCGGCGGGACCCGACATGTAGCGCAGGGTCACTGGCAACAGCTTAGACGCCGTCACCAGTGCCCCCAATCGGTGCACACACTCCGGATTGAGCTTGCGCTGAGCATCGCCCAGCTTCTGCAGCAACTGCGGTATACCCGGCTCAATCTCGTAGAACTTTCCCTTGGTGGCCAAGGGGACGTACATCACCTGACGATTCTCGTTCAGCAACTGGGCGTATCGGTTCTTATCCTTTTCGCGCCCGATGTAGCCACTAGAATGGGACTTGGCCATATTCCCACTGCCGTGCTGGGACAAGTTTCCCTGTCCCTGGCCGTGTCCATGCTCCTGCTTGCCATCCTCGAAGACGGCCAGCAGCCGGAACACCTGCCCGCCGCGTGCCGTCGTTTTGACATACTGCGGCCGTCCCTTGATGACGGGCAAACAGCCCTCGTGAGTGGGACTACTGGCGCTGCCCGCTGGCGAGGACTCTGTAAAAGCTGGCATATTGTCCACCGAAACGAACTTGTACACTCGCTCCCGTACCAAATGCATCAGCGAGCTGTACAGCGTGGCTGTCGGCAGACCCTTCTCATTGAGCAGCGAGAAATAGCCTGTACCAGAGAGAAAGGGAAGAGAAGGATAAACACGTTGTCAGAAATGAAAGAAAGGTAATTTTAGCATATAAATAAACTTTTATCGTGTAGGTGGAATGGAATAATAAATATATAAATGGACAAAAGGGCCAACATAATTGCAAAAACAACATACATGGCATGTGCCTGACATGACCAATTTAGCTGTTGTTGTTGAACTACTCCAAAGTCAAAAAGCCTGCCCAACGCTGCCAAAAGGTAATGATTTCATTTAAAGGCAACAGCAAAAACGAAAGGTTGCCCCCAAGTTGTAGAATTTTAAATGAGATAAAGATTAAACAGATCCCAATTTATGGAATGACAGCTAAACAGCTGGTAAATTTCAATAGATTGGCAAGTTGCCATTCAGGGGGCGATATTCTGACAGCTAGTAGAACAACGTCATAGGTAAACCCAAGTTATCGTATTAATAACTTGATTAAAGTAATTATTTTTAGAGACAGTCGATAAAGAGTGGCAGTTACAATCTCATTGTATAAAACATTGTCGTTGATGTACGCCTAAGGGGATGATTCGAATCAATTAACGTTTAAATCGTAATTGAATCAACAGAGGAGCAAAATTCAATATGGACACACAAATTGAATCACTCCAATTTGCCAGCCAGTTGGATTTTTTTCTCTTTTGTGTACACTGCACTGAAAGTTGAATGAGCAAAAATGATAATACACCGATTGCAGTCAGTCAGTCTATAAATTGGCAGATTGCATAATATTTGCACACATTGGTTTACTTTGCGCCTCAACAAATGCCAAATGGCTGTGAAAAGTCACATGGCGTTACGCGTTGAGTTGAAACAATGGGTGACCGACCGCAATGGCGGGTGAGGGCACCAGAAGAAGTTACTACTGACTGACTGACTGACTGACTGCCACTGGCACTGGCACCCCGCATAGAGCACCATTGCAGGCCCCCGCCACCCGTACCTACATTGCATAATGGTGGGGTGATGATGAGCAATAGTTGCGATTACTTTTCATTGTTGAACTGTGACTGTGACACGCAAACAACGAATTCAGCGCAAGGGGAGATATTTACTCATATGGTAGAAGAAAGGAGTGAGTGACTAACTGAGACTGGACAAACTTAATCAGCCACAAATATGCCTCAAAATATGCATTCGTCATCAGAGAACACTGGCACTTACACTTACGACTATCATACGATTACGAGTAGGTAAATGGGAACTAAATTAACAGCGATCGAGGCGATAAATCATCGCTCTCTATGTTCCGGAAACGCACCTGGAAACTCTTGTGGTATTAGCACGGTTTTCTTGCGCTGCGACGCCTGAGTCTTGGCATTGTGTCCATGATAAATATTCCGTTGTCGCACCAGCCTGTAGAGCAGGAAGAGCTCATCGTGCCCGTTGCTGCATGGCCGGTTGTTGCTGTTGTTGTTGCCGCTCCCAGCGCTGGAGGATGAATGGGTGCCAGTGCCCGTATCGGTATTGTTAGTGGTCGTTGGACCACCACTGACTGGCTTCGGTCCCGTCGAAGAGCTGCTTGAGGCCGCCGTTGACGAGCCGTGCGAGGAGCTGGACTGCAGGGTTTCGTTGGAGCTCTTGCTCGCATGCACGATGCGGACGACACGGGGCAGCGAGTACCGCTCGAGGAATATGTCGGCGGGCAGCGGCTCCTGCTGTGACTGCAAAGACGAATCATTTAAGATAGGCAAGAACTATGGGAAATGACAAACTCACCTCGCTACTCCCCTTGGAGGCCTTGCTGTCGCCGGTGGAGTAGTCGCCGCTGCCGTTGAGAGCGCCACAGAAGCCAGAGTAACCGCCGCCTGCGGCAGAGCCAGAACCAAGGCCGTAGCTGCCGTTGGCGCTGTTGCGCAGGCGTCGGGCCAGCCTCTGGTTTAGCTCGATCTCGTTGCGGCGCGCCAGTCGGGCGTTCTCAAATTCTGCCACCGAGAACATGTTGGAACTGGTGTCGTGGGAGTTAAAGCGCCGCAGCTTGGGCTTGCGCGCTCCGGCAGCAATGTGGCCGGGATGGGCGCCCGCTGGTGCTCCACCTGCAACAAAAAACGCCAAACGGGCGGCGGGTGAGCATTAGTGAGGTAATCGCGTAAAAATATAATTGCCGCGGTAGTCGGCAGTGGGAAAAACCCACACCACAGTCCACAGAATACATCTACATTTATTTCTACCTCGAAATATACGAGTAGTCGTGCATCCCCGAGACCACAGTCGCAGTCACAGTCACAGCCGCATTGAACGCGAATTTCATTTGGCGTGACGCAACGGACTGGCAAGTGGTTCAAAACTGTTGCTAAGCGCAGCTAATTTTCAGTCAACGGTCAACGAGACGATGACACACAGTGGGCGAAAATCGGCATAAAGCGTGACCATAAAAGAATCAAGAAAAATATATACAACAGAATGTGGAAAGTGCTCTCCGGTCCATTACGGAAATTAACTTTTTATTTCAAACTAATCTTTTTAAATTCTACCTCTTTTAAATATGTCTGCAATATTATTTGAAAAAGATCTATGAGTTTATTGCTCCCATTTGTAAACTCACTTGGATGATCTGAATGGGAATTTAAATTGCCATTCGCTTTAAAGTTTAAGCCATTCAATAATAAATTTTTGTGACCCAGCAAACCCTGAATAATAATAATACCTTCTTATTAATAATTGGAGCATTAAGGATCTTGAAACATGAATAATATGAAGTTGAGAATAGCTGAGAAATGAAATCAGTATCCAATATTGGACTGTATAAAAGAGACGATTCTCAAATGTTTTTCATAATCGTTTCCGCTTTTGGGACTATACATACATATCGTATGTGCTTTGGGAGCTCTCTAGCTGATAATCAGGAAGAAACAAAACCATAAGGTCTATGACTCTCGGTCAAATGGCATTGAGTGTACTTAAATATCAGATCCCATATCACTGTTCATTCCATTGAAGCAATAATAAAAGAGTCTATCACTTGAGGCGATTAACAGCCAAACAAACAGTTAAGTATTTCTGGATCCCGACCAGATACCACCGCCCCCCAACCATCCCAATGACAACGGTTATCGGCTATCGGATCGACATCCAAAAAGCAATTGTCTGTCACTGTTTTCATTGAACTTCAAACGGTGCAATTAAAAAGAGATATCGCGACTTTTGATTGCTCATTGTTCGATTGCTGCCCATGGTGCGGGCGGTTTTTACTGCTACTGCTCCCCTCAGTCACCACTCCCTTCGACCGATTGGCGGTCGGCGCATTACTCACTCTAATTGCGCACATTTGGCTTAATTTTTTGCACCATTCACACACACACACACCACATATTCGAATTTAATAAAAACATACGCAAATACATACATATCTGTACGTATGTACATACGTAAGTGCATGCGGAGGCAGAAATCACAGCATAACAGCAAAAGAGCTAAACGTTTTGCGCTTATCTTTTGTGAAATATCAATTGCAATTGCGGCCAACACGACAGAAGGAGATAGGTAGAGCGAGAGAGAGAGAGAGAGGCAAAGGCAATGGCAGAATGAGCAGAGCGATAGCGAGGGGGGTGTGTGACATCGTCACGTTTCGTGTGAAATTACGCGAAGCGACGCGCGCGCCTAGCCAACAAAATTCACAGTGGAAGCAACAACAACGAAATAGCAAACAAGAAAACTAAAGTGAAGGCCGAGCTTTTCATACCCTTTCCAGCTTTCGGGATATCAGATGATTGCGAGAAAAAATCTATTAAGTGTATATGGCATATGGTCAAATACATCAGACAGTCCTCAAAGGGTATAAAAATGCCCAAGCGCTATCTTCAAGTTCATATTTCCTTCCAGTTAATATTTTCTTTTCTATGCATGGCAACCAAACTGTGTCTGTGGAAAGCTCATGTTAAACTATTCCCAGAAGGCGCCACAAACAAACAATGTTTTCGCCATATGAAGCATACAATATTAACACTTGTTTATGCATTTTTTTTCTCGGAATCGCCTACAATGGAATGTTGATCCGAATTAGTTTCCATTAGGAAATTTTAATTTTCCATATGTTACAAACCACTAACTAAAATGCTGATACTTCTTTAAAGCGAATAAATAGCGACGTCAATGAGCAAACAAAAAACGTACTCTCTCCCTTCCTCAATTATTCGCTCTCACACACCGTCTCTCTCTCTCTCTCTCTCTGTTTGTCTGTGTGGAGCGCGTGCCTTGCGAGCGTTTCTCTCCGTTTTCCCTTTGCTTATGCTTACCGTTACATGCAGCTGCTACTGCTGTTGCAGCTGCGACGCTGTTGCTGGGCGCGCCGCCTTGCGCAGCACCACCTCCTGCCGCTGCTGCTCCAACTCCTCCTGTTGATCCAGTATTTGCCGTGTTTGCCACAGCCCCTAATGGGGGTGTGGATACTCCTGCCGCTGCTGCTGCTGCCATGTGCGGACTGCTCTTCACCAGCCAATTGGCCAAATGACGCTGACGTTCAAACTCGATATTAGTGCGTTGCATTTCGGAGAATTTGAAGGTCTCGTTCATAATCGCAATTACACCCGCGAGCGAAATAAAAAAAAAAAACAAAAGGGAAACGCGAAAGCGACGACGAACGACGGCTGCGACGCGTCGCCGTCGGGTCTAAGTTAACTGCTTGTGCGCGCCCGAGCGTCTCTCGTTGTCAACTGTCAAATACGAAATACGAAATGCAGAGTAATGCAGCACCGCGCCGATCTTTTGCCGAGCTGTAACGAGAAAGAGAGAGAGCGCGAGAGCGCAAAAATGAGTGAGAGAAGTTTACATAACAAAGCAAGAAACAATATGACGCTTGCATACACTTACTAGGGTTGGGTGTGAGAATGATTAAAAAAGCAAATGATATTTTAGAAATTTATTGGATATAAGAGTCGAGCGAGGCATCTGGAACACCAAGCTACTGATTTTTATTTGATTATGAGTAATTTAATCAAATCAGAATATATTGATTTCCACTGCTGTTATCTAGCTAAACAGCTGTAAAGCTGTATAAACGAACAGCTTTTTCAGCAGAAAATAATAAATTCATACATTGATTAATTCACTGAATGGTATCGATTTAGCAAACTCATCTATAAAAAATGCCTATACCCCTACCCTAGAGTATAATAACAATAATAAAAAAAAAGTAAAAGAGTTTGAGCTTTAAAAAAAATCGTATTCCTCTCCGGGCTGCTTCTGTTGTTGATGGCCGTTGTCTGTGTGCTGTCGGTGTGATGACTGGCCGTGCGTGTGTGGTGCATAAATTAACATTGCCTTAGCGCAACGATGACGACGTTATCAGAAGAGTAAACGACGCAAAGCAAACACTCTGCTGCTCTCGCGAGTCGCGACGCTTGCCCGTTCGTTGGCCGCCCGTTCAATGTCGCCGCACCTTTTCAGCTGATTCCCACACCCACCCCGACCCAGCTACAATACCCCACCACCCAACCTATATCGCAGCGGGCAAGCCAAGAGCCACTACGTCTGGCACTGGCAGCAGCGCGTCATCTTCAAACGTTATGCGACAACGTAATCGGGTGCCGGGAGGGGTGCACGTACAAACATATGTACACTCATACAAACATACAAACGTACTCGTATTGTTCTGCATGCTTTTGGCTTTTGTTGTGTGTCTCGCCTTCGCTCTGATACTTTTTTATGTGCTTTCCCAGGAAAGAGTATCATATTTGTCATAATGTTGGCAAGCCATTCGAGCGAAGGCAAAGCCAGAAGGCAGCAAGCCAAAATAAAAAAAACCCCAAACAGAATGTTGCAAACTCATGTGCACAATTACATGTGCACATGCTGGTACAGTAAAAGTTCTCTTGACGGACAGATTTGTGAGGATCCCAATCCAGCTTCTCATATTTTTACACTCCCACTGTGCTTCTCCCAGGCAAAAGTAATACAACAGTGGTAGGTTTCACTGTACTTGAGTACATATTTACATAAGGGCGTATGTATGTACAAGAGTCTTGATCGGCATGACGGGGCATAACCAACGATCCTACATATGGTTGTACAATGTACGCTTGGCGGGGTTGCTATGCAAAGCTTTTCTATTGAAACTATCAAAAATTAAGTTTAACGATCTGCAAAATGTTGACTTGTTGTACAAACACAAATAGAAACATATAAAACACATTTTATAGCTTACATACTTATGTATGTATGTACATATATAAGAACTTATGGTCGGAAGCAGATGTGCATTTTATACAAAAAATGTGTGCCGTATCCGGGCAGAATGTTGAGAATTCCATTGCTATTTTAGACACTCAATCTTAATGATCTAATTTGAGATAATCATCTAAACATGTTCGATAAGTACTTTAATTAATGGAATTTTCAAATACAGCAGGTCTAACGGTTAGAGTATTTTTACATCGACTTTCTTTGAACCAATAAACAATATAGTTCTGACCTTGAACAAGTCGTATCGAAAACCCAACAAAAAATATATAAAAATGATGTAGTATTGCGATTTAAATTAATGCAGTGGGACCTATAAATGTACATTTTGGGTAATACCCGTAATTATCAAAATTTCTGATTTTATTTCCAAAATTTAAAATCTTAAATAAGCCCCAGGGATTTCGGAACAGAGGGCATTCAAGGTTCGGTGTGGTTTTGTGGCTTTATCTTGATTCTCACTTGGCTCTTTTGACCGGCGTTCGTTGCCTTTTGTCAACTGGTTTGGGGGGGTTCAACTAATAAAGAATGAGCATAGGCCATTCGCTTCGTCGTCGCCTCAGGTGTTTCCCCCTGGGGGCTAGGGCGGGTGGTAATGGGGAGGGCGAGGTGTAAGGCATTATTGTTGCCCATTGTCTATCTAGTTTTTGTATAATTCATTTCTATGCGTAGCTGTCGGCCTGTCAGCTGTCGCCGCTCTTTTGATGAATCACAGGCCTGCCCAACGGCAGACCCCGCTAAAAATACACACAGCAGAAAATGCAAAATTCATGGTCGTTCTCCTCGTCGCTTCGCCTGGAATGCGGTGAAGGCGCTCCACTCAGCTCCGCTCTGTTCCACTCCTCTCTGAACGAATGAGCAATCGCCGGTTAGTTTGGTTAGTCGATGCTGGTTAGAGGGTTGACGGGGCCCGCTGGGGTTACGCAAATATGTGAAATCTGTTGCCAGGCAACGTCCCGTTGCGGTTACTCTTCCGCTCGTGGCAGGGGCATGGCTAGCAGACAGGCGACACACACACACATACATATGTATGTACATATATAGTTCGACCATTTTGCCAATTGGTCGGTTACCTATGGGCCGCATGGGTCAAAACCCAAACCCAAACCCTCCTTGGTTCTAGTTTTCCAGTGCCTGCACAGTCCCCGTACCACTGGCGGCACCAAGGAGAGCAGCAAAATGTTATAGCCAAAAGCTTCTTAAGACATGGCTTAAATGAGCTCAACGTCGTGTGACTGTCTGTCTTGGCAGCATTTACCCCACCAGATCTCCAAATGGCCCAGCAGCTAAGCTTCGCCCATTGCCATCCCATCGCCATGCCCATCCCCATCACCTGACCAGGCCACCGCCACCGCCGCCGTTGCCCATGTTGCCGCATTCATGTGCAACTAATCGACGTGTGCTGGTTTATTGGTTTCAGCTTTGGGTCTGGTGCGGTGGCAATTACGCTGCTTCTGCTTCTGGTTCTGCAATTCGTATTTCCCATTTACCATTTCCCATTTACCATTTCGTATTTTGCATTTGATGATGTGGTCAGGGGCCCAGCGAGAAGCTTTGCCGTGCGGTTTGCAAGAGCCGTTAGCCAAGGCATTCTCGGAGAGAGCACACAACACACAGCATGTGGTCGCAAGAATGGGGAAGGGTATGGGGGCATATACATACAATATACAATATGCTCTTAACTTTGCATGTTTATGTACCTACCTAAACGACGGACAATTATTTATCAAACAAGTGGCAAAGAGAATAACAACGCAGCAGATGGGCGAGGAGCAGAGGGACAGAGGAAGGGCACTGCACTGCTCTGCACTGCACTGCTCTGCACTGCATTATATTCAGCTCTCGAATGACAAGTGAATTGATTATGAGAATGATGATAATGATGATTGCAAATGACAATGGGCAGAGAGGAAGTAGAAGAATGAAATGCAATTTGCAAAATGGACTCCAAAGAGGAACTGCAAAAGACGGAGGAAACGAAAACGCAACACTGATGGACTGATGAATTATTGATAGAGATATTGAATGAAAAAAATCAGCAAAATGCGAGAATCCGATCCAGGATTCAATCGAATTAACGGAAAGGAAAAATACATTTTATTTGGCTGATCACCGATAGAAGCACCAAATGCAGAGGACACCGAACAGCATCACATAGGTGATATTGTCGCCAACCATGTACAAGCAGCTGACAAGACCTTCCAAAGCATGGAGCAGAACGTTGCCAAATCTCTGGCGCAGCGGCGCCCTGTGCATCTCTGTCTCCGATGGCACTGTCTCCACCTCGATGTGTATGGTATGCTGCTGGAGCTGGCTGGGCTTTTCCTTGGTGCACACGGCCACTCCTCCTTCCTCTACTGCTTTGGAGTCGTTCTGCTGTTGTTCCAGGAGTGTCCGGGATGTCTGAATGCTCACCTCGCAGGTGGCGGCCTTGATTGTGTGATCTGAACCAATACCCGCCGAATGATCTTTGGGAAGGCTGTTATAGATTGGGGCTTATTAAATGCTAGTTTCCTCACTCATACCAGGGCTTAGAGCGCGCTTAAGTTGTTGTTTCTGGTCTCCGTCCATGATCTTGGCGTAACCCTCGAAGAAGTTTAGCAGTTCTGTGAAGCGTTTGTTAATCTGTTTCTGGTCCAAATAATAGGATGTACTGCCATCTAGTGTCTGCTCAGCTCCGTTCTGACATCCTCCACTTGCATCCTCCGAAGCATTCTCAGCCAGTGCGACCTCGGTGGAGCTTTCGGCTTTTGGACCCTCATCATCCTGGGACTGTGGCATGATGAGTATGAGTTTGTATTTTTTAGTGCAAAGTGTTCAGTGTTCAGGTGAATTTTATTTTCTGTCTACTATTTGTGTCGTTCCCGAAATGTGTGTATGAATTTTTGAAGACGGGTTGCTTCCTGTTTTATCCACTTTGTTGTTCAAAAAGTTACTACATGTTGCAGGGGTATCTTATATTAATTTGACCCTTTAAACCAGCTTTTGTTTTTTGCTGTATTTTCCAAATCTCAAAATGCATTTCATTCAGTCGAAATCTTAAATGAATTGAATTCGGAGTTTCTTTTTTGGCGTCTGTTTTCTGAGAACCAGAGACAAAAGAATGAAAATGGAGCGAAACTTGTTTAATACGAAATTGATGAAAGCGCTTAAGTAATGTGAAAATTTACAGCTTGGCCGAGCACAGCGACAGTGCCCTCTGCCACAGCAGCAGCAGCAGCAGCAGCAGCAACATTGGAAATTCTTAGCTGGGGCACTAACTGTTTCCATTTTCTTTCTGCTCTCTCTAGTATACGTATATTTCGGGAGTTTTATGTTAATGCTTTATAGCGCTGGCCACGCCTCGCTTCCAGTTAAAGTTCGTTTCGGGGCCCCGAACTTTTATGCGTCCATGGATAGAAGGAAATTCCACTCTGGGCTGCTTGTGGCGCCACACCAGCTGCTGTTGCTGCTGTTGCTGCTGCTGCTAACTGTGATAACTGTTGGCTGATATCTGTAGCTGCGATTTATTAACAGTTAGCTGCCGTACCTACCACAACTAGTACTACTACTACTAATACTACTACCACTACCAATACCACAATAATTGTAGTTCTTCCTCCCTTTGTTGTTGCTGCATTTCGCAGCAAGAAGCCGAAAATTTATTGCCTGCAGCCACATGATGAATGATTTTGATAATAATATTTTGTTATTGCTTTTTTGCCTTGAGCGGATTTTTTTTTTTTTCTTAGTCTTGTTTTTTTTGTTCTTTTTTTTTTTTTGCTGTTGCAGCAACTTTTGGTTGCGTTTTGTTGCCAAAAATTGAAGTCACCATGGAGCCATGGAGCTAGAGGAAAGACCTTGCCACAAAAAGCTGTAGATGGGCTCTGCGGATGGGAGTTGTTGCCCCCTGCTGTTGCCACTGCTGCCGCTAAAACTAAAACATTTGGCCAACTGACGAAAACACAAACCAAAAGTAATAAACTAAAGGTTGTCATAAGAAAACTCAGACGGCGAACGGTCTTAAAGAAAAACTCATTTGTCTAGAAGAAGTTTCTGGGGGCTTGGAGCTTGAGGCGCTTGGGGCATGTGGCAAGAGCATGTACAGAGTTTTAAAAATATCATCATATTGCAGTTACGAGTATATGCCATGGGTGTGTCTGTATGTTGTCTCGTTCTTTGTTAAACAAATTTAAAATGCTTGGATAAAAGCAGATCTATTTAAAATGACAATTCGAACGGAGTGTTACAGAGTGGCTTAGCACGACAGTGGGAGGAGTTTTCATGTATGGTATTTAATTTTTTATATTTAATATCAATAATAATATTTAATTAATTTAAAAGGGCCATCAATCAATAGAGACACTGAAAAATTATTAAATATGTGCTTATGTACTCAGCTGTTTGATTTGCCCTATCTATATGGTTTTCATTACGACAGTATAATGATAAATAAAGTCAGAAGTTCACTGGAAATTAAAGATTGTGTCACGATTGGGTAATTTGACAGTATCTTGAAGTTCTAATGACCGAACAAGTGGAACAAATTTATTGTGAAACATGTGCTAAAAAGTTCACCGAATCTTATGTTTGCTGTGACCTTGGAGTGCCATTGTAAATTACGATTTTCCACAACAAAAACAATTTGGTAAAGTAAGACATTCGTCTGCGGCAAATAAAGTTGAAGTGAAAAACAAAAATCCCAAGGCCCCACTCCCACCTCCCCCCGGAACTGTGGATAGTAGACAAAAGACGGCATTAATGTCGGCACTTTAAGGCTTGCGCTCCGAGGCTCCGAGCGCTCATCGTGAAGCGAACGAGTGTGCAATTTTTGACAAATTTATGATGATGGAATTTTAAGTGATTTTTAACGAGTGTTTGCTGACATGAGGGGGGGTGTAAGACTGTCCAACGAGAGAGACAGGGAGCTGCAGCAACATCTGTAATATGTTTAAAAATCAAACCAAATTCGTGGCTTAAACGAGAGCACAAACGAAACAAATTAAAGGATTGCGGGAGGTGGGTGTGCCACATCTTCCAAACCCAATCCAAAGAGCCATACAGCATTCAGCTGATGCCACCCACTAAACGCGTAAATCGCGGATGGCAGCACCTGTGCACTCAACTGTAAAATTTATTGATTGCAAAAAAAAAAGGCCTTGGGGCCGTGCCCCTATCTATAGATGCCCACGCACACAATTTCAAGATTCTATGGCCCATCGAATACGTGTGGGTTTTATTTTGGGGAGAAGTCAACGGAATTAGTGCCACAAATAGCAGCCAAGCTGATAAATCATTGGATCCATTACCACAGATATTACAAGTATTATTATTAGTATTATTCACTTGCAGGACATTGTGATGACCTCATTATTTTGCAGAAACACAGTAATTTCCATAAGTATACCTCTGTCATGGCGCTGCCAATAATTGGACGATCCTATTGCGAATGTGCCATACAGCAACTGCTATACGTATGCTCCAAGGCATGGAAATTGTAATGGTAGGTCCAGTAATAATTTAGTAGAGCCATGGAAACTGCAGCAAAAGGTGCTCCGCAGTACACCGTGCTTGTGAATATTCACACCCAGCAGTTGGTAAAACTATTCGCTACAGAACCACATATTGCGCGGACTTCTAAGTGGTGCCGTGGCGGTCTCTCTGCCGCCTCATCGTTGGTGGGTGGGTGTACGTACATATATTCGTGCGAGTGATTGACATGCATTCTGATTGAATTATTAATTATGTAATGCGAAACCAATCGACTGCAATTTGCATATGGAATGAGCCTCACACGCTCACAAAGGCTAATTAGGGCCCTGCTCTGCTTTTGCTCAATCCCAATCGAGGCGCAGGCTGCGTGGCCCAGCTCGTCCCATTCCAGGCGTGGGGTGACTGAATGAAAATTGCACAAATTTGCATAACATATATAGCGATATGTATATTTAAAGTGCAGCCCAACACAACGCAACGCAACGCTACAAAAGTTTTCAGTAGTTTTCAGTGGTTAACCCGTCCGTTAGAGGCACTGACGACTTTGTCATGCAAATGGAAATGTCGGAAAATTTCTCTTCTGCTTCGCTCCTAAGAAGGAGAACGGACGACCAGCTACTCGTTGTTGTTTTAATTGCATTCAAGCAAATTGGTCACTTAGGGAAATTGTTACTTGAAAATGCGAAAATTAGTTTGTTTTCCACTCTTTGGAAAATAATTGCACGTGAAGAATATCCAAATTAATATTTCATCAAATTGTTTATTTATGTTGAACATTGACAATATATTTCGTTGGATTTGCTCCAACCAAAAATTCCACCAACAATTTCTGTTTATTTAAAGACAAAAACCGATTCCGTTTCTGTCTTGTCATGCAAAAGCCTCCACACGTATTCGATTGAGAGCGTTTGAGCCTGGGGAATCCGACAAAAGCAGGCTACAAAACAAATTCCACCCCCACAGCACAGTCACAGCCAGTGTGAATCAAAGAGGAGCAGAACCAGAAGACAGGCTAAAAACAGGGGCGAAAACAAAAAAAAAAATATTGAAACGCAGCAAATGTTTACATAATATGGACCACAGCTCCATCTGCAGACGCAGATGCAGACCCTCCAGTTCCCAGTTCCCAGTTCGCAGATCCCAGACGGTAGACGCTCAACGGTAGGTGTGATGTTTGAACTACACTCGACTGGCTGCTGCTGCTGCTCAGACCGGGTTGCTTCTTCACTTTACTTTTACTTCACTTTGCTTATTCTGTTTTACGGCCACTGTTTTTGCCTCGGTGGGCACTATGCACCAGGCACACAGCCCATCCTCACAGCCCATCCCCGGCTCATCCTTAGACTTATTCACAGCTGCGTTCTCGTCCTCATCCTGGCTGGAGCAGCACTTGGCAAAGGCAGAGGCAAAGGCAAAGGCAATGGCGATTGCGTTGGCGGTGCACTGGTGTTATTAACATTTCTGTTGACATCCTTTGGGTTGCGTTTTCTGTACTATACTATAGAAGGGGTATACTACTAGAGAGTACTACCAACGCACTAGTACCCTGTTTTAGTTTAGTTAAAATTTTCGAGGGTTTGAAAAATATTTAAAAAATGCATCAAAATCACTTCGAATCAGAATACTGCACACTCTAGAAATAGCGTTAGTAATTTCATTATATTGTAGAAAACAGGGTACAGCCAGCGTATATACCCGCATTAAAATACCATTTCCTTTTGCTTTCTTTTCCCTTTTTACTCATTTTCATTCCCCTTCTGTGTGTGTGTGTTTTTTTTTACCCTTTTTAATGTGTATGTATGTACTTAGCCGCTTTCTCAACTCTCAATCTTGCCACACGTGAAACATTTTCATTTTACTTTAGTGCATACGAATGTATTTTTATTTTTATTTTTGTTGCATTTTTGAATGCGTCTCAAAGAACCAAAAAATACAAAAACAAGCTGGAAGAAATTATTAATGCACATACGAGTGCGTACAGTACGAGTACGAGTATGAATATGAATATGTATTGTTGACATATTGAGAGAGAGAGATTGTGGCAATTTGGACCAGACGACACCATTTAAAAAGCCATTAGGGCCTGCCTCCGCCTCCGCCAGCGCAGCGCATAATTGCCGGGCACAATGGAGTCCCACATTCATAGCCCATGCCCCATTGGTATCGTAGTTTTTTCCGTGTCGCCAGCCAGTTATCAAGTAGCACAGATGTCGCTGCTCCGTCTATATCTTCTGGTAGTCGGAGGATATTTCAGCTGCTGCCTGGCCGCCTATGTGCTGCGCGTGGATAATTTCACCTTCGTTGTCGATGATCCCACGATAATCCTCTCTCAAAGTGCTTTCGCCGAGCAGGAGCAGAACCGCAGCTATCTGTCGGGACATATGATCTTCAATCGATCGCTAAACGAGATCATGCTGCGTGCTTCAATGAATATCAGTCGTCCTCGACTGCCGGAGTTGCGACTCTTCGATGTTAAATTGAATGTCTGTCATGTCATCAGCAATGTTTACAAGAATCGCTTTGTCAAAATATTCTACAATAGTTATGCCTCATTTCTCAACAATAAACCCCTATGTCCCATTAAGACGGTAAGTAGAGATTTCTTAGGACCATAAAATATGCATTAGAGTTTCCGCATTACGAATACTTCAACAGAACTTCAACTACACCCTGACGCGCGCCTATTTGAACGAAGAAGTTCTGCCCGAGCTCCTGCCGCAATGCTCCTTCTGCATGAAGCTAATTTTTCATCACAAGTCCAAGCCACTGGCTCACATGCAACTGGATGGCCGATTGAGTAGGGCCTGATGGCAGTACATATATTGGATTATCAGTACTAGCCCCATCGATTTGGGGCATGGAAAATTGGTTTTGGGATCATTGGCAACTCAATAAACTGGAGAAAAACAAAATTTCAGCCAATTTCAATTTCCCACTGCTCCCATTACTCTGAGATTTAATCGTCGGCAGACACACAAGCGAAAAATGTGAAAGAGAATGCTGGAGAATGCAAAAACAAAATGCAGCTGTGTGATATTAATCTAAAAGGAAACCTCTATTATCACAAGAATTTTATATAGTTTAGAGCCTATATACATGTCTGTACACGAGTACGTTCCGCATGGATAATTCAAATGATAGAATCATTCTATATGAATAACCATCCATCGACAAATAGAATAAATACATAATTATGATTATTATATTCATGTCATGTACATATGTATGTATCCATGTATTTGCATGTCAGCGCGGATTCTGCTGCCTCCAAAGAGCATTGTAGCATAAGCCATAGCCATGAACACTTTGTTTTGGATCATCATCAGTGCATCGGTCATCATCCTCAAGAAGCCAGTCATTTCAGGGGAAATGTCAGTGTACTTTGACGAGTTCGTCGTAAAATACTGGACAACTGATCTGTTCGAGAAGGTCGATTACAAGCTGTTCTACATGGACAATCGGAGCTACGTGAATGCTGAGTTTGTGCTGAAGCGGAGTATCGGAGATATAAATGTACGAACTGCCATGGACTTTTGGAAGCCAAACAATCAGAAATTGAAAATTTACGACGTTCAATTCGATGGGTGTCTCCTGCTAAAAACTGCTCATAAGAATCGGCTTTTCAACGTTTACCTCAGAAGCTTTAAAAAGCATTTGAATGCAAATCTCACTTGTCCCATGAAGGCGGTGAGTAAATGCCATTGACAGAATTGTGACTTATTTTGCATACATATTCGTTTACCCCAGAATTTTAGCTACACGTTGTCCAATTGGCGATTGGAGGCACAGGATCTACCGCCATTTATTCCGGTCGGTAGATTCCGTACGATTACCGAATATTTCACCCAGAAACAATTGGGAGCGCGCATAGTCGCGCAGGGTAAATTTTTGAACAAGAACTAGATTCAAATAAGCAAATATTTATTGAGTTATTATTTACTTTGAAAAATAAACAGAAATCTTGTAATTGCACCCTTGGAGATCGTTGAAATATTTCTCAATTCACACTGCTAGTTTACTCAGTCCGCCAGAGACAAGCCCACTCTTTACTGATAAGTCACACTGGAACAGAGAGAGAGGGAGAAAAATAGGGAGAGGGAGAGAGATATGTTCTGAAAAGTTCTGCAGCTCAATTTTTGCTAAAAAGTTTTGCTCCGCTTTCAGCCAAATATTTGCATCATTTATATTTTATATAATTATTCACATATATACTATATACATATATTATATCTACCATTTTTTTTTGATAAATCAATTGAAATATAAAGCAGAAAATTGAGAAATTATAGAATCATTTATATGGATATAATTGTATATCTAATTGTTGACTCCGATCGATCCACTCTACAATGGATTATTCGAAAATGCAAATCGATCGACCCTGCAATTGCGCCTCATCCGAGTGAGTATATACTGGTGGTTTATATAGATTCTCCATTATTTTCGTAACATTAGCCATGATCGCCGTGCTTTGGATATTCTGGTCGCTCATCATAAATGGCGCAATGTCAGAGCAGCGCAACTTTCGGGTAATCCTCGATGAGATCAGCGTGTCGGACCGTGATCCGGACTTGTTGGAAAAGTTGGAGATTCAGCTGACCCAGAAGAATAATCGGAGCTACGTCGATGCCCAAATAATATTCAAACGTAACTTTAAAGATATGACTGCACGTACCTCTCTGGATATGTGGAAGAGCAGAAATCAAATAATTCGGCTGTACGACGTACTATTGGATGCGTGTCTCTTCCTCGATGTGTCCCATAATAATCGATTGTTTAACGTCTTTGCCAAGGCACAAAGAAAATATTCAAACCTGAGTTGCCCCGTCAAAGCGGTGAGTCGTGTCAGATAACAAAACTTTTAACAATAATTTCCATTGTTATTCCAATCGCTTTCTGCAGAATTTAATCTACGCGTTTAACCAATTTTATATTGATGAACAGCAGTTGCCCTCCTTTATACCGCTGGGCGGCTTTCGGTCCCTGATCGAATACTCAAGCAAACATAAATTGACTGCGCGTATCATAACCCGCGGTAAAATTGTACCCAGACCTTGAGTTTCCATATTATGTATATGTTCAACCAAAAGGTTTATAATAAATGCATATTCGTATTCGTATTATCAAATGGATATATATTATATATCGGGTACACAAATAATTTTGTTTCCCTGAACACCCATGTGATGAGCGGTGTTTTTGGGTAGGAATAATTACGAAATTATATAAATGCATCCGGCTGTTTCACGCATAATTAATATTCCCTACGAAATTTTAGAATACATATAAAATTTTTAATAATACCTCATATAAATATTTAAATGGTTTTTGCCTCCATTGAGCTCTTTAATCGACTCCCATAAGCCCATGTCAGTATTATATTTTTACCTTCTGCCATGAGCTGGTCTTTGTTTTGGATCTGCTGCTGGTGCATTCTGCCAAATGACGGGAGGACAGAGCGCAACTTTGAGATTGCTCTTGATGAGATCAGCGTGACTAATCTCGATCCGGAGTTGATGGAAAACTTGGAGTTTCAACTGACCCAGATAAATAATCGCAGTTACATCGACGCTCAAATGACATTGAAGCATAATCTCAAGGAGTGGAATGTACGTAACACTCTGGAGTTTTGGAAGCCAAACAAGCAGAAAATCAAAGTGTATGATGTACAATTTGAGGGGTGTTCTATTCTGGAAGCTGGAACTAAGAGTCGCTTGTTGAAAATTTTCGCAAAAGGTATTAGGAAACACTCAAATCTAAGCTGTCCCTTCCAAGCGGTAAGTGGTAAAAACTTTCAATTTTTAAATGCAATTTAATAATCATAAAATCATCTCATACAGGACTTCAATTATACGTTAAATAAACTGTTCTTTGATGAGCAGGATTTTCCTCCGTTCGTACCGATAGCCCCATTTCTATGTCTCTTAGAATTTTCAACCAAACAGCGACTAAGTGCACGTCTCACAATACACGGCAAAACTACAGCAAAACCTTAAACGGTGTACCACGTGCCGCAACACTATCGATATACTGTATATCGTATATGTATATTTTATATTAATGTATTCCCAGTTAATGTATTGCATGAAAACTAAATGATTGTCCTTTAATGAACATTTAAATAAAGAACAAAAAAAGCAACAAATATTTCCATTTTACAATTTCCCACCTGGAGTCACCAGGGCATTCAAATTTCAGGGATTTTTTCACTTCACCAGGGGAAGAGAGCCTACCACACCGAAAGCCAACCAATTTGGGAGTAGTAGCAGCAGCTGCCTCTGCAGCCAGCTCTCATTTATAATAATACACAAATATTTTGTAACACAAACAAAATAAATATTCACTTAAAATGAAATACCTTTTCAGACATTTTTAATTCATTCATTAATTAAAATGGACCCCCATATGAATAATGATATCATGAGCGCCGCCAGTATTGGCAAATAAATACAAATATATTTCACGAACAGCACGAGTACATTCTTACCCTTAGCTATGGGCACTGTGTTTTGGATCTGCTGGTTCCTCATGCTCTCCACACCCAGGGACGTGAGGACAGAGCGTAATTTTCGCTTTATCCTTGATGAGATCATCGTGTCGTCGCTGGATCCGGACTTTGTCGAAACGTTCGAGTTTCAAATCTCCCAGATAAACAATCGGAGCTACGTTGACTCTCAGATGGTGTTGAAACGCAATGTCGACTCTTTGGGTGCCCATGCCACATTGGATTTTGCGAAGAAGAACAGCAAGGTTAGCCAAATGAGACTATACGATGTACAAGTCGATGCCTGCCTCTTTCTCGGGAAAAGTCACCGGAATCGCTTGTTTAAAATGTACGCAAAGGGACTCAAAAAGTTTTCGAACCTGAGTTGCCCCTTTAAAGCGGTGAGCGGTAGGTGATTCTGATTTCGATGAAAATAATTCAAGTAATCGTCTCCTGCAGAACTTTAACTACACCATAGAAAAAATGTATATTGATGAGGAGGAACTTCCCACATTCGTACCCTTTGGCTCGTTCCGATCTGTAGTAGAGTATTTACACAAAGAGGGAATCGGTGCGCGAACCGTGACGCTTGGACGATTTATTCCAAAAATGGAATAGAAAAAAAAACAGGGAAATAAATTCAAGCGCATTTAAAAATTTTAAATGTTGCAAAAAAGGTTACCTATAAGTCAAATTTGATCATTTCCTGCATATGTTCCCATGTTCCCGCTGTCTGGAATCTTTGGCCTGGTGTCGTCGCTTGGGCCACTTGTTGGTCCAGCCGTCTGGCAGTAAAGTTTGATTTTATACTGATTTACAGCCCGCATATAAATCTTGGATGACTATCAGCTCTAGGCTCTCTCTTTTTTATCGTTTATGAAGTACATATAATACTATAGCAGATGTCTGTATGTATCAGCTGTTTTATCAGCTATGTTCATGATATCATATATTAATTTAGCCACAAAATAAAGTACACATTTCTTATCAGGCTGGGACACAGGGATTGTTCATGTATTGCGATACACGGCTTATGGGAGCTTACTCGTTAAAACGAATAGAAATGTGGCCATCTGCCAGCCAAGAAGTTTGAGCTGTGAATATGAGTTCATTCATTCCCATTTTGTAAATTAAAAATCGCTTTCGCCCGCTATTAATGAAGGCGAAATGATTCAAATGGTTTTATCGGTTTTGAGCGTTTAAAATTAAATTAAAAGTCCATTTGTTCTATAAAGTGGAATCAAAAATACTTGCTGCTGAGATATAACTTTCCGAAAATATGAATCAGTTCAGTGTAACGGATCCATTAAAATGAACGCGGGCTGGCGGCTGAATGTGATTCCATTGTTTATTTGGATGATCCTGATGGGCAATGTTCGGGCAAAGGTGAGGAACGTAGATATATTACAGCTGCCAGGGATTGAAACCTATTTTCATGTATCACCAGATGGATGCCTACTTCACCAAGATGGAGTGCGTGAATCATATGCCTCAACTAATGAAAAATGTCAGCTGTCATTTGGATGGCAACAGAACATTCTCCGTGGAGCTTTCGTTGGCCCACACGGTAAAAGATGTCAATGGAACATATATTTTGGGTGTAAAGCGTGGCTCAGCGGTATCCAACTATATTACCATGGATATCAATTATTGCGAGGCTCTCGAAGCATTATATTCAAATTATCTGATCAAAATGATTGCCGAAGAATTACGACGCGCTGGAAATTTCCCAAATCATTGCCCCTTCAAAAAGGTTTGTCGCTCCATCTCGAATTATAGGCAGCCCCTTCACGTTATTATCGTTCCAGGATACACCATTCTATATCAAGGACTACACAATCGATACAAGGTTGATACCAAGCTATGTGCCCGAAATTGACTTCATATCGGACTGCACTATTAAAATATACAACAAGAAGGCGTTTCAATTAATCCTGTATGGTCGCGTAGTTCGCCAAAAATCGGGTCGTTGAATACAGATCATATTTACTTGCAATAAAATAAATATCTCTGCAGAGTTGTCTACCAGTGGATGTCTTCTATAATCTTAAATATAGTAGAAGCCTATTGGGAGCGTCATTAATAATGATATGTGCCTTGGAGAGGTGCATGAGGCAACACAAATTTTCCCCACTCATTATGTTTAATATTTTATGATGTGATTGATGGTGTTGTGCCATCAAATTTTCCCCCATTTTCGGCTTGCAAAAGAATTACTTTACTTTTAAAACATTGTGTTGACAAGAAACCCCAAAAAATATGAAGCCCTTCAGCACGAGGAGGTCGGCGGGGTTAATGGATGCATGGGGTGAATCCTTTTGGATGGAAAAGAGGAAAGAGTTTGTACAAGCTTCAATGTAAATTTGCTTCGTATTTTTTGCTGGGCTTTTTTTTTTGTTTTTTGCAACGAACAGAACTTGATTACACGTGCGCTAATTTAGTTGCACGCGAAAACATGCGAGTAATCAAAACGGTTGCTGAAGTGCCAGACCGCCAGAGCCTCGACTCTACTCAACTCAACTCTACTCGACTTGACTCGACTCGACTCGGCAGAGCACCCACCGTGGCTGCTTCTTAGCTTCTGTCCCCTTCCCTGCATTTTCACGATATACCTGTCCCTCCGACCTGGACACATCCTTAACCCGTTGACGTTCGAAATTTGAGTTCATGGCATGTTCATGCATGTTGCCGGTTGTTGGCCCTGGGCGCGTTCGTCGGCGAACACAAATTTAATTTATACACACACACACACACACACACACACATGCAAATACATATTTTCCATCATAAACACACACACACAGATGCAGAAGCAATATGCAATGTTGGAGTGGTGGCGCAAAAAAATATGCAATAAATTTTTAATTTAAATCAAGCCATCACGCCGGCTTCTCCACCCCAAAAGCTGCCTCTCACGTTCAAAAGGGATTTGGGGGTAAGTATACGAGAGTAAGGGAACAGAAGGACGGGGGGGCACGGGGCACAGACTGAGGCAGGGACTTATGGGTATTAACATATGAATGCAACTTTTGTATACAATATTCTTGTACACATACCTGTCTCTCTCTCTCTCTCTGTCTCGTTGTTGGTTCTGGGAAACAGCAGCCGAATGCTTTTTGTTGGATGCTCCTCACAGTTGGTTCTGTTGCCAAATCACGGGAATAACTCTGACTCAGGTTCCGAGAAACGCCACCTGAAAAGAGTATAAAAGTTAATAATAAGAAATTTTCTTTTTTATTTTCTTTAACTCTGAAAGTCAGAGATTTCTTGTAGCATTTTTTAACCCTCATTTAAGGGATTGTATAAAAATAGACATTCGATGGATTTTTCCAATCTTTTATATTCTTCTTAAGCATGTTACATAATTATTTAATGAATTTCACATAAATTTAGATATCATCTCAGCAACAATCCTAAATCCTACACATCCGGGAACCCTCCAAAATCGTTTTTCTACTCGGCATCCACGTCAACCTTGATGGTTTTGCAGAGGTTCTGCAGCTGCTTGTTTGTCTCCTCCATTTCGGTCCGCAGATTGGAGAGACTGATCTGGATCTTGGCCATGCGCATGTCCCCGGCTTTTAGCTTCACCTCCTGGGAGGCCGTGAAGTCGGTGGCATCTCGTCGTCCCTGCGTCAGGCGGCTGCGTGGCTGGCGGCGACTGTTGGTTGGTGCCGCCGCCTGGGGGCGTTCAACCAGCCGATTGGTGGCTGCCATTGTCACATCGTTGTCGGCGTTGTCGCGTCCATCGCTGGGACTGGGGATCGTCTTGGTTTTGGTTTCCGGCATGCTTGCGGCGATAATTGGTATTTAATTAACGTTTCAGAGAATTTTGTTTGCCGAAATTAGTCGCTATGCTGAGAGACACTGTACACTGACAATATACTCGTACAAAAATATTTTATACAATATAAATTTGTCGTATATGTCTCGGGTTGTATGTCTGAAGCGCACCGAATCGTATCAAAATGTTTGACTTACTTTTGGCATAATGAACACCGACTGCTGGGGTCTCGCACACAGGATGTCGATGTGAATACTACAGTGGGGCAGACTGGCAGACTGGCAGAGTGGCAGAGGAGGGGCAGAGAGCGGCAGGGCAGTGTGCTGATGAGTTGGGGGCATGTGTGCGGTGGAGCATACCGTTGAACTTTAATTACAATTAACCGCAAATGATGTAGCGCTGCTGGTGACGGCGGCGGCTCTGGCTTGCGGTCAGATTCAGGCCAGACGAAAAGACCAACAGTCGTAAAGCGTTTGAAACGATACGACTATGATATGCCCTGCTATCCCAGCAGCAGTGGCTAATGCCTCTTGAGTGTCGCTTCGACTTCTTTCAGTGTATATTTCAATCTATTTTGATTTAATCACAATTATTCCACAAAAATACGTTTGAAATTATATTCCCAGCATTGTTTATTATATTTTGAGTAGCTCTGAACGGGCTTTCAAATACTTATTCGATGCTATGTAACTGGAGACACTCCACCGGCATACGATTGCATTTGAAACATTTACAATATTTAATAATTTATAATTTCACATGTACCCCAAAAGAATTGATATCAAAAGTCTGTGGGAAAGGATGAATTTCTGTTTCATCCTTTGCGTTAAGGCAGGGTATTCGCACACACAAAAAAGGTGGACATAAACCTATTAAAGTATGAGGATCAAGCACACACACACACACACACACACAAGGAGTACAAGGACTACAAGGACCACAAGGAACAGGGACTTGAGCGAGCAGGCTCTGGCTCTGGCCACATGGGAGGACATGGCATGCAATGGTCGACTCAAATCAACTCGACTCGACTCGACTCCTGCTACCCATCTGCTTGCACTGGCCAGCAAAAGGGAGAGAGAGAGGGAGGAGGCACGCAATTAATTAAAAATACATGCAACGTGAACGAGTTTCAGACATCCTGCCACAGCCTGCTGCCTGCTGCCTGCATGCCTCCTGCAGCGGTATTAATTTGACCGCAAAATAAGCAAAGTATCCGGTACCCAGCCATGACAGGGGGCCGAGCCGTATCGGACAACGTACATTTGCTCGACCATCGCTAAATGCATTACACTCGAGACCAGAAAATTGGTGTCGCTTTTTTCTTTCTTTCTCGTTTTTGTTCCTGTGTTTGTTTTTTTTTGTGTTTGCTGTTGCTGCGAGTCTAAGTGGTCAACATGTGCTGCCAGGAGTCCTGCTACTGCCACTGCTACTGCCACTACTTCTACTCCTGCTGCTGCTGCTGCTGACTTTTGCGTAAACATCAAATATATGTGTGTGTGTGTGTGTGTGTGTAGTTGTCGAGGGAAAACAAATAGAAAACGCAGCCAAGGAAACCAGCATGAAGAATGGACACAACTACCTAATGTCGAATACACTTGCCAGGAGTAAATTTCATTAAATCTGAACGCAAAAAAAATTAAGAAAAATGTAAATTAACAATTTCCCTTACTAATTTATATTTATAAGTATTTAAAAGCAGATGGAAATATTGGCCTTAATTTGTATTGCATCACAGGTACCCTGCCCCTGCCAGGGTGTATGTCATAGCGATGGTACCCTGCCATCCGCACACCCATATGAACCAAAAGAACGGCGAAAAATAAGCAAGGCAAAGGCAAGGAAGGACATCAAATAAAGTTAAGCAAACAAGAGCATTAAGTGCATTGATGTTGTTATTGCTGTTGTCTAGGACTCGGACGCGGACGCGGACTCCTGCTCGGACTCCTGCTCCTGGGATGCTTCCCGAGTACTGGTTTTCTTCCTACTATTCTATTTTCCCCGTTCCCTCGATGCTGTTGTCCCTTCTTTGGGCAACAACTTCATTAGGCAAGTGCTCGACCGGCTCCATCCCCTGCCTGGTGCCTGCCTGGTGCCTGCCTGGTGGCTGCTGCTGTCTCCTTTACCATTTTCTATTGATTTTCTTAGCAATATTTCCATTACGGATATTCTATTCTCTCCTTTCTCCGTGTTTTTTTTTTTCGCTTTATTTTGTATTTGCCTGTGATGTTTTTGCTCCTGTCTTGCGGACACACCGTGGAGAGTGTCAAATGCCATTAAATGTCAACTAACCAGCTGTGGGGGGTCTGTGGGGGGGCTGGGCACAAGCACACCCCTGGTCTAGGCGCCCCAAGTGGCCAGGTAAGAGTCTTCCACGGCCACTGATTGCCACAGAAGGCAGGCGGCCTGAGGCCTGAGCGTCATGAGACCTTGGGGAGGATTCACCCGGAAATTTCACTTACCTTTTGCCATAGACAAGAGTGGCAAACGTTTTGACAACGCTTTGAGGACTTTGGCAGCTGTAAGCGACTGTGACATGGACCTCTACTATCTTCTATGTACATTGAGCCGAATGGAATAGAGCACCCACAATACGAAATTGGATGCAATCTATTATAGATAGAAGCACTAACTAATCTAAACAGAGTTATTGAAAGACTAGCTCTAAGTTTTTCTCATCGAATTTCGGATCGGAATTGTCCCTCAAGGTTTTTCCCAATTGCGAGTAGGATTTCAAATCTAAAGTGTAACAAATCTTGGCACACGATTATTATGATAAATAGCACGAGTTAGAGCAGAAGCCGGTCCAAGAATGAGTTGAGAAATTATGGGCTTAATGATAAAATGGCATGATGAAAATCCAAAACTACTTGCCAGGCGCTAATTGAATGCATGCTGCGCCTGGACTTGGACTTGGATTTGGGTTGTCCTATGGGCTCCGTTTTGCAGCATCCGCAATTGCAGCTGGAGCTGGCCCAGCGATGATAAACGACCCGGCCAAGAGTAATAGGAAACAAACAAGCATTAAGGCAAAAATATTTCTAAACAAATATTATTTACGAGCTGATGCGATGAGGAGAGGCACGAGGCGGAGTCTCGAGAGTTTTGGCAACGGTTAGACGCCTACTCCATTTGTTGGCCAGTTGCAGTATTATTATTTTTTTTTTTTTGGGGGGGGTTTTGTGCCACTGAGAATAATCAGCAACACCTCATAAATTCTAGAGAAAGAGGCCGGCCAGAATAATCAGGATGATTGCCAAAAAATAAAAATACAACAGCGAGAGGAACCTCACCAAAAGAAAGCTTAGATCTTAATTAATTCTGTACAGAAGGATGATTATATGTTGTAGAAAATATATATTTATTTATTTATCTAAACCTGCCGATTGATTCATTCAGAAGCCAGATGATTCCCGCTTGTGATAGATGCACATATGGCTAGCGAGTGATCAGGGGAACACGCCCAGAAGCAGGCAACACAAATTAGCTTTAACATACAGCCAAAGGGTAAACGAAAGGATGGGGCAGGAGTGTGTGCAGGATGATGATGGATGGAAGGCTGGCGGCCACTCAATCCCACACAGTTGTTCTGCTCCAACGCTTTCGCACAAACACCAATCAGCTGGCAGATGAATCAAGCGCAGGCGTTGGTGCTGGAGCTGGAGCTGGGACTGCGGCTGGGACTGGGACTGGGGCTGAGGCTGGGCTCTTCCCTGCGGCCCTTTCCCCCCAATTTTTTTATTTTTTTTGGACAGGCGACAAAACTGCGGCACTACGGAAAAAGGGACCCCACAGGCCCCATGCCTGGCAACAGCAGCCGCACACAGAGAGAGAGAGAGAGCGTCACAAGCGACACATGCAAGAGGAAAATCAATAAAGTGTTTGTTGGTTTATCTTATTTTCTCGTTGCATGGACGGATGCGTCGTTGTTGGTTTCTTTTTTTTTTGTGTCCTTCTTCCCTTTCAAATATAAATATAAATCTTTGGCGCACTTAAGCCTTTTAAATGATAACAATGGCCCCCACCGCCCAGAAGCAGCAGCATCAGTAGCAGAAGATGCAGCCGAACAGGACAACCCCTGAGTAGCAGGTGCGCCAACTGGACGCAGGACGCAGGACACAGGACACAGGAGAGAGGACGCCAATAGCCGTAGGACTTAGGACAACGGCATCGACAGAAGTTCCCCCTGTGCCAATCCGTTCCAGCAGCTGGCGGACAAATGTGCGTAGTCTTGCACCATCCACCAATGCCACCATGCCACCATGCCACCAGCATGCACCACCTCCTGCCGAGGCAGATATTCCATGAATTTATTATGTCTCTGCTTTAATGGAGTTTCGTTTCATCGAAAAGTTTCCCTCGAACAAATTATGAAATATATACCAGCGGAGTCAGCTTTTTTTGGAATTGAACGGAAATTGCGGTTAAAATTTGTTCAAAAAGCCACAAGAAAAAAAGGAAAGAAAGGAACAAAATATCAGAAAATAAAATGCTAGTTTATGGGCTTGGTGTGGTAGGGTGGGGTGGAGTGAGGTGAAAGAGCAAAAGTTTTCATTAATTTATTATATTTGTATACCCAAGAAGTTTTTGGTATTGCGCGGCATTTTATTTCTGTACTTTGGTGGAAATTTGCATGAGGGATCCTTCAGTTATATATTATATTTTCTTCCTGCGCTGACTTGTTTGTTCTTCCAATAATTATTCTCTGACAAATGGATCTACATACTCTACTCTACTCTACTCGTATTCACATGCTGAATGAAGACTTAATCTGAGGCCCAGCACCGCCCTGATGACCCTTTCGTTTGATTCGGCTTCCTCAAAATGCATTTATGCAAAATAGAATTAGTGCACTAGACCGTTATAATTGTCATATTAGACAGAAAATGCCATGGCCGACAGCCGAGAGGGGAGGGGGCAAAGCGCCTGAAGTGTCAGTGGACGGACGGACGGACGGACGGACGGACGGACGGACGGACAGTGGAGTGGCCACGATTAGAGACAGGAGCCCAGACCAGAGCCAGAGCCAGGAGAGGCTGCTTCCGACCCAGACATGGCAGGAAATTGCTTAATTTAGCGCAAAAATTATCCACTAGCCAACGAAGCTCAATGGCAGAAGAGCACCCCCGCCCCAGGCCACCGCCCGAGCAGATACCCGAGATACATACATCAAGCAGCCAGCCAGGCAACCCTTTTTCACATTTTGGGAATGACACAAATGGCAGACAGAAAATAAAATTCACCTAAACACATTCTACAACAACAGAAAACAAAAACAAACAAACACAAACAGAGAAACAACCAAACAAACCCATGCCATACACATCATGCTGCAACCTCACGACGAGAGTCTAGGGGAGGCAAGCTCCAGCGTGTACGCACACACTGAGAATGCATCAGAGGATCCGAGTGTGGCATCGCTGAACGACTCCGAGCAGCCATCAGACCAGAGCACATCCCATTACTTGGTGCAGGTGCAGCTGAGCCACAAACAGATCAACAAACGCTTTACGGAACTTCTGAACCTCTTCGAGGGCTACACAAAGATCATGGACGGAGACCAGAAGCATGAGGGCGTGGCTGCGAATCAACTGAAGCGTGTTCCCAGCCATGGTATGAGTGGGGAAGCGATCATCCCATCTGATCTCTAATCTATAATCCGTTTCCCAAAGATCAAAATGAGCGGCTGTCGGCGGGTACTGCGTCGGAACGCACCATTCAGGCCGCCAGCTGCGAGGTGAGCATCCAGACATCCTGGACGCTGCTGGAACAGCAGAAGAACGACTCCAAGGCAGCAGAGGAAGGAGTGTCGCCGAAGGAAAAGCCCAGCCGGTTGCAGCAGCATACCATACACATCGAAGTGGCGTCGGTGACATCGGCCACAGACATGCAACGGGCGCCCCTGCACCACAGATTGTGGCATGTCCTTCTAAATGCCGTGGACGCTTTGATCGGCTGCTTGTTAATGATGGGCGAAAACGTTCCCTACTTGCTGTTCATATTGGTGTGCGTTTGGTGCCTCTACCTGTTGTTGGCACACTACAGAAAGTTCCTAACCGATCACATCATTGCGGTTGAGCCCCCCAAGTAGTTAAATGAATGATTCGCTGCGCTCGATTAAATTCAGGATCGATTTATCACTGGGGTGGGGTGGGGGTGGGGTGGTGTGGGGGTACTTATCGCAACATAGTGGGGGTGCAACAACACATGATGGCGAGACTGCAGTAGAGCGCCGAGGCGAAATCGGTCAGCATGTAGCAGAAGCGATCGGCCAGGGGGGGTCGCGCCAACACGTTCGGCACGGGCGGCGACACGGTGTCGATGTAGATCGTTTGGCGCGTCTGCTCACAGGGCGTGGGCAGGAAGACACGATCTCCTGGGATGCTGTTGCAGCCGATATCGGATCTGGCACGACTGCGCGGCTGTTCCGTTTGCACGGCCCGCGTACATGACTTTCGGGCGTCATCCTTCATGTAGATCGTTGAATCGTCCTCGGTATGCTCTGTGGGTGGCAGGGGATGTTTCTTAGAGGTCGGTTCTCAGTGTGCGTGCGCTCGTCTCAACTGCTGAGCCACACTGGGAGAGAGAGAGAGAGAAGCAGAGGGCGAGAGTTCCATTTCCCTCCATTTTCTCTGGCTAGATGCGATGCGATGCGATGCGATGCACACTCACCTTCAGCCAGGGCCTCGGTCACCCAACTATGCCAATTGGCAATGCGGTCATCGTTCAGTGGCAGGCTGCTGTTCATCAGCGTACGGGAACTGGGAGCGATGACCGCATCGAGGCTGCTCTTATCGTCCTCGACATAGACACGGACATCGACTGCGACATCAGCATCGTCCTCGTCGCCGTATGGCTGAAAGCCCAAAATGTCGAAGAGACGTTGGCAGGTGGAGGACCCGCACGGTGGGGGCAATTTATGGGGGGCAGGTTCATTGACTGCCTCCAGGACCAGATCGCTAATAAGCTGATTAACGACAACGGCGGTGGTTTCTTGCGGCTCTCTGCACGCCATGTAGTAGTTAACGTTCACAGATGGAATTTAGAAGAGTTCGAAAAGGGGTTTTACAATATTGGAGTCAACATTATTCCGGCTAAATGTCAGTCAATCGAGTTCTGGCAGCTGTCACACAGAAATAGGACTTGGCAGACTAAAGAGAGACCTTCAAAATTTCTAATTTCAAAAACAAGATGGACCCTCAGAGAGCGACGACGAAGAATGATGTGAAAGATGCGTCCTCGGAGGCAGAAGCAGAAGAGAGCCCCGCCGCAGAGACCAGTAGTCCTGTAGCGGCCAGTCTTGTGGTCCAGCTGAGAGACGCCACTGTGGGTGCCACCGAAACAGATGTACCCGCCGCTGTACCATCCTGCTGCCAGCTGAATGAGATGCCCAGCACCAGCCAACAAAAGCCGGAGACTGGCAGGTCTGAAGGTCGCCTCAATCACCTCATCGATATGCTGGACAACTTTACCTTCCGCCTGGACGTAATCGAGGAGAAGGTGCGGCGCGAGGATCAAGAAACCAACGACCCAGAGCAAGTCACAGTGACGGTGGACTCTGGTACGGCGGTGATTATTCAGATACCAGAGATCTGCGACCTGGGCACCCAGACGGCGGTCACAAGGCCGCCACACCGACAGCGGGTGGAGGTGAAGGCCATACCTCCACCGCCGCCGAGCGACCAGCCCGATACGCGACCACCCTGTGAGCGCACCCACCACACCATACAGATCCGATCGAATAATAATCCTGCCAATGCGGCAGCCGAACAGGGTCGCCTGTCCCTGGGCGCTCGCATTTTGCGAGCCTTGGGGGACTTTGGGGCCGCCATCTGCCTGTGCATGCAGATCAACAAGGATTGCATCTTCTGTCTGGGCTTCTTCGTGGCCTTCGTTGTGAGTGCCAGCTTCCTGACGGCCTTCTTCTATCGCACTCTCAACTTCACGTCGACGGCACGCGCCGCCGGGGATCCGTTCGCTGGAGCGACGGGCGCCTACGATGTGGCCACTCTCCGCTTCAATGGCGGCTACTACTACATATATAACAGACAGCGGCAGCACTTTCAATAAGCATACTTTTACGGCATCTTCTTTGAGGGATTTTACACTAAAATTTGGTCCGAGAAAATTTCTGTGTGTCGTGTTGTGTGTGCTCGGGGCATTTTGGCGGGGGCTTCAGCCATCGATGGTGTGGCAAATGTTCAGGACATGCTGATTGAACTCCTGCGGCTCCTCCAGATGCACATAATGGCCCGATCCTTGGACAAGGGCCAAATGGGGGAGCGTGTGCATGGGGGATTGCGCTCCACAGATGAAGGAGAAGCCCAGATTGCTGGGCAATTCGTTGGTGCGTTCCATCAGTGACTGTCGCTGCCAGTGCGGCCAGTTGTGGCAGGAGACCTGCCCCTGGGCCAGTGTCTGGAAGGCTGACTCTCCGCTGGGCGTGGCCGCCGTACACTGCTGCAGATAGTGGTTCAGATCGTCTTCCAGAAGTTCCCTAAACTGTTGCTTGAGACGCGGCTGGGGCTGTGTGTCGTTCAGGAGAATGCTGGCCAGGGGCCCCACACTCCACAGGATCCAGTAGGGATTGAGAAAGCCCGAAATTATATTGAGCATGCCCAGGGCTTTCGAGGGAGTCGCCTCAAAGCCCCAGGGCTCGGCCAGGATGAGATGTTTGACGCGATCCGGATAGGCCAGGGCATAAGAGATCGCCACAAAGGCGCCCAGACAGTGGCCCAAGAGTATCATCTGCGGCAGACGCATCTCCTCGCGCCACGCCTCCAGGGCCAGCACCATCTGCATCTCACATATGTGCGCCTTGGCCGAGAACATGGGACGAGAGCTGCGACCAAATCCGAGCATGTCAATGGCATAGACCGGTCGCTGGCTGGCGAGGCAATCCAGATTCAGGAGCCACGAGCCGAGTCCCGCGCCGCGGCCGTGCAAGGCCACGAGAGGCACATGCTTTGGGTCCTCGGTGTTCATTGCCAGTGTCCAAATCCTGTCCGAATTTCCCACCACATCGCCAATGTCGATATAAAATGTCTGGCATGGGGTGGCCATGTGGCCGAGCAGATCCTTTTCGGCCTCTCGCAGCTTCTGGTCGCTGCTCAGCGACCAAACGAACAGCCATTTGAGAATCCCGCTGCAGGGCCACTTGCTCCAAACCGGTTCCATCCGAGGCGGAGGTTCAATTGTCCTGCTGCCGCCGCCGGTTGCTGCCATTCGCAAGGTTTCGGGTTTCGGGGTTCGTGAGGTTGCAATTTGGAAAAGTTTTGAATTTAAAAAGTTCCAGTCCCAGTCCCAAAACGTCAGACGGGGAGAACAGAACAGAGCAGGCCCAGGCCAGGCCCTGTGTCCGTCCGGCTTTACTTGACTTCGACTTTGACTTCAACTTGGACTTCAACTTGGACTTGGACTCGGACAATGGGTCAGAACACACACAAAAAGCGTCGGTCGGGCCTTTGGGTACGGGAAATTGGCCACAAAACGTTCGTCGCCTGCTGTGTGGGGCAGGGCAGGGCTGGGCAGGGCAGGAGGCAGCCACACAACTTTTTGGCAAGATGCCCGGGGCACAAAGGAATTATTGTTAATATAGGCAATGCCCCCTACCCCTACCCCCCTCCAGGCTCTTGCCAGCAGGCGGCAGGCCCTGACCGGGGGTCGGTTGGTCGGTCGGTCTTTTGAATATAATTTATTTATGCGAAATATGGCAAATATTTTTCACAAATTCCATTCAACGAAGCTTCTCATACACTTTGGACATTCATTATGTAATCTGTTCAGTAAAAATACTCTCTATATTCGTATATAAACATTAAAGAAGCTTTTACTTTTTTCGCTTGTTATTTCTGCAACAAATCCATAATTATAAATATTGGCATATTAAATATACTCGGCACATGGTCATCTAAATGTCTGACAAAGCGATAAGCTAAGCGGAAGAGCCCCAAAGAATGTTTCGGGTACATAGAGTACCATAAGAAGAGATTTTCATTGACTCCTCCCAATGCCATGAAAGCGGAGGCGGGGGCGGAGGCGGAGGCTGTCTAAAACGGATAAACTGTTTAGATGGCAGATTTTCACCAAATTGAATATACGACAATACTATATACAATATATATACACATGTACATATGTATTTTCCATTTCCCGCAGCTCAGTTTTCGCATGGGGGGCGGCTCTGGAGGGGACAATTAAAGTTTGAATGAAGACTAAAAAAAAAAGAGACGTGGAATTGGCAAACAGTTTTTTGGACAGTACTTTATTAGACCTGGGGCTGGAACTGGAACTGGAGCTGCAGCTCTGCATGGCTATGGGTGTACTTTTATGATGGGAGAACGAATGTTTGGGGCTCCTCCAATGGGTCGGAGAACGCGGAACGGAGCGACATGCGGGCTTCCGCCGGCAGGAAATTGAATTGCACGAACACGCGAAATTACATCATTCTGGAACCACGGTAAACAATTTCCTCTCTCCGTGTGCACACACCTCTCCGCCAAAAAACGCTTTTATTTTATTTCTCTCACATTTATTTTGATTTTTCACCTCCTTCTCCCCGCTGCCGCTGCTGTTGCTGCTGCTCCACAACATTTTCAACCAAATTTTGACAGGGAAATATTTCGTTTAACGTTGCCTAGGTTCCCACCCCCATACCCCAGCTCCCATCCCTTACCACCACCCCCATCCTTGTTAACGGCAATTTGTGCGAAAATATCAATTTCACTTTTTTTTAACTCCACTCTTTATTGTACCCTATCTTCTGTTCTGTGATTTGGATGCAGTCCACTCTTGAAGAGAATACCCGGGAATTCAAAAACAAAATACATGTCGTGTTCGTGTTCGTTTTCGAGCTCGAAGCGTGCTGGCCGCTGTTCTACTGGAATGCTACATCCAAATTTCACTTACGAATGACAATATTCAGTACATTTGGAAATAAATATGCGCCTCTCGTGTGATTCAAAATTAGCGCTTCCATTTCGCTAATGGGAGATTGTCCAGGGTGTTTCGGTCTTCGAAAGCTCCCCGATGGCAGCAGCCTTTCGTTTTGGATTTGCTTTATTTTGTGTGGGATTTGGGTAAAAGGACTCTTGTGTTTGTTTGTGTGTAGATGAAAATGGCGACGGCGAAGGCCCAACAGAAGGGGGGCGGGGGAGGGTACAGAAAATGATGGCAACAAAAGCAGCCCAAAACCGGCAATCAAAATGTCTGAAAAACCAAAACGAATGACAGCCAACATATAGCATATAGCATATAGCGATCCCCCAGATACATAGATACTTGAATGCATGCATGTACATATATATGTATGTATGTATGTATGTATGTATGTGAGGCACTAAAAAAGAACTCAGTCAATGTGCCACTCCCACTCGGGGACTACCACCACTGAGAAAGCCCTTTGCCCCCATGTACCCGAACATCATGGCAACGCTGTCAAGTTTGAAAGGATTATTGCCACTTGCCGCTTGCGGCGAACGTTCTTAAAATGTAACACGTTTCAAACAAGTTTAGATACGTGTGTTTTGTCTGTTTGTAGAGTCGGACTCAGAGTCGTCGGGTGTCCGCTTGGGCTTGGGCTTGGGTCTGCCGCTCTTGTGCCGAGTATATCGTATCTCTTGATATCTTTTGGCCCAACCATCCAGCGTAGCGCAGCGCTCGTCTCTCACTCTCTCCCTCTCACTCACTCGCTCTTCGGGCCAACGGCTATGTAAAAAGTCATCAACGGGGGCCAGTTTGCCCAGGCCAGGCCTAGGAAAAGCAAGAGCAAAAACAACGGCGGCGGCGACTGGTTTGACGAGCTTTTTTTCAATGGGCTCGCGACCAAATAAAAATAAAAACTCAGCCCCACTGCTGCTGCTGCCCTCCACTTGGGTTGAACTCTCTTCTGACCAGGTCCCAGCCTCCAGCTCCAACTCCATCTCCAGCTCCCAGCTCCAGCTCCATGTCCGAGTCCGAATCCGATTCCAATTTCGAGTCTTACTCCCAGCGAAAATAGTCGTAAAAATTCGCGCTTGCCACCAAGATTATTTCGTGTGCTGCCAAACCGAAAAAGAAATGTTAGACTTTGAGATGCTCTAAGCACGCAAGCGAAAGGGAAACAAAAGCCCCAAGACGAGAGTCGCCAAATATCAAAGAATATCCCAGGCCAAATATTAACCGGGAGCTGGTGCGGGGCAAGTAGACAATTGTGTGTGTGCGAAGATTGATGGGGAGTCTGTGCTGAGGTCATTCATCATGCGATTCTCTTGATTGGACACATCTCAGGGGTTTCCGATGGACGAAGGTTTCCAAATACATTCATGCACATTCATACATATGTACGTACGTACATATACATTTATGTATGCGGGAGATTCTCTTTTACAATAACTAAACCCCAAAAATGTTCTCAAATTGGCACATTATATATTTAAAACGTTTTCACATTTTCTAATTTTCATCTAAATTGTTCAAGAATTTAAAAACTTATTGAAAACTTTTTCTGGGTATTTGGTTAAATATTAAATAGAACTTTTCCCCAATGCAATTTCAAATGAATTTTTCGTTTAAATTTTGGACTAGTATTGGAACCTCTGCACCGCTAGAATTCTGATCATACTTTGTGTGTTACCTATTAATATTCCATAGATTTTTGTTGTTCTTCGTATGCATTTATTTTATTTTTAATTTGCACTTCTCATACTTTGACGCGACTTGTACCGCCGTCTCTTGTGCTTCTGCTTGGCCATTAAGTGCAGAGACTCTTTGTTCACCCAATTTTTACGACTGCAGAGTATTTAAAACTTAAAACTTTAAGTACTACTCACCTTTAAGAGTGGACTATGCGAGAGTGTGCGTTGGTAATATACATTTGTGTGTGTATATGTGTATGAAGACATGTTGCATGGATGCTGCTGCGGCTGCGGCTGTGACTGCGACTGCGACTGCTGCAGCTAAATGATGACGATGGAAACGCTGCTGCTGCTGCTGCACATCCTGGCGGCCATCTTTGGAGGAGGCGAGGGGGGTGGGGGCAAAAGCCAACTTTGCGGAGCTGCCTGCCTTGCCTTACATGTTGGTGGATGGATTTTCTGTCTTTTTGTTGTATTTTTGTTTTGTTTTACTCGATCAACACTTTGGCTGCATTTGGTTTGTACAATATATAAATTAATTGATTTGCTTGGGTATTTCTTCGATCGGTTAATATTGTTTTTATTGATTTACTGCTGGCCGCACGTACGTGATTATAAATCAAGTTTCTGGTTTTATGATGGAACCACAAAAGAAACGAACGAAAAAAACGCTTTTGAAAGTGACCCACGCAAACGGCAAATAGTTGGCATAAATAATAGAAAAAAAAGACAAATTAATGTGTAGTACAAAAAATAAAAGAAGTTTAACAACTTTTTTCGAGCCAAACGAACAGCTGAAAAAACAGCAACTGTCGACGCTGCTGCTGCTGCTGCTGCTGCTGCTGATGATAATAATGATAATGATGATGATGATGATGGTTAATGCGAACCTTTTCAGAGAGCCGGTTTCCCAAAAAAAAAATACGACTACTAATCGCAAAACACATAGGAAAATAAGAGGAAAATTCCGTGGGGAAAAACGAGGGGAAATAACTGAACTGAACTGAACTGAACAGACGTCACACACTGGCAGCAGCTGATTTCGAAATGTGGAAATGAAAGCGCGGCCAGAACTTGAGCAAAGGACCTGCAGCCGGTCACTGAAGCCCCAGAGCAGAGGCCCCCACAGTCAGAGCCACAGCCGGAGCGGAGTAAGCCCCGCGTTGTGTGGCACGCGAGTATGTGGATGTCAACTTATGTAAAACCGACTACCCGAGACTACGGTACTGCGGGGCGACTCCGAGTGCCGACAACTGAACGGAGAGCCGAGTACCGTTTTCCGGCAGCATTACTGCCAAAGTAAGTGAGTGCGAGCGGGACGCCAGCAATGCAATTTTGCAGGACAAAGTTAGGCAGTAACAAGACTGCTGTGGCTGCTCTGCTGGCTATATGCGAGTGCGTGCGTCAGTGTTTGTGTGTGGCGCCTGCGCACTGATCGCACAGCTGACGGGGGCAGCAGCAGCGAAAAGCAGGGCTGGAATGGAGTCGCTATTGGGCGAACATCAGAGGACAAAGTAGTAGAATACTAAAATACTAATGGTATTCCAGTAGCTGCTTTTGATTGGATTTTGAGTCGTCCGACGACAGATGTTCCAATAGCGTTACAATTTTTATTTTTCCTTTTGCCACTTTATGGACGCGCCCCAAAAGTCTGAAGGCTGCTTCGAGTCCGCTCCTGGTGGTCGCGCTGTTGCTAGGTGCCCGACGCCGCAGCTGGTGCTGCCACTGCCTCTGCCCCAAGCTGCGTCGGCTGCAGAGCCAGCTGATTGTGGCTCGTGTGTGTGTGGGGGTGGGGTATGGGTGTTGTTGGAGGGACGCTGCCTGGAATTTGATCGGCAATGGGAGGCAACGAAAAACTAACGGCTCTGGCGGACAAACGGTGCTTCCCATTGATTTCGGGCTCCAAACAAGTTCTAGTCTACAGTGGGGCACATTAAGGTTTGCCCACTGTGCAGCACAGTGGGGGCCTTGCAGCCAAACATTTGCACACAAACACACACACTCCATCTCGCGCCCCTCCGCTGGCACCACAGTAAACCTGTTTTTTGTTAAGAACTATTTTTTTATCGCCTCTGCCACTTGCCACTTGCCACCGACAGCGACAGCCGCTGAAACTATTTCACAACTTGTATTTGTTGTTGATTTATTTGTGTTTGAATTCACTTTTGTCGCTACCGTTCACTATTTGCCTTTGTTTTGGCTTTACCTTTGCACAATCTGCTTTGCTTTTACATTTTACATTAGGACGCGGGCAGCAGCAGCGACACGCAACTGGTCACACTGGTGTGACCGCGGATTTATAAAATAAACTGTCGACCCCTCAGAAATAAACCGAAGAATGCCGTAAATATACCGAGGAAACAGAAACTTAACCCACTTAAGCCCGCACTATTTAAACAGGTTCAGCCGCGAAAAATAATGCTATTTCAAACCCTTCTTGTAGATCCAAGATTATCCTTATCCGGTAGTTTAAAAAAAAATTACCATGACATCTTTCACCTCAACTGCGCTAAAATGTTTCAGGTTTCACAATATTCGCGCGTAAATTTAAATGCCCCCTTGTCGACAATGGGTTAGCGTTATATTTTGTTGATCAGAAATCACATTTCTTGATTTAGATTTTCCGTTTAATATTACCAGCTCTCTAGGCCTCTCAGCGCTGAATATATAGTTTTATCAAACGGATGAATCAATTTTCTACAATGGTGGCTAATTTTAAGGAGTCTCTTTTATTGTTTATTTTTAGTAAATAAGGTTTAAAAAAAATGGGCCGAGGCATAAAACGCACATATGTGTGTCCTGAATGAAATGTGTGAACGGAATGAAATGTATGTTCGGAATGCTGATCAACTGGCTTCAGCTAGGATATGGAAATTCCATCCGATTGATAAATACAACTTCTACAAGATTTGTTAGTTTCAGGACTCTCTTTTCTTGGATAGTAGTTTATAAAATGAGGTTTAAGTGCTGTTTTCCAAGCTGCTTTTGCAAACATTTAAATAATGTCCTTTTCTCGGATTGACCATATTCATGCGTTTCCTGTGCATTGAAAACAATTAAACAAGATTTTCAGGACTCTTGACCAGCAGTAATTGCAGCCTTTGTGTGAAATTATGTACAAGCATAGAAAAACAAATTAAATAAAAGCATGGAAATAAAATGATTTATTTGAAAGTGAAATGAATATGGGTATGATTAGATATAATGATTTGGTAGCTCATGGCTGGGCATAAGGCAGGTGGGAACTACTAAATAGGATTAGTACATGGCGCCAATCTGGGAATCAGTGCCCGACATCAGCCTGCGCAGGCTGGACCCATTGAACCGCTCCGAATGATTCAACTGATCATCGAAGCTATGCAGCGGCAACTGCGATTTTCGCAGCTCCCTTTCCACGGAGCGAGATCGCAAGTGGGGCCGATTCTTGACACAGCTGAGTGGTGTACGCTTTGGTGTGGCTTGGGGTGTGGTTTTCGGTGTACTTGCGCCGGAGGGTGACGACTCCTTATCCATATAGATCTTGGTCTTGCTGGCGCGTGCCGGCTTACGGGGAGCCACACGTCGCTTATTGCCCAGTCGCACTCGGTCCAAGTGCTTGTTTGCCGGCTGCCTCTCCGAGGTGCCTGGTATTTGGGGCTCTTCCAGATTCGTGTCGGTTCCAGCGCTGGCAAACGAGGCCATGCTGCTCTCCGCACTGAGATTGAGTGTGAGCGTTTCCAAGATCTGTTCCAGCATCTCTGACTCGCGTGCCTCTTCCTCTTCGTCGTCGCAGAACATTATCGGCGTGCGCTCGACCCCAATGCTGGGCGAACGTGGATCATAGTGCCCCTGCGCTGGCGGCGTCCCCGGCAGCTCCGCCGTGCAGGGCATGGTCTCTTCCTCATCGTACGGCAGGGAAACAATTTCCAGCGAGCTGTTGTTGTGGTGTGTCTGGGGCGGCGTGCCAAAGCTGTCGCAGCTTACATCGCCTGGTTCGGCAGACGCTGGTGATAGACTCTGATATGGCGAATCGATGCTGTTTGCTGCTGGCATCTCGGCTGTTGGTCGGGCTGGAGCACGTGTATCCACAAAGAGATCCGCAAATGTGTCATCCAGGTTCAGGGAGCGCACTTCATCTAGTATGAGCGGTGTGCGATTTAGCTGTGGTGAACGCGGATCGTTCAGAGAGAATCCCTTTAGCAGACGCTTGCGCAGCTGAGAAAATGCATTTTCGGTCGGCGCCGATGTGGGGTGATCTGCTGTCCTCACAGGTTGTGCCTGCTGCTCTGGCTGTAAGAACTGCAGCGGAATATAGTGAATCTGTAAATGGCTTTGTATAAAACTCACATTTAAGGGTGTACGGCAGCCATTGGGCGAGCGTGGGTCGAGCAATGCGTTGCTGTCTTTAATTGGAGTGGTCATTTCCAAATTTTCGGCTTTACAACTGCCCAACCGAAGTTTATTCAATGTTGGCGTATCTGGCAAGTACTCGCCCTCAATTTTAGACGCTTTGGCTCCCATTATATCGGAATTTATCTGATTTTTAGTAAAATTTTGCTGCCGCGCTTTTGTTTTCAAATGGCGTCCCTTGAAGGTTGCCACTCGGCAATACTGTAAAATTTCCTAAAGCGTTATTCACTCGTCTCATAGATGCGTCGAAAAATCCCACTATCGGAGGACTTTATTTATTTGTTGATGAACTTATTCATCTTCAAATTAATATACTCGTAATATGAAATATCAAATGTTAGGCTTAGGTAATAAATAATACACAGCCGACTGGGCTGGGACTTGGTTGACCAGCAACAATGACGTCACATTTAGTCAACATTTACGTTTTATGCTTTGGCCGTTTTTGTTTGAACCTTAATATGTAAACAATCCAATGAAAAAGAGTTCTGAAAACTACCCAATCTAGAACAAAATGTATTGAGGAAATGGATACCGTTATTTGTTTAGGGCTGAGAGGGCCAACTAGCTAGTAATATTAAACGGAATATCAAAGTTATGGAATAGAAACACTTGAAATTAATGTTTTAAATTTATGGTATTTAAATGGTATTTCTCGATACTGAAATGGTATTTAATGGTGTTTATTTTTTGGCAGGATGGTATTTTTTATCGTTATCGTCACGGTCACGCTGCTTGCAACACAAATTTGTAAAAAATTTTACTACGAAAGCGAAAAAAGTAAATTACAAGAGGCCAACAACAAAGTAAGTGTACCATTTATGTAAAGTTAGCTAGCATAAAATATTTTCCCATCCTCAAAGTAGTTAGAAAAGACGCGTGTGTTGGAGGGAATGAAATTGCGTGCCAGAGTTTCTGCATGCCTGAGTGTGTGTGAGTGTTGTGTATGCAAAAAGCAAAAATAAGACAGTTTTACGTGAATAATCTGTGTGTGTGTGTTGTGCTGCCACCGCAAATACACATTAACAATAGCATGCTTAAATACAGCTTTGCCCCTGCGACTGCCGACACTTTTTGTTTATTTGAGTGCGGATACTTTGGCAGGACTAGGCACAAATGTAGGTTACTACACTGCACTAAAACATACTGCTGCAGCTTTTTCTTATATTTCGGACATTTTTTTATTTGTTAATTGTAGCGCAAAAAGTAAACAAATTGTCTACACATCGTTGGCAACGCGCATGTCGTCTAGACTTTCTCTCTTAAAAGCGCGCGTGTGTGTGTGTGTGCATACCTGTGTGAGTTTAAGCTGAAAACAACAAAATTTCATTCATTGCTCATTTCTGAGAAAAAAATTACACACGATGCGGACGCCGTCGCCATCTGCAATAGCTTCACTGTATGCGTGTGTATAGTGTCATGCATGTGAATCTGTATGTACATACATTGTGCAACATGTTGATAGTTTCAAAAGACAGCTGCCGCCTTTGCCTGCCAGGGTGTGGTTGCCACCTATCTTTATGTTTTATCAGGTGCGTACATAAGTCTCCACACAGTCAGTAACCTGAACATTTCCCTATTAGGTTAGGTCCCGGTCCCGTCCCCCAGGTCCGTGTCCATCTTTAACTGCCAAACCACATTCCAGAGTTCAACATTCTGTTCTTGACGTTGCCGTTTGATTGCCGTCATTGGCCGCGTTTTTTTCACACATTCCACGCGCTGCGCCGTCTTCAAAACACACATGTAAATACATACATACATACATAGACATCACACACTTGCTTTGGTATACTATTGATTTCAATCAACTTTGTATACGCTTTTCGCTCTCAATCACCATCTTCATCTCTTTCTCTTTTGCTCTGGCTTCGTTTGTTGTCTCTCGTGTGCCCATTTATCAATTAAGTACCGCGTCCGTTTGTCGGCTCATCACCAATTTATACATACATATGAGCATAGTACATGTCTGAGCAAACAGACTTATATGTATGGACGTGGACGTGTACATGTGCATGTGCATGCGCGTCTGTGTTTGTAAATTCCATTTCCTGTTTATAATGCTGTGGCACACCCGCTGTCGCCTTTCCCTGGTTTCTGTCCGTTCGTCATTCAACCCTCCTTTGGAAGCCTCCCAATACGCATGGCGTCTTCTTCTTGCGTTGCCACTTCAACAAACAGACTTGTCTGTCTTGTCGGCAGCAGCGCGCGAGCGGCGCGGCCTGGCTGTGTGGCCGCTCAGACGCTGCACAGTGGGCAACAGAAGCTGAAAATGAAGCAAAACGAGAAGGAACGTTGTGAGTCGCTCCTGTGGCCACGACTCTACTTTTTACATCAGCTACATCTGTCAACTAAATCTTCATCTACCATGTGGCGAAATTTTGAAATAAAATTTTAACAGTGTAATATCACATGAGTCTAGAAAACAAGTCGGACAGATATAGGCTCGGCAATTGATGCTGATCAAGAAACGTCATATTTCAGATTATTCTTAACTCGCTATCGAAACATATTTTCCAGAAGCATACGATCTGCCACGAATTTCAGCTTCCTTGAAATTTCACTTTATTCAACCACTGTACCGTACCATTGGGCCTCTGACCGCTGTTTAGGAACCAAGTGGAATCAGAACACCCAAATGCGACGCTCCGCTCTCATTCCCAGCCTGATCCGGCTGTCACTGTTGTTGTTGTCGGTAGCAGCAGAGCGGCGGTGTGCTGAGTAGTACAGTACGTGCCACTTCCTTTACATTCAGAAAAATAAAAATCGCTTGCACACAGACACACACAAGCGTGCATAAAGAGACGGGTCAGACAAACGGACAGACAGCCAGTTTATGCTGTATCGCTAACAGAAAGCGGGAGCAAGGGAACGGTGTGCTTGGCGTCTGCGCAGAGTGTGTTGGGTTGTTTTTTTTATGCTAGTCGTTTTTTTTTTATTGTTCTTGTACAGTTGCAAAAGACACTCTCTCACCAGAATGCACACACACACTCATACTACACTAAAAACAGTGAAAACGAGTTTGATGTCTCGGTCGATATGGCAACACTGTTTAGCTCCCCTCCTTGAGACCAGCCCCCCACCCCGCCCCTTCATTCACTTGCTTATTGGAAGAAAAATGCCTCTGCGCATTTGATTCGGTGTTGTTGTTTTTACGTAAGAAGGCCGTCGAACTCAGCATAGAATAGAGGTAGTGACAGATAGAGAGGGAGCGAGAGCAAGAGCGAGAGCATGCATGCAAATGAAACGAATATGAGAACGCACGTTCAATTGTATGAGTGGTGAAATAGAGAGAGAGAGTGTGCACGTGTATGTGTCTAATGATTACCGTTACAATTTGCATGTTGTCTAGTCAGACGTCTCGCGACCCAGACTAGACGACCCAGCAGCAGAAATTGGAAAATATTCTCAACCTGACCTTTTATCGTCACAGCCTCGCTCTAATACTGACTCTACGTTGTTTGTATGTTTATTAAATATGTAAATTAGAGAAGCCGCTAAATGTATGTATGTAGCTGCAGCATTATTTTATTGATTTTTAATAGTAGATATGTAGGTACATACGTAGAATCTGCACTTGTGTACGTACATATGTATGTATACATTTGCGCTGTGTTTGTTTGTATGGATTTGCGTGCATTGTGTTGTGTTGCCTCTGGTTCAATGTCCTAACCGCACACAACAAGTGCAACAATATTAACATCACCACCATAAAAAATGGAGAAACAAGTAATAACTATAGTCTGCATTCCGACTAAGAAATACCCGCTTTTTAGAACATTTTACTTGCCAGGGAAGATGCATTTCATTATTCTGGGTGCAATGATGCCCATAAATATATATATTTAAGATTTCAGAGGACTTTTCTCGATTAAACTTGAGCTACTGGGAGACTCCACATATGTACAGAAGGACATCGCAGCCCATCAAGTATATAAGAAGAACTAGAAGTGCAGAAATACAATATACCTTACGAGGTACACGGCATAAAAATACGAAGAAGGAGAACCTGTAGGGAAATGCAAGTGCAAAAGCGTAGCGTTCAAGATGGATACAGAATGAGGGCAGGTCCTAGGGCAATCTATTAACATTTTCATCATCATCTTTTGTACAGTTGATCTTGGGCGGTGTGTGGTGCTATGTATCTTGTATTGTTGCACAAGTAGGATGGGATTCACAAAGAACATGTTTTGTTGTTTCTTCCTCCACTGCACAGAGTCTACAGGTCTTACCAGAGAATGTTTTATTTGTGGAATTTGTTGAGGTATTTAGCTTGGTTGAGGTTTGCTTAATCCAGGATAAGGAAAGTATCAAGATCTGCTCAGATAAAACAACAGATATAACTTCCCAACGATTTATATAAACAGTTTGATATCTTCCAACAAAGAGACCCAGACAACATCCGTAAGCTGTAACCCAGAAAACATTGTGTCAGGTTGGCGTTTTCCTCTTCGGCACTTCGTTGTTGTATTGTATGTGACGTCAATTGGCTTTGGAATGGTGTCGGCGGCCCACTTACGGGGAACCGGCCCGGCTGCAACTCAAAGTGAACTCCCAGCCCCGTCTGTTCGACTACCGGAAACGTGTCGTTGTAGTGCAGTGCATATGTATGTACGTATATGTATGATTACAATTGCTACATGGTTGTGGGCGTTATTAAGCGCAAAACCAAAATGAGGTATCTCCGGTTCGGCAGTCTGGCAACGCCATGGCCAGCGGTCATCCTTTTTGGTTTGGCTTTTTGGCGCGCATCTAACGTACAACTACATGAAAGGTGGGGGAGAGACGAGAAATTTCCTGAGGAATGTTGTTTACGTGCGCGCCTGCGCACGAACTGAAGCAACCAGAATCCCTAGTTCCGTGAATTCGACGGCACTAACACAAGCACAGGATGGGGAGGGGGAAAGAGTCTGAAGTCGTCTGCGTTTCTTCATCCTGTTCGTCCCGTTTGGCCGGCTACCTGCCTGGCTGGCGGGTCGGGTCTCTGTCCCTTGTCTCTGTCCTGTCCTTCCTTCGTATCTTACCACCGCGCTGCGTCGCTTCTTGTTTGTGTGCCTTTTTGCTCCCCCAAACTCGTTCCAATGGCGTCGGTGGCGGCAGTGGCGGCATGTCAATAACATGTTGATCCTACATCGTGCGAAATCTTGTGGCAACACCAAAACAAAAACAAAACTGCGAAACAAGCTCGAAAGCCGCGCGCCGCATTGTTGTTATTTATGCCGCTTCAGCCTCATTTTTCGTCTCGCAGTGAGAGAGAGAGAGAGCAGCCAGAAAAGAAGCGGTGTATGGACGCCTCTCATTGCAGCAGTCTGGCCACTCCGGGGTATTTTTGTGCAGTTCGTTTTCGGTTTGTTCGCGGTGCGGTTGTGTTTTTGAGCTGCTGCGGCGGCAGCGAACGTTTTTCGCCGTTTTGCCTTGCCAGGCCGGTTTCGAATTTGATTGAAAAAATTTGTTATTTGTCAGCTATGCAAAAGTAATGGTTTTTTGCTGTGATTGTGGAAATGGTCGAAGATTGTATACTTTTCTATATTCCAAAGTGGTCAACGCCCTCACGCGCTCTTTTCCCCCTCCATCCTCTCTTTGTGTGACAGAGTAGCCTTTTATGGCTGTGTGCGTTAGTTTGTGTGAAATTTATGCTTAAATTTAATAAAGCACCGGACTAGAATATATATTTTAATATGGTTTTCTCTTTTTGATGTGGATTTTTGCCCGCGCCCCGTTTCGGCTTGTGCAAAATTCTTAGAATTCTTGACAACATTCCCGCGCGCACACACACACACACACGCATACAACACATTCATGTACACGCTCAGACGCAGTGAACAAATTTCATTTACTCCATCCCCCGTGAACGCTGCTGGTAAAGAGAGCGAGAGAGAGTGCGTCTGTGTGTGGTCATCAACACACATACAGGCACATGCACTTGAACTCTCGTGTATACACGCAACACACCTCAATTGGTTGGTGTCTCTGCTAAAGCGTTGTCTCTCGCTCTCTTTTAGCATAAAACTTGCAAAAAACCGGTAAATTTTTTAAATTGCACAGTGAGAGAGACTTGAAGAGAGCGTTGCTTGGGATTTGTTCTTGTTCTGGAATTTCGCTTAAACCATATTTATCACACACTTTGCTTTCCTTACAGTTTTCTAAACACACACACACACAAGCGCCAAAAGAAGAGGCAACGAACTCGTGCAGCGACGCCCAAGAATGGAACAGAGCAAGGCAACATGAAAATTACAGCAACAACGAACTCTGAAAAGAAGTAGAGAAGAAGAAGACAAGACGCCGTGCCGATGCAGATGCCGATTGCCCCAACAGTACAACAGTATTTTATTAGCGAGTGTTGTTGTCATGTATGTATGCACGCCGTTTTGTTGCTTTTAGTATGTTGTTGGTATTATTATTATTGTTGTGCTTGTATTGTTGTTATTGTACTTTTTGGTTGCACGCATTTGTCATTTAATCGTAGGTATTTTCAGTTTTACGAGGTTGTTGTAGCAATGAAAACGATCATCGAACTTGTTTTGTGATAGAAATGGAATCAAAATGAAATGACGAGCCGCTGATCTTGACCTACACGCTCGCAAGTTCAACGCAATTTATATGGTTATTCAACTTGCTTTTTGCGCATATTTCTGCCTACTTCCTCCCGAAGAAATATGTACATGTGTAGTATGTACACACACACACACATAACACACACTTATAATTTTTATAACGGAAATTTTAATAATCTAGATGTCTGCTGGGTGAGAAAGAGAGAGTGCAGCAATGCTGCGATTGTTAACTGTGAAAACACACACACACATCCATGCATATATGTACATATGTACTATATGCATATGCATCTCGCATTTCTCGATTGTAATTAATGTATTTTTGCGACGTGGTTGCGCGTTGATCCTCTTTCTTATCACGTGAAATGCCAAAGAATTTGGCGACAAATTGCTACAGACTGGCGCCAAAAATTTGTTGACCGTTTTTTGTTTTGTTGTTGTTCTGTTTCTGATACCTAGCACTCGTCGAGTTCAAAGGGTATATTTGCAGATGTGTGTGCAGTATGTATGGCCCAAGCTAAATACTCTTTGAATTCTGGCTATTCCATATATCCTACCATTATTGTTGGTTTCTTGTTTCTTATCAATGTATGTGATTGTTGTTTACGCGTTACATATATTATTACTGTTGAAATGTCGAAAATTTGCTAAATTAGCTATTTGTACGTACCTTCTGCCGCTGCCATTCATGTCCATTCATATTTGTGTATTATCGCTAGACGCATCATCATGATCATGTTGTCGTCGATTTTTTTTTTTTTGTATATTTATTTATTATGCCGGTGGCGGCAAAAAAAGTACAAGTCAAAGCCAGTCCGTGGCCGTGAGAACATGAGAAAAGACAATCGTAATGTGAATCTCAGCCGAGCACCATCTGTGGGGCGCTCTGGCTGTCCAAAGAAATCGAATCAGAAGAAGCCTAAGGTGAAGCCTTGTGTCATTCTTCAAAGTGGTTGTGAAATGTTTGCCTTTTTATGCCTATTCATATCACAGCCAGCTTTGAGGAGCGACACGATGCTCAAGACAAGATAAATAAATCGTCAGACCAGACCGTCAACAAAATCAAATCAAAAAACTCAAATCCAAGAAAATGAAAACAGTGCTTATTGTATGTAACGTTGCAAGTGTGTTTATTTCGTTTATATATATGTATATATATCATTACATCAGCATTAATCCAAAATTGAAAAATTCTAAAATCCCGCAGTCAATGATCCTGAAGAATCCTATCTACAAACTATTGGCACATTCATGCTGGGCTCACAAAGTGGTTGTGAAATGCATTTTGCTTTGCCCGCATATCACAGCCAGCTTTGATGAGCTCGGCGTAATGTATCGTACATCAATCATAATACGTATGTATCCACCCCCCACCCCCACATGCAGCACACCCCGACACGCACTTACATCTCTATATAGGGATTCTATAGCGAGCGTTTCGTTCCCATTTTATATTTTGCAAATAATGAAATAATCATATTATCTTTTCCACGAACATCAAAACACTTGCATGCGTTTGAAACAAATTTCAGAGTAATTTTAACTCATTAAAAAAATAAATACCACCACGTATTTGGCCCACGAAATGCGCAGAAATTATAACAAATTGGCTGTTGAATGTCTACAGGCCAGGACTGTAATGCGGACGATCAGACCCATCAGCTTATCGGGGGGAGTTGATGTGTGAAATTGGTTCAAACGCCGCAAATAATCGAGTGCAAAATATTAACAACATTACACGTTTTAATTTACAATACTATATTTTTATAATTTAAACATTGCAATGAACAAAAACAAAAATGATGCCACATCTATTATGATGTTGCTTATCTAAGCCTCATCAAGTGGTTGTGATATGGATACCCAACGCATATCACAGCCAGCTTTGATGAGCTAGGATAATCAACGGGAAACAACGTAAATTGATTTTGAAAAAAAAAACCCAAAAAAGTGAATTTGGTCGTGATTCTCAACAAGTGATATGGAAGGGGGGACATACCCATGAAAAATGCAGAAATTTTTAAAAAAATTTATCAACTGTATTATATCATACATATGACGATCCATAGCTGCGGATCAGTTTTTGATTACATTGTCTATACATAGAGTACATATTTCTGATTTAATGCAGTTATACTTTTTCTTTGTTTTAGTCGAGTACACAATTCTAGAGCCTACATAGACTTCACCCTATTTATCATCACTACTAATGCCAATTTCGTCTTCTCCGCAGATACACATGCGCCCCATGAACTGAACTTTTATGTTCAAACATCAGCATATGTAGAGCTCAAGCCACACAATTCAAAAGTCGACGCTGACGACGCTCTTTAGCGGAGCGGAGAATATACATTTTAATTTATTTTGTGATAGTTTCTAGTTTATTTGTAAGCTTTAAAGAAACCAAACAACGATTGCAAGCCAAAAAGAAAACCAATATCGAAATATCCAAAAAATCCGGAAACGAAACGAATCGAAACACAAGCTACAAATTGTAATAATAATGATGCATTCCACAAGCACAATTGGTGTGAAGACGATCTACAATATGGGAAGACCGTATTTGCTGGCCTTGCTGTTGATCGGCTGCCTGGCATATCCGGCCTGCATTGAGGCCTGCTCCAGCCGCACGGTGCCCAAGCCGCGTCCTTCCATATCGTCGTCCATGTCGGGAACAGCATTGCCGCCCAGTCAGGCCCCAGCAACCACAACCACTGTGCGCACCACAACGACGACCCCCAGGCCCAACATAACATTCCCCACGTACAAGTGCCCAGAGACATTTGATGCCTGGTACTGCCTGAACGATGCCCATTGCTTTGCCGTGAAGATCGGCGATCTTCCGGTATACAGCTGCGAGTGCGCTATCGGATTCATGGGTCAGCGGTGCGAGTACAAGGAAATCGACGGGTCCTATCTGCCCAAGCGTCCGCGTCCCATGCTCGAGAAGGCCAGCATTGCGAGTGGTGCGATGTGTGCACTGGTCTTTATGCTGTTCGTATGCCTCGCATTCTACCTCCGATTCGAGCAGCGCGCTGCCAAGAAGGCCTACGAGCTGGAACAGGAGCAGGAGGAGGATAATGAGTATGATCAATGCGATGATCCGAATCAATGCGAGTGCTGCCGCAATCAATGCTGTGCTGCCGGCGACGAGCCTCTCGTCCAGGAACGCAAGTTGCCCTATCACATGCGGCTGGAGCATGCCCTTATGTCGTTTGCCGTACGGCGCACCACAAAATTGTGAATGAATTGGACACGGACAGGAATATGCCTTGGGTAACAGAAAAACTGTTCCATTCAACGAATTTTAAATGTGCTTTAGTCAAAAGTCCAAATTCCTATTTACTAATTGTTAATTGTAAGCTGTCCACATGCTGTCCACAGTTCACAGTGAAAAAGATCTTGTCTACTATAGAAGATAATTCCACTTTCTCAATCCAGACAAATGCCTACTAGAGCAAGCCTTTGTATTATCAAATCGAATGTATTTTACGCTACTTACGCTGGCTATTTATTTTATCCTGATATACGTATCCACACACACACACACACAAACAATGAAAAACACGCGCCAAGTATTATTTATTGCGAGGAAGAAATATATATATTATTTAAACAAAATCTGAATAAACATAAGAAACTGCACGATGCAAATGAATGTTGAAGATGTTGTCCTTTTAGCTACTTAAGTTCTGTTACTATTTCTACAACGTTGTACTTTGACAAATTTTAGCCAAAAGGTTGCCCTTGTTAGAGTCGAAACATTGTGGGGCTTAGATGACCAAATAGGAGTGGTGTCCCAGGCTATGTTGCTTTTGAACATTAAATCCAACGCCGATACAGAAAGGGGATGTAAAGACTCACAGTTAAGGAAACGACCGAAGCCGTTCGATGAGCCTTGCAGCTGCCTATTCCAGCGAAACGATTGTTTCCATGACTGTTGTTCAACCAATATAACGATTCTGCGTCAGCTTGGTTTTACCCTCAGCAGAGGGCTACTTTATAGGGCTGGAAATTCCTCCTTTTTATTGTCATATAGTCTTTATAGGAAAGACTATAAATGCGGTTTCAGTACTGGGCATTCTATGATCAAGATAATACTCAATTATGATGGTTCTTTATCAACTCTGACCAGACTGACATTCTGGACATGCTGTTATTTGGAAGGGGGACTGTTTGATTGATCAATACCCAGCGGGCTTTCCCAGATTGCAATGAAACACTGCTAAACTATTTGCTCGTGTTTATGGGGCGATCACCGACGATAAGATAAGCTCATTAAGTAGACCCCATAAATTTGTAGACAGGTCTATATCCGTTTGTCATTAAATGAAAGGCAGTGGGGAATTAAATTATGAAAAATTATATTTATGCACATTCGATAAATTCGTGGTGATATCATGCACCTTAAAACTGACGCGAAATGTTTTCACACTTCTGATAGAGTGCCTTCATTGGGCCATAGCTTGACAGAACCAACGACGTGAGGGTGAGGCACTTCATCAGAATTTGAAAGTCCGTCTCGCTGCGACTCGTAAAGTAGCCCGTCTGGTAGCCGTAATACTGGGTCACCAATGCAATGACAAAGCAAGCGAAGCCCAGAAAGTTGTGAAACGTCTTGTTCAGCAATGGGGCAATCAGCCTTTTCACCCGGGTGGAGAAGAGTGCACTCAGGCCAGAGGTCATGGCCAGTATGCACAGTATAAACGCAGTGAAACCTGTGGGGGAAGCACGAAATTCTGTTCATCACTGGAAATTTCATTCAGCTGAGCATTCCGAGATAATGGAGCATTCCCTCTCTCGTATTGTGTCGCTCTGTCACAGTTTGTTTACTCACCCAGCTTCCCGTGCGTAGAGTGCAGGGAAAAACCTTTCTGTATCATTTTGATAAGGGCCCCAGATGCTCCACAGCATCCGCCCAGTGTCAGGAGTATCCAGTGTATTGTGGTTTTTGTATGCCGCTTGTAGCTATGTGTGAGAACATTGCCGCTATAGTGGACCATGACACCCTCGGCCATAAAGAAGGAGAACTGTCAATGGAACGAGATGATCTTTAGAGACTGCCCAGGTGACTGATTTTTCCCCTTAATTCTAGAGTAGTTACCCCAATGGTGACCAGCCAAGCATGCAGGCTAGTTCCTTGCAGTCCAGTGCGCAGTGTCAGATATGAAATATAGATGGTCACGAAACCAATGCAGATTTGATTGAGAACGTTCAGAAAGTACTCCAATCTCTGCCAACGATTCTGTGGCTCGTCCGGGGACAGTTTGTTGTGGGACATTTTTGAATATCGTCGCGGAGATTCGATTAACACAAATGAGGGTAGTCGGCGTGCTGGTCTCGTCTGGATTGTGCTGCCGTAGTCGACAACTCGCTGTGATCTACTAACAACCGGCTGCTCGGGCTCGGCCATGGTACGCTGATTTTTGTAGTTTCTGTTTTAAATTTGTTCTAAGCTCTTATCAGCGAGTTGACATAATGTTATTTTCGTGTTTAATATAGTAAGCTTTCAGTACACGGTACATATGTATGTACAAGTGCTGTTGTACTGTTCCCAGCTGATAAATGTGTCCTGCCTCTCATCAGACAAATTATTGTAAACTAATTTATTGGTACCAGAGCGGTAAAAGACCGTAAATTTAAACACCGATCGCACTTTATTGTACGGCCAACAGGCGGCCCGAAACGACCATTGAACTATGTCCGTCCGTTCGTAATTGATTTAAATAATCGCTAACAGTGTTGGAGTGCGACTGGCGAAGCTTTTTTCGCAGCGTCATATTAGCGCACGCCGCTCTTGATTACTACAAATAAATACAATTTTTATTTGAATTCGTATCGGTTTCCTCTTGGTGAAGTGAAGCTATTCAAGTGCTACGCTGCGCTGCGCTGCTCATAAATCAGATAGCAAACTAAACCGCAAGTAGACCTTCAATCGTGCTCGTTGCATTTATTTGATGGGCGGTAGATGCGACGATTTGTCAGTTGGCAGCTAACATCACTGAGTGTAACTAGCTGAGTGCAGCTGAGCAATGCAAAAATTAATAATTAAATAAGCTGACTAAACATTTTTCAGAATGAATGATCTTACCACTGTTCCCTGGTCATATTGTGCTCATTCGCTGAATAATTGACAGGAAGCATATTATTTAGTCCATCTGACTACTAGGCCATGTGCCGGTCAATTCAGGCTATGTATGGCCATGTTTTATGGTACATTCCCGGCAATGATGTGCTGCAGAGAACAGGCATGGGGGCTGAAAAATTAAGAGAAACAAAAATTTAATCGTTTTCAATTATACATTAGTACATATATATTTATACTTATATATTTTGTTGTATTTATTTATTTATTTGTAGCCTAAATTGTATAAATATTATAGCTTAAAATACGGATGTACGAGGAACACAGAACACTACACAGGAACCTTTGAACAAGCATCGGGTTTAGCCATTCAAACTGAGCACTTTCTGGTATAACGATTTGATGGCTCCTATGCTAGTCAAGACCATGGACACGAGTGTGGCTACTCGGATGAGGATAACAAAGTCCTCTCCCTGTCCTTTGAAGATGGAGGTCTGTCCATATCCATAGTATTGGGCCATCATGGCAATCACATAGGCGGCAAAGCTCAGCGTCACGTGAAAGGTCTTGTTGATTAGCGGCGACACCGCCCTGCTCATGGCTCGGGCCAGGACGGCCGCCAGTCCACTCAGCAGCGAGATCAAGCAGAGGACGAAGGCAGCAAAGCCCAGGCTGGCATGTGTGGTAACACCAATGGACCACTTGTCGCGAATCAGTTGGATGAGGCAGCCGGCTACACCCATCCCGCCACCGATCACCTGCAGCACGACATGGATGGCCGTTTTGTATTTGCGAGTGTAGCGCAGAGTTAGCCAGCTTCCGTCGTAGAAGCACATCATGCCCTCGGCCATGAGGAAGATAAATCCGAAGGTAACCAGCCACGCATGCACGCGTATGCCACTCAGGCCCTGGCGCAAACACGTCCAGCTCACCCAAATGGTCACGAAGCCAATGCACAATTGATTGAGGACATACAGAGCCGCTTCAATGTGCTGCATCACAGAGGTTTTTGGACTCGATTCTTTCTCACTCATGTTGGCAACAATTATTTAAACTTGGGCTCCGAGTTATTTTTCTGGGTTTCGACAGGATTACTTTTATATGGTTCAAGGACCTAAACTTTTTGATTCCACTTTTAAGCACCTTTCATGTCCTAGAAAAGGATAATTTAAAATTTGTTCTACCCCTGCAACGACAGCTCCTGTGAACCGTTTTTCATAAGGTTTTTCATTCAACTATATTAACGAAATGGGGTAAAGGCTTTTATTGCCTACAAAGAACGAGTCGACTTTTTGAGTGCACTCAACTGGCAGACTATTTGTTTGCTATCGTTTCATTCTAATGTCTTCGACTCAAAGGATTATACTATATAATTGATAGGGGAACTGGACGTTCACGTTCACGTTCTCATTGAACGTAGTATTCCAAGTATACGAGCTATCCATACGCTCTGTCACGATGTAAGTACCAAAGATTAGTATGGAAGCAGCTCCCCATCGAAAAGTCTTATGCGCTAGGACGCACGTTTGCCATTGGCGCTCTTGGGCATGAGCCCGGAGCTAAATATAGACAGGTTATTAACAGTAATTGGAGGCACATTTAAGTTGAGCAGTTAGTTGCTCAACTTAATGAAACATATGTATTTCGATTAGAGCGCAAGTCATTCATTCCATCCCTCCCTTATCGAAATGCAAAATCGCACGTACCGAGATAAGGTTCGCCCGACATTCACACACTCGCACGCACACTCGCATTTCGGTGGTAGCTGAAAGTGGTTTCAGGTCTGTGGCACAGCGTCTGGACAGACAATCGGTTGGATTCTGATTATAGAACATTAATTAACGACTCTTGTCTTGCGTGAATCGTCCTGCACATCTTAGGTTGGTAGAGACAGAAAAATAGCAACACTACATTTATTTAACTCATATCTAACTCAATTACTTTAGATAGCTCGCATCTGCCTTTCACTCAGAGTGTAACGACTACGAATCTCACTGGGAGAGCCGTGGAGGGAGAGATAGGGACTCGTCATCGTCATTGTCACTCATCAGGTAAAGAGCCGGCAACCGATGGCACTTGCAGAATTGATGTCCCTCATTCAAATCTCTGCTTTACTGCATACACAAATTTACGATTAGAGAACAAACAACATTTATTTACAAGCAAATTACCGCATACAGATAGAAGCGAAGCGAATGCTTATATGGGTATGTATGTCTACAAATGTTTATCAAATCTCGATCTTAATCCTAATTGAAAGTCACGACATACATTTACATAGTACATATTATACTTAAATACACACGTATCAATTGAGGAAAAGGTTTAACAGGTCAATAAAATACTATCACAGCCTCATCCGACAGAGTTCCTCCTCTAAGCACAAAGAGGCTGCCGCAAAACATAACATAACATAAATAATGGAGCCCTATCAATAGAGAGTAAAAGTTAGACTGGGGAATTACCGGTAGCACGGTAGGTATTCGACAGATACATACTACATATACTACTGCTGTCAGTGCGGCTCATCGTTTGGGTGAAATTTATCTGTTAGCATGGGCAAACATCTAGACCAGTAACAATCTCAAGGAGGCGGCGTCTTGTCGCTCCCCACTGGCTTGGACAAGAAGTACATAATCTTCAATATCTCACTAAACTTCGGAGTATCTCTGGGATGGCGCTTCTCGAGCCCCGCTATCTGCTCGAGAGCAACCTCCACATCCACTACATTGCACAGGATCGATTGCAGTCGTTTGGGAAATTTGCCGGGAGAATCCTCAACCCGTCGGCGTGTGGTTTCCAACATATCAAGCTGATCTTGGGGCGTCACCTTGTGGTAGCTGACCACCAGCGTGGTTAGCTGCGGCAGCTTGTCCGCCAGTAGAAAGCCATAGTCCTGGGCATCGGATATTCCCAGACGCTGGAGCCGCTTGGCCCCCGCACTCTGCAGGATAGTCTCCTCCACTTGGTGTCTGTTGGCGGTGAGGTCCAGATGGGACAGCGACAGCTGATCCAGTATCTCGCTTAAGTACTCCGTCTCAATGGAGCATTCACGGGCGACCAGCGACTCGAGCTTGGTCAGGCCGATCATGTGCTTGCCCGTCACATAGGCGCTGGACACGCTCAGACAGCGCAGCTGGCGACAGTTCTTGGCTATGGTATTGACCATGCTGTTGTTCATGTTCTCATCTGCAATGCAAAGCTCTTTCAGATTACTAAAGTCTCGGCGCAGATAGAAGCTCAGTTCGGGGCGCATGAGGTGGCGTCCCAGGTACGAATCGAATGCCTTTGAATGCACATTCCATATGTAGAGCTCCTCCATGGCGGAGCTGGTCAGCTCAAAGAAGTAGACGTAGTCCGCTTTGCTCAACGGCTTCAGCATGGCATCCGACACGGAGACATTCCGATACCGTGGCTTCCTCCACACAATCAGGCAGAGCAGCTCCCGGAAGCGTGGCGACAGTCGGCACATCTTTATTTGTTCCACCAGTGGCAGGTACTCCAGTATATGGCACACACAATCGTCGTTTAGCGTCTCCATGGCGAAATATGGCAATATTTAACACACTTAAATTGTACTTTTTAGAAATGCGTTTTGTTGTGGATTTCATCAGCTGTTTGCTGCCGCCAGAAATTTTACTGGAATGGTGTCTGACCTAGACAGGGTGTCCAACGTACAGTGCTATCATATTCCTCAATTTTGATATTCGGTGTAATGTTACTAGCTACATAGAGTTTTCAGCGCAAAGCATCTAATTTAATCCGATTGATGAATCAATTTTCTACAAGATTGGCTTATTTTAAAGATCTCTTCTATTGGATTGTTTATAAAATAACGTAGAAAACAAACGCAGGTTTTAGGAAAATTTTGTGTATTTTATCAGCTATTTGCAGTGCTGGAAGATGCTGCCAGAAATTTAGCTCGAATTCGTTTGTACGGTCACACTGTTAAACTGCATCTTTACAAAAATTTTACTTGAAAAACAGAAAAAAAATACTGCAAAATAAACGTACACCATAAAAACAAAAAAAAAAAAGTTTAGCATTTTTTTGTTATTTTGGGTAAAAAACTTGGCTAATTTTCAAATTTGACATGTATTTTACACAAACTACCGATATATTTTTGTTCTGGCGCCCTCTTTTGATAGTTACATGAACTAAGCATGGAACAGGCAACTACCGTGTGATGGCGCCAACAATTGGGTAAATATATATAGGATATTTGTGTCTGTAATAAAACCATTGTTTAAAGTTTTTGAATAAATAAAAACTGAAAATGAACGTTTTTCAATTAAAATTTTCCGTTAATTAATTAATAATCAATGTATTTAGCGTGAAAACAAATTTAGCGGAAATTAAATAGAGACAAGGGAAGAGTCGTGATTTTGTGAATCAATTTGCATTTGAGCGAAGCATTTTCAAATAGTTAGTTCCAGTAGAGGCCGTCGGTAATCATGGGACGCCACTGTGCAACCTACAAATTTGAATTTGCACAGTGGAGCCCCCAGAATGGAAGACGGCCACTGCTGGAACTAACAGCAATTTATAGCGTTTTTTAAATGCGTATAACTTTGCCATTTCCTGTCCGATCTGGGCGTGCCACACCTCCTCGTGATCGGAACATAGTTCCCTATCGTTTGACATCAAGGACAATAAGGATATTGCCTTGGAAACGCTAGAAATCCTTTATTGCTTCGCCATATTTAGCTTGACCAGGGCGGGCCACGCCTCCATCTGATCGGGGTAAAACTATAGCGATGGACAGTTTGGATCCTAACGATCCTGGTAAAGTTGGTCCTGACCCGATCCGAGCCCATTTGGCCGAGATATAGCGTTCCAAAGTTTTGGCTGCCAAAAATTTAAAATACTGGTTTTTTTAAATTAAGCTATATCTCTGCCAAATAGGGGCAAATCTGGGCGTGGCATGTCTTGTTGTAATCAGGAGAGCCCATTCCATCGCTTGGCATCAAAAAAAGGACATTCGGCAAATACTGGTTTTCGCAAAAAGGATGATGGTTACATCATGATTTTTGCGAAAACCAGTATTCCTCGGATGTCGTTTTTTTGGATGCCGATCGATAGTGTGGATCCTCACGATCCTGAAAAAGTAGGTCCTTCCAGGATCTGCCCCTATTTGGACGAGATATAGTATCGGAAAGAAAAAACCAGTATTTTTTTGTGACGCTATATCTCGGCTAATTGACGACCGATTTGGGCGCACCACACTTTTTCGCGATCAGGAGAATCTCCCCGATCGTTTGCAATCAGTTTCGCATCAAGGACATCAAGGATTAAGGATAAGATTTCTATAACTCCGACATTTTTCGTCCGATTTAGACGTGATGCATGTCCTCGTGAGCGGAAAGGTCTCGCCTATTTTTTGAATCCATCAAGGACCTCAGGGCTGGATGGATACGCCCGTTACAAGCAATTTTGTAATATGAAGGCAGAATAGGCCAGCCCAAAAGTATGCTATACTTTTTGTAAATAAAGGAAACCCCAAAATTATGCAGTGGTTTTTATATATCCGGCTTTTAAAAGACATGCAGCACTGCTGGCTAAATCAATAAAATAAAAAGAAACCCACATTTTACGTCCGATCAAGACGTGACACACTTTCTCGTGATCCCGATCCTCGATGGGTTACAACCAGTTTGACATCAAGGACAATAAGGATATGGCCTTTTGTAACCTTATAACCTGATACAGCTCCGCCAACAAGATTTGGGGCTTTTCAATTGCCGCTTTATTTGATAGTTAAAATTCGAAAATTCTTATTTGTAAATGCTTTATTCGTAGAAACTAGTACACGACAGCTTCAAGCTTTCTGCAGGTCTCATCGTACTTGTCATGGAAGTTGTAGATCCGTTTCCTCTGCAATTCCTTGTTCTCAGCAACAGCCACCACAGCACCCGAAACAGGGTGCCGTTGCACAGCACCACGGGCCACAGGGACTATAGCACGCTCCACAAGGGCATTTACGAGTCTGCTGAACAACTGAAAAGGTAAAAAAATAGAAAATATTAGGAGATATCAAGTCAACTGTGATTTTATTCCAAAAAAATGGTTGATTGCCTGCAGGTGTTGTTATTGTGTTTTAGGGTAAATTGCTTAAAAGAGTTAATTATTCAACACTTACAATGTGTAAGGCCCTTTTAAGACTCCAGTTCGCAGAAAAAGGAAAACCGTTGTCCGCTCTACGGCCTCTTGCTCGCCTTGCATACGTATCAATTAACATTTTGAGTGTGTTTCCATGTTCAGCTGTCACTTTTGTACGCATCATGCAGTATCCGAACAGACAACAAGACCGCCCCCCGGACCAAAAATACCCCAACCATATCGTATTTTCGTTGTCTGACTGACTGTTTCGGAGGCAGGCGGCCATAGCCATTGGCTTGGTATGGGCCACACATGATTTGTGCGTGACCATGCGAAATGTAAATTATTTATGTATTGTGCGTCCGTATATAAGGCATTATTCCAACAAATGTATTGAGTTTTGCTTCTTTCTGACAGTCCCGACGGGTCCCGTTCCCGTTCCCGGCCCAGCGTCGCTTTCACAATAGCGCAAAAAATAGCCAACTGTTGGAGGCACCCTTGTCATGGCAGCATTGGACAGCAATTGATTGGCATTAGGGGGCTGACTTGAGTGGTGGGGGAGAAGCTGGTGTGATCAGAATAACGAATCGGCAAAAAATTAATGTACACTTTTAAAATTTGCATTTCAGTTATCGTAGATGCCATAAGTTGGTAGAACTATCCTCCAAACGGTGCCGAAAATTAGGTCACTGAACCCAAATCATGCTTATGGAAATCTGACAGTCTTATACATATATAGAACACACACACACACATATTAAAGCTAAACATAATATAAAGGAAGATATGACCGAAATGGTTACACAAATGTCTCATGAGCCTTTGGGGGAATGTTAATCAAGTTTTTTATAAAATCGATTAAATGAATCAATGAAGAAATACGAAGACTTACCAGCATTTCAGTCAAAATGCAATCATAATCGATCAGAAATGTTCTACAAGGATAAACTAAGGCATTGCCATTGCCACACTACCTCCTATGGCAGGCTATTGTCTAAATTAGATAATGACTATGACTGGCATACGTGTAGGTCATTCCACCACCGACTGAATGGATTTTCCCATGGTGGTTGCGTGCTCCTTCCTTGTCCGCCCCCAGCTCTGGCGTGGTTCTCGGGTTTCTCCATTTAAGTGGGCCACAATTTGTGCTGGCCGTTTCCATTGTTGCGGCTCAATTATGAACGTGATTAGAGCAGCCATGCATTATACACACTCATGTACATATAGATGTTTGTTCCCGATAACCGCTTCCCCCCCCACATAAGCGAGCGTTTCGGCTAAGCGGCAATTAGACGCTACGCGAAAGTGCTCCGATAAATTATTAGCCACCAAAATGATGGCTTTTAAAAACCTGCCACCTTTTCATATCTGGTTCTTTTCGCAAGAACAAATACCAGTCTCACTTCGGCCGAAAAAAAGGGGAAAGAACTGTATAAAACGCCATCAAATATGCAACACTTTTTCTTGTTCAGCGCCTTGGCAAACAATTGGCCAATTAAGTCGAAAGTTTGCCTGCTTGTCGCAGGAAGGTTCCGTCAGTGTAGCACCCACACCCACATCCAGCTCTTGGCTGCTGTCCGTTGGCCTGGCCCCAGCCGATGGCCATTGCATGCCAGGCGCACATTTTGTGGCCATTTGCGTGCCGTGACGCCTCTCGGTCCGGGACGGGACGGGACGGGACTCTTTTCGGACCCATAAGAGAGCGGCAGGAGAGACGAAGGGAATGGAATGCAGCTCGTTACGTGTTTTATGCAGATGGCCGGGCCCGGACTTTTTCACGGCTTACATTTTCGATTTTGTGCTTTTCGCCCACGGTTCCCACACCCCCAATGTTGGCATTGCAAATTCAATGGAGCACTTTTTGGCCACTGAGACTGAGTGCAATATTTCATTTTTAATTCGGACCCAAGAGGTGTGGATTTGATTTAGTTTGGCCAAATGCCCAGGAAATTGATCGGCATTTTTCACTCCCTTGTAATTTTTAGGGGTGGGGTTTGCCCCCAAAGAGCAATTTCCAGGGCTAAATGTGCATTTGGGCAGTTTGGTTAATGATAGTTTTGGGATTACTTGCAATGTTGATTCATGAGTCACTTTGGGCGAACACTTTAAAGTGTTTCTTGCTTGTGTATTAGTTTTCCATCACCATTAGGGAAAAAGAGAGAGCCAACGCTGTTCCAAACTTACCAAAAAGCAGACGAAAACATTTTTGAGGGTTCTTTGACACTAAGGATTACTTCTCAACAGGAAAACCACCCAACTTAAGTGCTAGGCAGTCACCCCTCAGTAAAAAATCTAAGCCCATTTCGTACCGCAACACTCTCTGAAAAGTAAGCAAAAATAATCACATTTAATTGGTTTAGTTTTGGTTTTCATGCTTTGATTTATTTTGTGGGTACTCTCATTTGTCATGATTTTCTCCGATTTTCTTGTTTTCTAAATGCCTGGCGAAATTATTGAACGTCTCAGCTAATTAAGTCAATGTAATTACATAATTAGTTTAAATTCATATTATTATATTTTGTATGTTCTTGTTCTTGTTTTTGTTTTTGTTTTTTATATTTGGTTTTGCTTCATGGAAGAGAATAAACGTGTTGGATCACAAAGGTTTGTTTTGCTTTTCGTTTTGCTAGGGTTTAATCTGGCTCAAAGGCTCTCTAACAAAAAGGATTAGAAACAAAGTTATTCGAATAGAATTTTAACCACATTAAAGCTTATGTACACTAAAACAACATAACTAACAATTTGCAATCGATTTCGTTGGTTTAGGCTTGAGTTAGGCTAAGGAGTTCATCTATTCTTCGTTTGTTCATTTTTCATTTTGTTTTTGTTTTGTTTTTTATAGTTTACGGTAAGGCTGAAGACAGAGTATTAAAAGTGTTTTTATTGTTTAAGAGTAAAAGTTGTTTATAAAATATATTTATCATATATCAAAGTATAGTATCCATAGTTATCCATAGGCGTATATTACAGTTTACCTTTTATACAGAGCCACCACCACAAAACACCGAGTTTCCATCCACCCGGGTTTCCATTTGAGCTAATAATATTTTTTGTTTGTTTTTTTCGTAACAGTACAGAGTTTTTTGTTGTTTTTTGTTGTTTTGCTTTTGGTTTTCTAAGGTTTTCTTTTGTTGGTTTTATAACTCGAATAATGCAAACGCTTGATCCACTAAACGAACTAGACTACTGTATACTCGTATATATAGTTATTTGATTCTTGTATATATCAGAATATCAGTAGGTGTATATTTTATGTATATATATTGTATTGTATGCTTGTATAATTACTAAATGGTATTTGAGTCAATATTCATAATGTCGTATGTCGTGTGTCGTGTGTCTTCTCTATGTATATTTATATATATGTATATATTGCAAATTTCATTAATATCTCTACTAGAATTCTCCACATTCTTGTGTATATATGTATGCACTATATATATGTACTATATATGTATGTATATATAGTTATCAATTTTCCCACTTGTTTCTTTGGTAATTGGTCCTTAGTACACTACATAGAAAGCATTTTAAATATTCGGTATCGTTTTGTTTCTTAGAGCAATTTCAATTTCCATAGCACGCATTGGGCGCCCACGACACGGCATCGCACTTATGGCTTCATCTGAAAGGCAAGGGAAGGCCGGACCTAGTACCCATTTAAGGGAAAAAACACCTTCGTCCTTTCATTTTTTGTCGGGTGTGTGTGTTTGTGTGTCAACAGGGACCTGTGTGTGTGGGGGAGGGGGTTGTAGCAGCAGCAGCTGGCCTTTTTACAGCCGCAGACTCAGCTTTTCCGACATCTAACACAGCTGTGACGACCTTTCAGACTAAAAATAAACACCTAAAACCCACACATAGACCCGTCAGTCACCGACCACCACACCACACCACATCAGGTGGTGTATCTGTGTGTGTGTTTCCCTTTGTAGCTGTGTGTGTGTGTGTGTGAGTGTTCCAGCGAGTTAATTGTGGACGGGTAAACGTAAACCCCCGGACTTAGCCAAACATTGGCATGCGTTTTGCCAGCGTCTAAAAACGCGTAAAAACGGCAGAAACCGCCAGCGACGCACATAAAAGTGTCAGGCAGACAGAAATTTATGTTGCCTTGCAACTTTCCAACACCCCACCAAGAGGCCTACCTGAGGGATCTCTACGCCACGAAGGGGTAGAGGCTGGGGTGTTCTGTTCTGCGACAGCCGTGGCTTTATTATTAAAATTGCCCCGAAAGTTGCTGCAAATTTTGGGCCATTGAGATGGCTCCTGAGGTGCGAGATACCCACATACTTGTGTGGTACTCTTATGTGAGAGCTACCAAGTTGTTAAGGTGCTAAAACTTCAACTGGCATTACTGCGAATAATAACTTGAAGGCTGTCTGGTAATTTGGTTTCATTGGGTTTAATTTTACTTGAGCTTTATGTCTCATTAAAAGTAGTTTTTTGGACTTAGATTTGCCAACAATTGCCTGGGGTTTCACAACAATTAGTAGGGTTATCATGGCTATACGATTTAAAGGCTTTCTTGCCTAATTTTGAGATCAGTTTTATGTATCCAGTCATATCTGCAGTATACCTATTTGCTAAGAACATCTATAATATTAACACTAATCAGCTGTAACTAAGCCTTGGAGATCTACGCAGGGAATTTCTTAAGCTAGCAGCTCCCCTGCCTTTATTCTCGTTCTTGCGAAACCATTCAGGTCTGTCCCGTTCTCATATGTCTTGTGATATAATATTATAGCCCCACCTTTAGCTTCATACCGCACTCCGCAGAACCCGATCCGAGCTATTCTATAACCATGCATATATTTTCCAACTGCTGCCACTGCTGCTTCTGGGCCAGTAGCCTGCACAACCATCATAATTAAGAGCCGCAATTTGCCTGGCGGTTTGCTAATTAACTGGCGCTCGCAAAAAAAAAGTGTGCCATGCCCGAAATCTAATTAAAGCTAATCCTTTTCTGCATATTGCCATATTTTGCACACTTTGAAAGGATGGGGAAAATATGTATGTATGGTAGAGGATCCTCCAATCCTCCACTGGTGTTGCCTTGCTAATTGGGACGCTTTTGCTGGAAGTGGGACGGGACTGTCTGTGCGATGCGATGCGGTGTCATTGGCGCCTCGGTGCCTTTTGTCCTTTGTCAACGTTGCCTGCTCCTGCGCCTGTGACAGTCGCAGTTTTGCATACAATTCGAGCATTATTTTTGTCATTCGTTTTCTTTTAATGTTTAATGTGTATCGCAGCTATTTTTGACCTTTTTCATCATTTTTTCATTCAACTCTTTAGTTCACCTTCGCTTATGGACTAGTCGTTTGGTTAATTCTACTTTCACTACTACTTTCTCCTTTAGAAATTTAGAAATTTACTTAGCATTGCTTTGCCTTCGGTTTTGTGTGCCGAAGTTCTTGTGGCAATAAAAATGAACAAAAAACAAAAACGATTCAATTTGTCTATTAAATATTTTAAATATTTTTGCGCGCTACTTACATGCATTTAAACTATTAAATTTGTTTATTTGCTTCGTAATTTTTTTGTTGGAGTTTTTTTCTCATATATTTTCTCCGCTTTAATTTAATTTAACTTTGGCCATTTTGCGTTTTTCTGCTTGCTTGCTTGCTTGTTTGCTTACTGAAAATTCAATTCAATTCAGTTTTTATTTGAAATTATTTTCATGCAGAGCTCGTGCCTGCGTCTCTGCGTCTCTGGTTGCCGTCCAACATGCCGTTTCACTTCAATTATTTATGCTTTTTATTTATGGCCTGTTGCGTTTCTGTGTGTTTTATTCCATTTGATTTAATTAAACTTTACTGCAAACGCATTTTCATTCTCTTTTTCCCCAGCTGAGAGGGGCAGTGCACGGACGACCATCTCTCGGACATTATTCGGTTTAATTTCGTTTGTTTTTTGGGTGGCAGTAAATGCAATCATAAAATGTGCGATTAAGAGAAATCAAATTAGAGAAAGAGTGCCCTTAAGATAGCTATGCAAATGAAGACAATCTTTAATCTGAAATACAGTTACTTTAATTCATTTGGAATCTCTTTTCAATTATGAGCAAAGTTTCATCAATTTAGGAACAATTTATGGGCTCCCTTTACCCATCAGACATTCACAATTTTAGCAAATGATAAAAATGTTTTTCTACACCCCAAGAAATGTCATTTAGAACGTTGTCAAATTTGATTTATGCTGGCAATTTCCGTTCAGGCCCATCACCCCACCCACCTCAGAGCTCAGCTGGTTCCCGTTTGCCTTTTCAATAAATGTGTTTTTCGATTTTATTTCTGTCTGCTCTTCATTGGAAATTTATGCAAAAACTGCATAAGTTATAGCAAAATAAAGAAAAAAATAAACAATAAAGAAAGGCAGATTCGGAGTACCGAAGCGGTCAATACCCTGGCAGATCAAGCGATAGAAAGATTTTGAATTTATAGAGAATTTTCCAAAGAAGAAAATAAACAGTTAAAGGGTCACATGAATCACGAATATATCTCTAGTATGAATATCCGTTATTGAAATTTCACTCGAAATGGTAATACCCTCTGCAAGGGCATTAAAATGTCACACCTGTCACCAGAGAAAAGCCGCATGCGTAATTTTTTATTGCCTACCTTTGTGCGCGCCGCGTTGTGTGGTTCTCGTTCGCCTCCCACTCTTCTACGCTTGTGGGAGTGTAGATTGGTGTGCGAGTGTATGTGTGTGTGTGTATGCATGTTTTTATCTGTGTCTGTTTCTGGTCTGGTTCTGTGCCTCTGTGTGTAAGTTATGTTTTCACAACCATGTTGATTTTGCTCCTTTACACATTCGTATTTTGTTTCCGCTTTTATGGGCACACTGGCTTGGCCTTTTCGTGTTCTGCTTTTTGCCTGGGCTCTGCTTTCCACTTAGTTTTCACTTTTAGCCACTGCTCAGCACCGGACATTTTTCCTTTTCTTGATTTCGTAGTAGTGTTCTTCATTGCTTATTAATTTTCAACAAAATGCCATTTAACTTAGTTGTTAATGGGTGTTTCTCCTGCCGGCTGTGTGTGTCTCGGTGTCTCTGTGCTTTCTTCTTTTTTGGTTTTTGTTTTTTGTTTTTTAGTTTGTATTGTAAATGATAAATCACATTTAATGCAATTTACAAATAAACATTTCGTTCCCACGTTCCGTGTTGAGTGTTGCCATCAGAATTATTCCATCTCTAAATTATGTTTATTACTGCTGCATATCGCCGCCATTGCCCAGGCCGGCCTTCGACTCCGGCGGCACCTGTTGTGTGTTGGCAGATAGAAATTAGTTCTAAATTAGATTTCCAAATAAAACATCAAATATTTACTACTTTGATAGGCGGATAGTCAGATATAGAGATAGAGAGTTATAGAAGAGGAGTACAGGTAGACAGAGAGATAGAGTTACATGAAAGACACAATCAAGGCATAAGCAAACATTTAGGTAAAGTAGCAAGTCTCTGTGAGCGTGTGTGTGTGTCTGCGGTGTGTGTGTTTCTGCGTGTTGTATCTGTATCTGTATTTGGATAAAAGGAAATAACACATCGAGCAACAGCAAGTCCCAATAAAATAGACACACTCGCACACACATATAGTCGCAACCAAGGGAGAAAGAACAAAAAAATACATACAGACATTTTATGTAGCCAAAACAGCCAAAAACAATTTGTTTGAATCAACCAAAAGGATAAACGTGAAATTAGGACCAAGCCAAAAAGAAAAACTTGCATAGAGCACGATTCGAAAGAGAGGCTGACAAAGATATGTTTGAACCGAAAAAAGAAAACTTGCAGAAGAGTAAGCCTTGGAAGAGGCGAAGAAAAACAAACGATGGAACTCATAACAACAGCAGCAAAATAAAGTAGAAACAAGTTGGAACAAGACATCCAAAATAAACCAACAACAAGAAAAGAGAAATACCAAACTAAACTCAACTAAATTTAACCGAAATCAACGGAAAGCCGCAAAAACTCCGCACTTTGCCACGCACCACGGAGAACCACCAACAAACATACGATTATGTAAGAGTATGACGCGGGCTAGGGGACCGTAAATGATTCCCGGACTCGTAAGCCGTGGGTAAGCCTTAAGTGTAACAAGTGTATTTCGGATTCAACGCGTTTCATATTAAATTAAGAGCGAAACGAACCGGGAAAGTGGCAAACTGGCAAACTGGCATACAGGACGACGGTGGGAGGGTGTAGAATTAGCCAAGTTTTTTCGCCTGTTTTCCACTTAAAAGTTATGAAAATAGCATAAGAGACGCACATGAATAGAATGGTAGGGAAAGCAGAAAGGAACATAGGTTGGTGGTATTAATATGTAGTATGTGAGGGATTTGTTTGTGGTTTTTTTTTAATGTTTTTTTCTGCAAGGATTTAAGCAAGGAAAGGAGCAGTTAAATGCAATATATATATGTATTTTTTATAAGCACATTTAATTCAGCAGGAAAGTAGGTAAAAGGAAGGGCCATCTACAAGTACTAAAATGATAAATATTTAACAAAAAATATTTGATTTGATAACTCATAAGTTTCAAAGCAAAAAAAAAACAAAGAGATTTTTGTCGGTCCCCCGGCTCCCACAAAAAATGGACACATTTAAAGACACATTGAAACAGCGAATAAACTCTTAACAGACTGAGAATACGAGTACGAGTATTTTCGAGTAACTAATGACAACGAGAAACAACATCAATGGAAACGAAAATTCAGGATTACAAGTAGAAAACAATGAGCAAACGACGACGAAGGCAAAATATAGTACAATGGACGAGAATAGACAACGACGACTGTACCTAGGTATCGTATCTGAAGGATGTGAGGGTGGATGTGGATTCAAAAATTAGCGCCCATAGAAACTATGAAAGTCCAGGAAATCCATGGAATCTGTTTGATTTTGTTGCTGCTGATCGATCTACACGAGGGAGTAAGGATGTAAGGACAAAATACAGAAACAAAAAAAAAAAACAAGGGGGTAACCGAAAAGGAAATGGCATTTGTTGTGGTATTTTTTTGGCGGTGAGTCGGTGGGTGAGATATATATTGTTTTTTTTTTTTGGAGAGCAGGAGAAAGAGAGAGTTATATATATATATTTTGATATAATTGTGGTAGGAGAGTGGCAGAATATAATACAAAATAAATGGTTTGGTATACAAAAAAAAAGGCAAAAATTAATTCAAGGCTCTAGCACTCACCAGCTTCTTGAAACAGTCCTCGAAAAACGCGGTCATTGAGCGATACAGATGCCGCTTGACACCCGACAAACTGTGTCCCTCGTCCGGATAGATCTGCTGCTTGTAGAGCACGCCCTTGCTGGTCAGAGATCGCGCCAGGACCATCGATTGCTGGACGTGCACATTGTCATCGGCCGTGCCATGGACGAGCAGGAACTGACGATCGCGTAGGTTGTCCACATACTTGGACAGATCGCTCTCCTCGTAGCCCTTGTAGTTGTCCGTAACATTGGGGAAACTCAAATATCGCTCGGCATATGTAGAGTCTGGCACGACAAAAGAGAGTTTTACTATACTTTTACTATGGTGTAAGATTACCCACCATATAGCTTCCAGTTGGTAACCGGTGAGACACTTATTCCGCACTGGAAGATATCCTGCTGGCCGGCGAGTGCCAGAGCAGCCGTATAGCCACCGTAGCTCCAGCCCCAGACGCCCATGCGACGGGAGTCGATAAAGTGCAGATTGTCCCGCAGATACTCGCTGACCTCCAGCTGATCCGAGACCTCGACGCTGCCCAGACGCTTGTAGACCTCGTGCAGCAGCTGATAGCCCTGACCGGCGGACCCACGTCCATCGATTTCGACGACAATGTAATCCTTGCTGCCGGCCAAATAGGTGTTCCAGTCGACGTGCCAGCGATCGGTGACCAGCTGCGTGCCCGGACCCGAATACACATGCAGAATGGTGGGATATCGCGTGATCTCGTCCTCGCGCAGAACGGGCGGCAGGTAGAGCCGTACCTGGGCATGATAGCCGCCGGAGATCATCACCGGGAAGGTCTTCACCTGCGGCAGGGCGGTCTTGGCCATTTTCTCCTTGAGACGCGTATTATTCTGGATCGTGACGAGCAGTTCCAGAAACTGTGACTTCGGTTCGACCTCTACGTTCTCCTCTCCGCCCTCCGTGGGGGGTCCTTCCTGTTGGGTGCTCTGTCGCGTGCCCTTGGGACTCGATGGGATGCTCGACTTCAGGCCATAGATAATGGAGGTGGGAACAACTGGGCCCAGACACTCGACCAGAACGTAGCGCGCCTGCAGCGTGATGGGGAACTGTGCCTCGTGGTAGAGGCAATCGCTGGGTGGCGGTGGCAGCGGTGGACTCTGCCCGCGGCCGGGACGCGGCTGCTGCTCCAGGGGCATGGCCGGTGGCGGTGCTTGGGCCTCCACCTCCTCGGAGTCCTCCCAGTCGTCATCCCAGGCGGTGACCAGCTTCGGCGGCGACTTGGTGTGACCCTCCTCGTAGCCATCGGAGCGCTGCATCAGGGCGGGACACGTGAGGCAGTCGGGCGGATGCAGGGCCTGTCCCTGGCGGGCGGGCAGAGCGGACACGCGGTACAGATGCTGCTGCGAGGGCAGGCGCTCCGGGGTGCCCAGGAAGTAGCTGCGAGAAGTCAAACCAAACCGGGCTCAGTGGCATTCCATTCCAATCCAACCCTCCAACCCTCCCAACCGGAAGGTACTTACATCCAATTATCCAGCTGGTCCCAGTGTAACAATCGATTCACCTCGTAGGGGCCATGGGTGAGGGGCAGCACCCGGTTATTGTCGATGTCCACGTGCACGATGTGCCGGAAATAGCCTGCGATTATCGATAGCCGGAGACGGAAGAGGGACAGAGACAGAGACGGAGACGGAACAGGCATTGTATTACCGGCACCTTAAATCGTTGGAACAAAGCCCGAAGCCCAGCCAAATTGACATATGGCTCACTTACCAAACAGGCCGTCGCGTAATGGAGAGATGGCCACATAGATACTCCCGTTGGCCGCAAACAGTGGCACGGAGACGGTGTCCACCCAGCCGCGTCCATCGCCGCTCACCCGATGGGTCTGCAAACGGATGATTGGGGGTCATTGGGTTATTTAGCGGTTTGGCGCACACTCACCTCAATGCACTCGAACGACGGGCTCTTGCACACACTGACCACGGATATGTTCTGGGGCCGATTCAGCCAGACCACAGCGATCTCTGTGCCACTTACCCAACTGGCGCTGCTAAAGTAATGATCTCTGTGAGCGGGGGTGGGGATAAATCGCATTAGTGCAACCTGTCAGAGGCATCCTGTATCTTGTGTCCACTTACTCATTGGCTATAATTTGCGGTGGTCGTAGGTTCGTGATGTGCACCTTCTTTGGGTCCTTGAGGTCGACCACACGTAAAGTTACTGTGGGATTTTGAGTGCCTGGTTTTGGATAGCTATTGCAAATAGAACAAACATTTTTAGTTTAAGTAAAACTGTCTGTTTCTTTTTAGGCATTCATTAATTTTCATCCACATTCTTGACGCGACTTAAACTTCTTTCCACCTTCCTTCGATTCTCTCTTCTCTGCCCGAAGGTGGACCTTTTCGAGCAATTTATCAAACCCCATTGACAGGGGATCAACTAGGATGGAGTGAGAGACTCGCACTCCCACTCCCCCTTCGACTCCTACTTCTATTCTCTCTCTGTTGTTAATATGCTACACATTGCTTAGGTGGCTTTGGTTGCTTTGTCTTTGGCCCCGAAAACTAATTTCGGTGCCCAAATCTGTCACCACACCTAAGAAAAGCGAACGATTGAGGGTTAGAGGGCCCCGTCTGCAAAAAGGTTAAAGCCACTGTCTGACATCCACCTGCCTGTGAAAAGGTTCAGCTCTCTCTCTCTCCCTCTATTCTACTTCATGAATTTTAAGCAATGTGCTAGGAGGGGCCATTAGGTCTAACGAAGTCACCAGAGATAGAGAGAGATGGAGAGGGGCGGGCATCATTAACACATAATCGAAAAGTGATATAGCCAAAAGCCCCATAATGGGGTCACGACTTACCGTAAGGATCTGATTTCTGGGTAAAGGTTGGCATACGGATTACTGCCACCCCCCGACGATGAGCCACCGCTTCCTGCGGGCGTGCCTGAGGCTGCTGCAGCTGCTGCTGCAGCCCCACCGGACGATGGACCCGTCGTACCGTACCAGGCAAAGTGCTGCTCCTGGACGTGCGTGTCGTTGAAGGTGGCGTAGAGCATCAGTTGGCCCGTGTCCGACATCCAAATCGCATTATTTGCATGAAGAATTTCCTCTGAAATGCAAAACAAGGGCGAACAATTCCAATAAGTTCCCATGATACGCCCCCGATCGAATTATATAGTTCAGTGGACTGTGTGGTGTGTGCTGTACCTTCGTACAGCCAATCGGGAATGCCATTGTAGACCACTCCGGGCACTGCATCGTGGGTGATGCGATGTGCCGTGGTGCCGCGCGCCTCCTTCCTGTAGTAAATATCGTAGCTGTGCACCCAGACCAATCCATTGCCCCTGGGGCTGAAGCGAGCGTAGTGCAGATATGGCCATTCATCCTGATGTGGACTGTGACGCAGCTTGATGCTCTCGCTATCAGTGGGAAGGGATGGAACATTAAGTTACCTTATAGATGGCCTCTGCAATTGGATCACTCACCTGGTCTGTATATCGTAGAGCGTGTATTGGGCCAGATACGAGTGGCGGAATAATTTCACAACATTTTGGGCCAACAGCAGGTACCGCTTGTCCGCCGATATGGTGAAGGTGAAGGGTGCCAGGGTTTTCTGTACCGAATGGAGGGGGGGAGGGCGGTGAAATCGTATTAAAATTATACAGGGAAAATTGCTACAGCCACACGCTGCGTATACGCAACTTTTAATTAAAATTTTAATGGTCTTTTCGGATTCTCGCACGCAGAAATGGCTGAAGTTTGTACGTGGCTGTTTTGGTGTTGCCAAATGTTCAAATTCTGTGGCATTGTTTACGGCAATTGAATGCCAAATGCTGCCAAAGCCAAAGTTCGGGGAAAGAAGCAACGCAACCACTTTACTTCTTCAGATTTAAGTTAATGTTTGGCTTTCAGCTATTCATGGCTTGGCTCTTGCTGGCAAGCAAATAACTTGATCCCTGATGCCCTGACAACAGCTCGACTACTCGTATTTATGGCCATGAATATGCATTTGCAGTGTGCTCGTCTGACTGCTCATTTCCGCCCTTTTTCTGGGTTTGGTGTTTTTGGGGCCAGACATTAATTATTTTGCACTCGGCTGGCAGCTGTTGACTCAAGTTATTGCACTTGTTGCTAGATGTTGCTAGATGCATAGCTGGGGCCCTCGAGCCACTCGAAATTCCACTTCTCCAACGTTTCCCCAAAGAGAAACTTAGTTTCCCCCCACCATCCTTTTTACTGCTTGTTTTCCTTGGCTTTTTCTTTCATTTTCATTTTGCTTTGCTTTTGCTTTTGGTTTCCCTTATGCTTTATTTGTTTGTTTTTCAATTTCAGCTCGCGCATTATTCATTTGGAAAACGTTTTACCTCCGTGTGGAAGTCCGCCCCGCCCCGCCCCGCCCGTCTTCCGTTACTTCATTCATATGAGTGTTTACCCAGTCATTGACATAAAAATCTTTTTGCCTTTTATCGTTATCGCAGGATTGAGCGGGAGGAGACTCCTCCCCACACACACGCGATAACTTGGCCCATTTGTTTTGCCTACTTTTGTGTGAGCGCCATAATATCAGTTAACATTGCCAAGTCGAGTGTGTACACTCGAGATATGGCCAACTGCTGGGACTCACTCCCTCTTCCTCTTCCTCTCCCTCTCCCTTTCTCTTCGTTGCTAGTAGCTCGTCGTAAATAAGACGGGGCAAATATTTATACTTTCGCCGAGAGATAAGCAATAAGCAAACAAAGGACTTTGGCTTCGGCTAGGGCTAAGGTTTGGCTGGGGAAGACTGACTGGTCACAAATGTACTTACAAATGTCACATTGGACATGAGGACACGTTCCGAGCGATTGGCTGCATTCAGCAGACAGATGCGACCCAAATGGTCCTGATAGAGGAACTCCTCGCCTGCGAAAAAAAAACATAGATGGAAAAGCGGAAATTAAAAGCGATGCGAATGGACATGGTTGGTTTGAATGATAGAACAGAACGTACCATCGATCCAGCTGCCGTTGGCGTGCTGCGGCATGTAGAGGCCATCGACTATGTCCTGCAGCTTGATGCGTTGCCCCTTGACGCGCGGTCCCTCATCGGGGGGCGTGAGCAGCACCTTTTTTGAGATATGTAGAAATTTTATATGTTGTTTTCTGTTCACTCACGCACACAGACACATGGACACAGATACAGATACAGTTACAGAGACACAGATGCAATTAAAATTACAATTACAATGGAACGAACACACACACACAGTACAACAAATGGACAACAAATATGTGGGTGTGTGGGTGTAGAAAAATGTTTGATCAGGCAGCCACAAAAATTGCGAAAAAAATTGGGAAACAAACAGACAGGAGACAAAAAAGAACGTAACGTATTTACACACATAAATTTATCAGATTTTTGTTTTAAAATATACACATATACATAAACATTTATATTTAATGGCAGTTTCAGCTTTTCCTTCTCTTTTTTTTTCGGCAAGCACCCAAAAGTAGGCCACAAGCAGTGTGCGTTGTTGAAATTTGCAAAATGTTTCCAATTAAAAAAAAAAAAGGTGGTTGGGTTTGTTTATTTAGCAATGAATAAAATACTAGAACACAACAGTTGTGTACACCGATAAAAAGTGCATTTCAGAGTGCACTTTTATTTGGGTGGAAGAGGAAAGGGAGGCCACGGTGAGCGTTTCTATATTCTACTCTGGGGTCCCTGTGATGTTGTGGCTTAGAGTATTTTATGCTTCGCATTGCCAAGACCTCTACCTCTTTTTCTACCGATTCTAGCTCTGCTCTGTGTATTTCTGCTGTTGGTCAACTACTACTATATATTTCAACTATTTTATTTTCCCTCTTGGCTTGGGTCATTGTTTTGTGTGGGTGAAACTAATGGTAATTGTATTTTACATTTGTTCTATCAATTTTCGGTTTCGGGTTCACCGACATTTGTTTGTTTGTCTGCAAATGAGATTGTGTTGTTGGCTGGGAATCTAATTAAGGAGTACATCCATTGTGTGCGTATTTCGGTGCACAATGTGCCCCTGATGGCACCGCAACGAACATTAAAACAATAACCAAAAACCATGCTGTGAGATTGTATAAAATTGTAGCGAAATTTCGGACTGCAGACCGGGATACTCACCACCGAAGTAACAATCAGGGCGAGGACAATGATGATGACCAGGAGGGCGATGAGGATGCCACGCCAGTTCCGCTGGTTCGGATTGCTGGAGACCAACTGGAAATAAAGACGGCGCATTAATTGAGAAATGATTGAATGCAAATGCTGCACATAAAGAGCGCCACGTGCGGCTCATTACCACTCGCCTGAACGTGGAGTTATGAAGGGAGAACGAGGAGCCCTAATAGGCTATAACAAACTGGCCGGAACCGCAAATAATTGGTTGGCCAAGATGCAATTAGCAAACTGATGATGATTCGGTTTTGTCTGGGCCATTGAACCCGGCCTCCATAAACTGTTCCACCACTGAATTATGCCTGCCTTTCCCACACCCCACAAAAATGGCTTAAATATACACAACAGCCACACGTACTCGTAGTCGTATATTCCGACATAAAGACGTCCTTTGTATGCATACAAAATAGAACCCGAACCAGAACCCGAACACCGAAAAACCCCTTGGAAATCAACGCTTAATGCATATTTAATGTAGTCAACCAACAAAAGAAATACAGAAATACAGAAAACAGAACCCCAAATACAACAACAAATTAAGCACGACACAAAACTAAACTCGCACGCAGCCCGCACGAGTTGATACCGATTTTTATGTGGGTCCACGAGAGTGGGGTGAGGACCCCGTCTGATTTCAGCCTAGTCAGTCCATCATGTCACCCACACACACAAAATACAATACACCGAAAGCGAAACTGAATGCCATGCCAGTTAGCTGTATAATTAATTAAGGACTCGTAAAACTACATACTATGCTGCTCTGCAGCTCCACTGTTGCTGTTACTCTGCTCTGTTCTGCTCTGTTCTGTTCTGGTCTGTTCGGGCAGATAGTGAAAAAATTCGTGTGTATTAATCAAGAGTTGTGCGTGTCGCGTTGCTGGGTATCTATCAAATTAATTGCGGGGACATTGCCTGCAACGCTCGGATATACATACATATTTCTCTATCAGTCGTTGGGATTTGTGCTGCAAACTTATGACGGGGATAAAGTGACAGAGAAGAGGATGAAGGAAACCTTTAAGAAGCTAAAAATATTTGTAATATTCTCAGAAAGTAATTAAATATAGCTTGAACGTTAGGCAAAACAGTCCACAACCCATTGATTTTCATCAGCAGAACTTTACTCAACCATTATCCTTTGAACGCAGAGAGAGAGAGAGAGAGAGAGAGAAACAGAGGAAGCTCAATTAAAATCGCATAAATATATGTTAGCTTCCCCTTTGCCCATTAGTGCATGAAAGCAAAGCGCGAATCTTAATTAATAACCCAGCAAATATCCTTACAAATGGGAGACAACATGTGAGAGAACATGTGTACCTCCGATACACACGCGTGCCCATCCCCCTCCAGCCCTCCAGCCCGCCCGCCAGCCAGCCAGCATGTTTATTTATAAGGACTCCTTTGTCATGTGCCCCCCCACCTTAAAGGATCTTGGGCATGGGAACCACTTGGAATTTATTGCTGGCAGTGCGGGACCTGAGCGGAGCAAACAAAACTGAAAACAACATAAACTAAACTATCAAACTACAATAGAGACCACAGAGAGTGTTTTTTTGGGGGAGCACATTCGCTTTGAGGCCCCTCTCTTCTCTCTCTCTTTCTTTTGTTTTGCGGGGAACTTTCCATAAAGCATCGCATCGCTTTCGAGAAGTTTCCATAACCACTCGCTTTCAGGCAACTTTCCATATCCATTCACTTTTCCCAGGAACCTTCGTTTTCGCCAATAATAATAATAATAATAATAGTACGAGTAATGAGTTCTTGTGGGCGCATGCGACGTATACTTAATTTTCATTTAATTGAATGGAATTTATGCTTTACAGGAGGGTCAAGCCTTGGCATATCATATCCATATTCATCCCTAAGACACTTACATAAGTGAGCAAAACACTCTCCTTGATTGCTGGAGACTGGGAGCACTCACTCTCCCTCTCTGCTCTATGTTCCGACAAGTAAATATGCAAAAATGGTAGCATAAATGAAATTTAAACACTCAACTTGATGAGTTGCTCTGCTAACGCTAAAGGAATTAAAAATAATGACAGTCATCAATTTTGCCAACGCAATGGCCAACATTCTGCCGCAAGAACTCAATGAGTTTATTTCCTGGCATGACGCCCTGGAGGGATATTGAGGGACACGATGATGTGAGCCATCATCCCATCATCCTTGGCAACCAAAAAGCAAAGGAAGAGCACATGCGAGCGCCTGCTATTAATTTCTATAAACTTTTAATGCCGTGCTATTAGGCTTGGAGCCTTGAGCCTAAAAAATATTTTTCATTTCATTTCCTAGAATTAGAAAATTACTGCCGGAAGAAATAATAAGTTCTGCTCCAGGCGATGCTTAAGGGGGCAAAAAGGGATATGGCCGATATGCTTATGTCTCAAATGAAATGCCAAATGATGAAGAAGGAAAGAATACCAATTCGAGGAACTATGGAATGAACTGGATTTTCGTCCAGGCAGCAATCCTCTAGAAGGCAGAAAGACAGAGGAGCAGAGGCCCTTCTTTGGGTACGACCCAAAATACCAACATCCATCTCCCATTTTTTCCACTCGTATCGTAATTATTGTCAACCTACGACATGTTTACCACAGAAAACAGTTTTTTAAATCCAATTTAATCCCCTGGAATACATCATGAATTAAATGGAAAAAACACCAATCAATAAGGAGACCATAAATAAGAGAACTTTACCAATTCGAATTGCAGCCAAAGATTTTCAGATTCCAGAGATATCCATTTCCCAGAACTGCAATAAACCACCGGATAAACCCACCCCCTCTATCTGCCTGGGAAAACTTTGCGGCGTGAATGGAAAAATATTGTAACCAAAATTGCACACAATGCACCACCACTTGACATATGAAAATGAATGCACGAGCCGAACGGAGGAAATCGTAATGGAAATGGATAGCAATTTAAGTGTACAAAGAAACCAGAGGGAAAAACTGAATGTCAGCCGAGGGAAACTGCCGAGCACGCTAGGGAAGCGCTAGTGGAAAAGAGGTAGCGAGGTAAAGAGGTTTTCCCTTTTAATGATGTTTGCTTGTGCGATTTTTCTCTTTGTTTTCTGCTGACTTTCGAATATCTGGGGATTTTGGATCAACATTGTTATCATTTCATTTTCGTTTTCGTTTGGTAGGATTTGCAGCGCAACCCCCCGGGGAGGGTGAAACACGCACACGGAAAAGCCTGGAGTTGATTAAATTCTCGCTTACCTGAGATTTAATCCACAGAAAACCAGAAATGTTCTCTTATTCTCTGCTGTTAAAGCCACCTGGGGCTGGCCGACTGGCCGCAAAAGAAATTGCGGGTGAAATTCAACTCCAGTGAAAAAGCTTAAAAGCAATGCTATACCCAAATGAAGTCCCGCCACCAGAGCTGGCCATGGGGCAGAGATAATGTGATGCGAAGTGCTCACACAGATACACCGACACCAACACCAACACACCAACACACAAACACATCCCGAGAGCTAAGGAGCATTAGCTGTCTTTTGCGGTTGGTGCTCGGGAAAACTTTGGCTGCTCTCCGAGAGTGCAAAAAGTTCAAAAGAGGATTGGATAGAGATAGAGATATGCGGAGAGAGGGATCCAGTAAAAGCCGTCAGTTATTTGCATAAGTTGTCATAGTTATTAAGCTGTGAGCGTTAAAATTCTTCCCCTCCGTACTTTTAAGCGCATTAAAGATAGACGCCAGTTATCGTATTTGCAGTGGGAGGAGCAAGCAGGAGCAGCCAGGCAGGAAAGGAGTACGAGGCCGAGTACAGTGCACCCCGCTGGCACAGTGAAAGTGTCGCTTTCAATTAACTGGCCACTGGTGGGGGAATTGAACCAGATGAGGCAGACCAGCCATGGAGGATGATGGCAGAGTTAATCGCATTAAGAAGCAGATGTTTCGCTTGCAAGGTGACCTCTCACCTTTGAGGAGGACATCTCAGCCCTGACAGAGATGAGACTGAAATTGTTTGCCTATCACTCAGTGCCAATAAATTGGAAGCAGACTTATTACACTCTGCGCTTAATCTTCGTTCCGTGGCTTCTGTTTTCCGTTTTTCGTTTTCCGTTTGAGAATATTCCGTAAACCTTGACTTGAGCCCTGCACTGTCATTCCGTTTGCATCGGCAACGGAGGGGGACAGAGGCAGACGACATTAGAAAGCAATCTTTATGGCCTGCTGCCTTCCTGCCAAACGTGAAATCCATAAACAGTCCTTCAGCGTGTACGGACGATTGCAACAAGGATGCGGTGCCTGTCTGCATCCTTGTGTGTCGTCTGGCTTTCCGGCATGTCAGCCCTATTGTCTGCTACGGTTCCTACCTATGTTTGTGCGAGCAGGCACTCTCCTATGTCCTGACTGCATGCCTGTCCCCTCCCCACTTTATCTAGCATTGGGTGCCGTTGTCAACAGCAGCTTAGCTCAAGGCCATAACGGCACAGCATTTGCTATAACTGTCCCGTGTGTGTGTGAGTCTGAGTGTCTTGCTCTGTGTGTGAGTGCGCCTCTGTGTCAACACATACTTGAGCTTCCATTACACGGCCATGATTGCTTATTTTTCTGTTTTCTCTTCTCTCTTTTCACTTTTCCATTTTTGTAACCAGTTCCTGCAGGTGTCGTCGTGCCTGTCGGCGGTCGTTAAGTTGCACGAATTTGTCAAAAATAAAAATGTAATATGCCACACGTCTGACACAATTGAGAGCGATGGGAGCGAGGTTTGGGTTGGGGGCACGACTCTGGCTTTGAGTTCAAGATACATTTTACGAGTTCTTTGTGGCATAAATAATAGTTGCAGAATGTCTTGCGACAGTTGTAGGAAAGTTTTGGATTTAAAAGCTAAATAAAAACTAAAATATTCCCTATTTAAAATTCGTATAGCTATTGCAATGCCTATAAAAATTCCAAATCGGAAATTGCCTCAATCAATGTCAAAACACCGACTGTTTGACATTCATTGTACAATTTAGCGGCAATTAAATGCACAATTGCACCTGTCCGCGAGGCGCTCCTTTGTCATCATCGCCACAGATTGGCAGCACTTAACTAAGATTGGCAGCACTGTCAAAATAGATTGCAACGCCTCCCAACGGATGGGCAGGACTACACGGACTTTACTCCAGAATTTCGCGCATTATCCATGGGGGCGTCGCGTCGTCGGGCATCATCGATTCGTCGTGGAAATGCCGTCTAATTAATTTCCGCTTGAATGCCTGATTGCCATTTTGACTGGCTGTTCTGGGCTGTTTATCTTTGCAGCCGTTTCGACACTCCGAATTTTCGTGTTTGCCCTGGCCTCCTCTTCCTGCAACACTCCTCACACTCTGACATCACAGACAAACTTAATATGCAAAGCACACATTGCGGCACGGCACGGCACAGCCCCCACCCATGCAATGCATAGCTAATTCAATTTTGCAATTGTTGTCAGCACTGTCAGCGCTTTGCATTTGAATAACATGCGGAATTTATTTCAATTAGCAGCGCAGCCGCAAACTTGATGCCACAGAGCCGCAAAGTACGCTTCTGCAGCGAAGCGTGCGAATGGAAGTTGACCATCAACGTCAGCGCAGACGAGAAAAGTGCTTGAGCGGGAATGCTCAAGTTGCGAAAAGTCGTTGAGTGAAATTTTCCCACAGTCCCAACGATGGTGGCCGTAGACGCACTTATCCAAGTTGGAATCAAAGTGAGTCGGGGGCTGCCTGGAGTGGCGGTGTAAGAGCTTAGTCAGCTCTCTCTCTCTCTCTCTGTTAAAGTGAAGCTAATAATAAGCACAATTGTGAAAGGTAGGTGTCGTAAAAACTGAAAGGGATTTCCCAACGTGTCAGAGAGTGGCTGGAATTCATCAGTCAAACCATTTTTAAAAGAAATTTCACTTCTTTTCGAGTAGAATTTATGGCATAAACTTCTAGCTAGCTATGAAATTTTAAAAATGTATGTGTTATGGCCTGATAGTTTTCTATTAGTAATCGTAAAAGTTATTTTTTTGAAGTAAACTTTTAATAAAAGTTTATGGTGAAACCGTTCAATCATATCTCTAAGTAATTTCCCAGTCTTCGCCTAATACCATATTCTCCTGCGGCCTTTCGATTTTCCCAGTCATTAAACAATTTGAAAATTTAAATCCCTGTTTCCTGTTTGAATTTTGAATACCCTCCGCTAATCCAAACGAACTCTGTAACCCGGCACATGCGCGCACACACGCGCAGTATTTGTTTTTAAAATTAATTATGCTTAATTATATTTGGGGCTAAAACATATGAGTATTCATTTTTTGTTTTGTCTCCCTTTTGTTTTCGTTTCGGTTTGGTTCGGGTCTGTTTGTTTCCGTCGTTTTCTGGCTTTATGAATAAAGTATAACAAAAGAAATTACCTCATCATCGTAATTATCCTGCTCAGGCATGACTCGCTGTTTGTTGGCTTAAAGCGATGAATTTTTCGGAAATCCGAGAGGGCGTTCCAGCCGGGTTTCGTCGGTGGTGGTCGTGTGACAAGGCGTGGCCCGGGGTACGGGTACGTCTGACAAATTAAAGCAGCCTCCGGTTGTTGTCTTTGTCGGAGTTGTCGTCGTCGGCGTTCTTCTCCTTTCTGTCGATTTTTCTCGTTTACTTTTTGGATTTTTGGATCGCTAATCGAATCTATCAATTTCCTTGGCAATAATTCGCCGGCGCGCGAGCTCTCTGTTAATTTGTCTTATATTCAGAATTTATTGGCGCATCAGCTAGCTGAGGAGGCTGGCATTTTATTTCACTTTGTTGGGGGAATACCAGAAGTCACTTGCTAGGGCCTGCCGCTCTCGGTACATGCTTTCGCGAAATACTTTCAAGCTTGTCCTTGACTTTTGCCAGCTGTCCTTCGGCCCATCTGCTTCCCCTTTGTAGCTGCCGGGTAATTATGACTGACTGTTGGTTGTTCGTTGGTGTTGGTGCCGCTGTTTGACTTAGGAACTTGTCGTTTCGGGGGTCCTTGTAATGCGCTTTTGCCGTTGGTTTTTCCTACCCGTCTTCTGGCTTCTGGGTGCTCAGTCCTCCTAATGAGCATACATTTTCAATTTCCCTGCTGCAGTCGACTGCCGTTGTTTTTGGCCCTGTTGGTGTCTCTGTTGTTGGGGAGTCCTTCGCTCTGACACTAATGATGCAGCATACTTTTAGGCCAAGCGCTAAATTGGAATAAAGTGTTGTGTTCGAGGGAGAAGAAGAAAAGAAGAAACACACACAATATTTTAGAAAATGCAGTTCTTGCTTAAACATTTCTTTGGCTTGTTGTTGTTGGTGTAAATCTTGTTGCTTTTGTTGGTGTAACTGTTGGTGATGTTGTTGGTGTTGCTTTTCGTTTGTTGTTAGTGCCAATTGTTCTTTGTGTTTGAGTGGTGTGCACTTGTTTTTGTTACTTTTTGTTAGTGTTGTAACTTTTGTTTAGTTGGTGTAGTTATTGGTGATGTTGTTGTTGCTGTTGCATTTCTCTTGTTGTTAGTGCCAATTTGTTGTGTGTTGTGCTTTTAGCCTTGTAAGTGTAAGCATGAATTGCTCGTGCCGTATGTGTGGTTTGTATGTGCTATATATGTATGTGTGTTAGTTGGCTTAGATATGTGTTGGTGCTTTTATAACATGACAAATGTTTGCAGCATACTTTTGGGCTGCTTAGGCGCTGCATACACACATATGTATGTGTGTCAGTGGCACACACACACACACATTTTGTATGTAGGTTAAGTAGTCTAGTGCTTAAATATATTTGCATAAAACAAGGCATATTCAAAAGTTTCTAATTACATGTGCTGGGGCGTACATGGCTTTGACTTTCGTCTTGTGGGGCTATTGTTGGTGTAATTGTTGTGTGGATACCACATGCGTGCGAGGGGGAGGTATAACCTTTAAAAACTAATCTGTTTATTATGCAAAATGTTGTTGCATGCAGCGGCGGAGAGGGAAGTAGAAGGGGCGTTTTGCAGACACTTTAAACATGACTGTGTTTTCTTATGCAAATTTTAACTCTTGCTAAAGTGCGGGTGGCAGGTGTGGGTGCTGTTGGGGCGAGTGCACTCCCGAGCGGAGTGTTAATAGCATTACATTTTCAATTTAAGTTATGGCAAGTTTTTTCTTCGCTCCTGCTTCTTTTTCTAAGCAGCTTATTATGCAAAATGCATGCACACACACACACACAGTATACGACGGATAAAGGGGAATAGGTGGCATAATATCCACAGAGTAAGTGGAGTGATGGTTGGATTACAGGCTGGTTCATTGGGTTCAGAGGTTAAAGCAAAAGCGTTTGATAGATAGTTTGTATAGCTTCTTCAATCGTTAAAAATTTGCTTAAAGAAACACTTTGTTGCCTGCCAAAAACTCAAGAGGATCAGCGTCGTGTTATCCTACCCATAATCCCCAAGTAAAGAAAAGCTATTTTCTATCTGCAAGAGTGTATGGAGCATACGTATAATTACACCAAGCTTTAGCTTTCATAGTGCACTGAGGAAGACAAATGATACCGAAATTGCTTCACAATCCACTTTCCTGTGCTACATTTTTGCTACTTCCTTCCTTCGCAAGAAAAAAAACAAAAGACACAATGAAACTTGTCCCCTAAGCGGAGCTTTGGCTTAAATAGCCAATGACACACACATAATCTACAATAGCTGTTGCCAAGCAGTAGAGAGCGAGATAGAGTGACAAGAGGGGCAAGGGAAGTGTGTAGTCTGTTAGCCATTCGCCTTAGTCATCTTTAGGGAGCATTCACTGTGTGCGCTCTCTGGGTTTTAGGACGCATTACAATGCACAAACTTTTAGCCATTGTCGGGGACTCTCTTGGCTTTGGCTTTGGCTTTCACCTCAACCTCAACCCCAATGCCAACACCCTCCAATGCCAGAACTACTATAAATTAAAAAAAAAAAATAAAAGAAAGTATGAACGAGTATTTATGTATATAAGAGAAGAAAACAATTCCCATACAAAAGATCACTCCTGGGAACAATGGGAAATGTCTGATATAGCAGCCAACATAAATTTCATTAATTTTTACGTAGCCAAAATTGTTGGGTGAAGTTTTTTCTTGTGTTATGTTTCTTGTACTTTTTTTCGTGAGCAGCCAAGCGGGTCTGGGGCTGCTTTTATTGTTTTCATAAAAATGATTTTCCATTTTTTGTTCCACTAGACACAATGTAGCATTCAACAAAATTCCATGCAGCACTGCAAAATAAAGCAAAACCCATTGCATATTTGCCGGCATACAGAAATGTAGGGAAACTGCTGCTGACCAGAGAGGAGACAAAAAGGGAATATATATACGAGTATTTCCAGCCATTAAAAACTCTCCCCCGTGAAACATAAAGTAAATCATACAAGTGCAACTGAAAAAGCAACGATACCCTATGTTCTGCTGATGGAAAAACTGTGTATTTTGTGGGGGTACAAGCTGCCAACATTACCATGAACTAAAGTGTGATCTAAGCCATTAAGTGTGCTCCAACGCTTAACCCCAACTTGCGTCGTAAAGCCATAAGAGCAACTCATGGAAGCCGAACTACTCGCATGCACAAGTTATGGGTTCCATAAACTGAACGATGAGCAATGAGCCGCAACATGAATATGAAGTTGGGAGTTAATTCCCATGGAAAAAGTGTTGAATGGAAGATTCACTAAGGCTCCCGGAAGAACTTAAGTTATAGATGAAATATCCAATAAATTTAGCTTTCAGTTTTAGCCCAAAACTAACGACACATTGCATTCACTTAGGCTGGGAAAACTTTTCATTTGTTTCTGTTGCATAAATTGGAACAAAACATTTACCTTGGGAAAGGCATTTAAATGTAATTTATGATGCAACCTTTCATAAGCGGCACATGCCCCCCACACAACATTCCCACATTTCCACAGATTTTCCTATTTTCATTTCTGTGCTCAAAATAAAAGTTATTCTTTTTTGTTCTTCCTGCCCGAAGAGGACTCTTGTATTTTGTTATCAACATGTTGACATTCATTCGTGTGCTGCTCTCCTCTGACATTTATTGTTTCTATCTCGCTCTCGTTGGCTGACTTCCGGCCCGAATGCAGCGGTGCGTAAGTCCCTTCCGGTTGAGAGCCGAGTACCGTGGCCGTGGCAGTGGCAGTGGCAGTGGCTGCTGCTGCTTCATAAAGTGCTACGCAAACGGGCAGAGCAGCGCCACTCGCATCGCATCGCACACTCGTATGTCATTGTCATATGTGTGCATTTTCATATCGTTTTTAAGGCATTTTTCACAGAATTTTAAATTTATTGCTTCAATGAAGCGGCAAAACATCACAGAAGAGACACAGCCAGAGAGAGTACAACCATAAAGTATATGAATTGTTGATTATATTAAAAGAAAACCTCACGAAAAAAAAAAGAGAAGAGAAGAGAACTTAAGCTGTGTGTGGCGTGGAGATCATTTTTGTATTGGGGTTAGGGAAAATCAATTGCAGCCAAACAGCGCGCGGGTGATTCTCGCAGCGAGAACGTGTTGCACCCAAGCAATTTGTGAGGACACTTTTGTGGCTTTTGACATTGCCGCCACAGTCGATGGTGCTGCTGTTGCTGCTGCTGATGCTGCTGCTGCTGCTGGTACGTGCCACTTATATGGCATAGACCCTGGTCCCAGCAGTCAGCCCCATGCTGCACGTAAGCCGTAAACGTTTTTAGTGGATTTGTGTGGCGTGGCTGGGGCGGTGGATGGTCTACGACAGCCATAATGTTTCATTAGTGGCTGGTTCGCCGCTCGCTTGACAGCGAATCGCTTGTAGCTGCTGGCTTCCCTGGAGCATATAGGAAGGATGGGGCTAGGGAACTGCAATCAACTTGAAAGTTGGCCAAAGACTTTTTGAGGTAATCATGCACCACACTGAAGCTTCCAATGCATTTGATTGAATGCATTGGGAAATTGCATTTTAATCTTTGAATTGTGTGAAAAATGATTAAAGTTTGCGTAGGAAAAATCCCATTTTAAAGGGTATCTAGGGTATTAAAGGGTGCGTTTCACAGCACCACACTTTCTTTTCTGTTCATCAACACTTTCACAGCGATATATTACGTTCTGCACGAAAGACACTTCAACAACGAAATATTGCGTAGCATAAAATTAGGCGGGCATCATTAAATGGGGCAAACGCAAAGGCAGTGGCAGTGCCAACTCTTGCTTCCATTGGCGTTCCCAATGCGACAACAGCCTCCCCCCCCACGTGGCATGATGGCGACGGCGACGGTGGTTGCACATTAGTTTTAATGCATGTTTCATGCGCCATTAGGCTTAATTAGTGGCATTCTACCACCCACAGCAGGAGCACACAGCACCAAGCACCCAGAGTCGCCTCTTCTTCCGCTCCTTAAACGGGTTTCACTGTAGCCCCAGTGGAGGTCAATGGGGTGGTGTTTGGGGTTTGGTGGCTGGTGGCAATGACGATAGTGGTGCAGTCAAGCTTTAACTGCCTGTCGTTTGGCCTGCAATTTTATTATTGTTGCTGCACGTTGCATACAACACTTTTAATGCAGCAGCCATACATTTATTTTAAGGCCACGTACACACACATACACACATTCACGTGATGAGGAAAAATTAAGATTTAATTAAGAAAAAATAATAAATGCGTTTGGCTTGAAGCGAGGCAGAGCAGAGCAGACCCTACCCCGGACCGGCTTAAAGCAGAGCCAAATAAATTGTCTCTTATGGCAGGACATGAAAAAGACTGCGCGCCTGAGCCTTCGGTAAGCCTTGAAGGCAGGCTCCAGGCTCCACTTTCATTGCCAGGGCCATTCATTCGCTCTGTCATTTCCTCTCGCATTTCTCTCCGAAAATAGCGAGCAACAATGCCCGAACAGAATGCCAAATATACTCGTCCGGCCATAGCCACCGGCATTCGGATTGTCCCTCAGATTGAAGTGTCTTTCTGTTGCTGTCAGAGATGAACTTTTGGACACTCGTGCGAGTAGTTGATACTTTTACAATCCAGGCATGCTCTTTGTGGGGAAAGTTTTCAAGGTTTAAGTTTTCCTAGAAGGAGGAGAATGCGGGAATTCGTCACAGGAAATTCTCTCAGTCAATTAACCCTTTAAAATCGAATCCATCTACCTACTAAATCTCTTCATAACTGACATTTTTCCCCTTAACATTTTCCATGAAAATGGTTTGAGTAGAGCTCTCTCTCTCT